GATTAATTTTTTAAAATTTTAACACCCAAATGAAAAAGGAACATAAATTGATGAAAAAAACAAAGAAAAAAATTGATTTTTCAAAATTTTAACGTCCAATCAAATAAAAAAAAACATAAATTGATGGAAAAAAGTATAGAAAAAATCAAAGGAAAAAAAAAAGAGAAGAAAAGGCATGTGTATTGCATCAATCAAGAGATTAAATATTTTTATTTTAAATTTTTAGGGACTAAAATGAAATAAATTAAAAATTACAAAAAATATTTATTATAGAGATAAAAATAAAATATAATAAAATTTTAATCATCAAAAGAAAAAGAAAGTTATAAAACAGGGACTAATATGAAAGTAAAGTTTATTAAAAGCAAAAAGGAGCTTTTGGGTGAAGAGAGAGAAAAAGAGAAAAAAAGAATGAACAGTAATGGATAAAAATCAAATATAATAAAATTTTAATAACCAAAAGGGAAGAAAGTTATAAAACAAGGATTAAAACGTAAGTCAAGTTTACTAAAATGCAAAAGGAGCTGTGGGCCTGTGATGAAAGAAGAAAAAGAAAAAAAGAAAAAAATGAACAGGTCATGAACAGTTGCTGCTACAATGTTTTATCATTTTCTTTTAGTTTATTTTGTAATGTTCGGTTTTTGATTTTTTGAACAAAAAATTTCAGCTTTTTATTTGCAAATTATTTTTTTACTATAAAAAGCGGTAATACTCTTGATGTTCTGAATACCAATTTTGCCATAAGTTTGATCTTCTATACTCATTTGATATATTAAAATTTCATATCTAGTCTTTTCTTCATCAATTTATTTTGAAAAAAAAAGGTAAGAAATAACATCCTAAGTTTCCATCAATTACAAAATAGCTTTAAACATCCAAATCTAATAATATAAACCATAAATCATGATTAAGATAGAATTTAGTTAGCAATAAAAAATAATAATAAATAAATAAAATATGGAACTAATGGGATGGTAGTTTTATAGCTTTTAAATGTTGGATTATATATATATATATATATGCTATTCTGTTTTTGGTAGAAACCAAATTAAAAATTTTTTAAAACTAAAAAATTGAATTAAATTCAATTCAGTTTCAAAAAAGAAAATTAAAAAAAAAACCGCAAAAACCAAACCAAATATTTTAGTTTAATTTTTCGGTTTAAATAAAATAGTGCTCGCCCCCTGCTCATACACAAATCAACGTCCAACAGACCCATTGCCTCTTATTGTAGTTTTCCAAGGCCTAAGAAGAACTCAAAGAGAAGGCTACATGGGCAGATGGGCTGCGCTATCAAGATGTTGACAGTAAGATTGTGTTCCTAAAGCTTACAATCCCAGGTTGTCACTTCAAGTGGGTTTGGGCTGATATGACAAGGGGGCATTACAAACTAGAATGATTGCTGGGCCTTGCAAATTCGATTATTTTTATAGAAAAACCTGCAATGCTTAATCTTTTATTATTTTTCTTTTGAATGGGTAAAGTTTGACTTTTTATTTTATTCCAGTTTTCTTATTTATCGAAGAATAAAAAAATAACCAATATAGTCGGGATCCATTGAAAAACAACAGTTTTTCTTTAATTGGCACATGATTAACTTTAATTGACACATGATAAAAATGGATCCTATTTGGATTTATTGAGAAAAAATAAAAAAGTTATAAAACATTTTTATAAAAAAATAGTTGGCAATAATTTAAAAATAGTAATTGTAAAATCAGTTAACTTGTTAACGGTTACTTACTAATTTCTTAAAACACTTATATGATGTCATTATTTAAATAATTTTTTTGCCTAATCCTAAAATTTTAATATTAGATCATTTAAACAATTCTGCTAACAGTAATTGATTTTATTTTATCTTTTTCAAGTCTTGCTAAGTAGTTTTTTTATATATAAAAGTTTTATAGTTTTTTTTCAATGACTCTGGGTAGCAACTATTTTTTACCTTGTGTTAATTAAAAATTATTGTGCATTAGTGGATTTTGACCATGTTGGTATTTCTTAACTTCAAGTAGCTGAAATAACTTAAATAAAAAATAAATAAATATTAGAAACTTAAACAGAAAAATTAAAAAAAAAATTAGACACTTAAATTGGTTTTTTTATAAAAAAAATAATTCGAATGGGACTCACTTTTAGATATATGCCAATCTATTGAAAATACATCGTATCTTTTAATTTCAAATGATTGCGGATATTCAAACATTAAAAAAAGAAAAAAAGAACATTTAAATTGCGTTTTACTCGTTGTCCGATTGATGATGTCCCTATCTCGTGCAGCATCTGATAAAGCAATGAACTTCCAACATTCCATTTTTCGGTTTCTTGGATATGCATGAACAGCTGGATAGTTGTTACTTGGAATCAAACTGATCCCAACTAAAGAATGAAAAGTACTACAAACAAGAATTGATTCCTTCGGAAAACTTCCAAAAAGATGACAGGCAACACTAACAATTATTGGGGGAAGCTTCCTTGCAGAACTTGGTTGGATGATGCGCTATGAAGGTGCAAGACAAATATCAAGGATGGATTATCTGGTGTCGCAATTTTGATTTCCAACGTCATAGCCTATGCCATAGGAACTTTTTATATTGTTTGCTACTTTTGATGATTGGATTGAAAAGCGCAAAAGGATCTCAATTCTCATCCAACAGTTATACAATACAGCAGCAAATTTGGTGTTTCCTCAATGGTCAATACAAACTAGTATTCAAACCAAAACCACATTTCAAATGCAACCGAAGGGAATGGCCGGCCCAACCGTCTTGTTATGGTCCTTTTAGCCAGCATCCTCTCTTAATTTGGAATTCAGACTGCACATTTTGTTCCTTCAGTTTTAACTTTTGCTGGTGGCCATGTTGCCTAGTGTTTAATTGCTCAAAGCTAGTAGGGTTGGGGATGGGACCCTTTACCTACATCACCAGTTCACCGCTCTTGTTGGTGGTTGTTCTTTTTGTAGGCTTCTACGCAGCTTTATATTCTAACGTTCCAGGCATAGGGAGGCAGCAATGAAGTTGCAGCGACAGGAAGAAGCCCAAATGGACTAAACCTGAACTGTATGTAGCTCATTTCAAAATCATATCTGAATATCGAATTTTGGATTTTACCTCCTTGATTTTGTATTTTTTTTTAATTTAGATTTAGTTCATTTCTGGCGACCATTTTCTGTAAGAAAAAAAATTAATTTAATTCTTCATATTTTGAACTAAAGTTTTGCACACTTTTTGAAAAACAAGTAGTACATTTAAAAAAAAAACCATGATTTTTCAAAATTATAAAATATATGTTTTTTATTTTTTTAACATTAAAAATATAAAAATTGAGAAAAAATAATCTAGAACGAGTCTAAATTTTTTAGAAATCTCAGATGAATTTTATTGAATGATTGATTTCATCATAGAATTATTTACGTAGCTATTATATTTTAGACAAAAAAATTAAAATAATAATTAAATCTAAAATAAATTAAAGTTTATAAGAAATCAAATTCAAAACCAGAGGTTCAAAACTGATTTTCAAATAAATTAAAATTCAATAAAAATTTAATTCATTTAACCTAGAAAGAATATTAAGTTGACTTAAATGGATCCCACACCATGTTCATATTTTCCCCAAAAGATGAAAAGGGAAAAGTGGAAAACCAGTCCGGTCACTTTCAGTCCAAAACTCATATTCTGTCATTTATAATTTGTTTCGTATTTTTCTCTACTCGAAATTTTTTCTTATATTAACCAAACATATTTTTAATTTAACTTTTTCAATAAATGAGTGTGTTTTTTCTTTAAATCATCCTGCTTTGTTTTGTACATCATCACGCCAAGAGTCAGTCATTAGCATTACTCTTTTACCAATCAAGTTTGCAATGGCACAGGATCTTTTCTTCAGACCTATAAAAGGAATTAACAAAAAATAAAAGAAGAAGAAGTGATATGGACAATTTAATAATAAGAGTTGGTAAGATTTTCGTTTCTATTTTTTATACATATTTTTAATGTAATTCTCATTTACCAATTTTTTTCCGAAAATATTGAAAAAAAATAAAAAATAAAAACAGCTATCGATTCAAGAGTTAGGGCCTTGGCCCACCGCCAACCATGAACCATCGTTCGAGTTGTGTGTGCCCAGCCGCCCATGTGTGATGTGCCTACCTATCATGTCTCTGCATTTCTTTAACCACTTTTGTCTTTTTTCTTTTCTTTTTTTTAATCACGGGCGCTTCAACCAAATTAGTTAGCCGCAATCGGTGTGATTTTCATATTTCCAAGATCTCTGGGGATCATAGATCCGAGTTTGGACCATCCATTTGACAATTTTATCTGCTACTTTCCAGTAATCTACATGGTAATGCAAATCGATCTTCTTTTTTTCTTTTTTCTTTTTTTTTAAAACCAACTAATGCAGACTGATCTAGAACCATGCTAAGTTTTACCAATAGATCATCAGAATGTAAATGCTATTAGTGTTGAGTAACTCAGTTTTTGTTACAATTAAGTAGAGGCTCGAATAGGGATTTTGGAAGGAAAGGGGAAGGAACCAGGCCCCAGGGACGCTACTTGGGCCAAGCTCACTGGCTGCTTCTTCATCTTCTTTTTATTAAAAAAAAAAAATCAGTGTTTCGAATAATAATTAACAAACTGACAAAGATGATAATAGAACCTATATATAATGTGATTGGTTGAGTCATTGATCAAACCGGTAGTAGTATTTGTACTGGTTCCTTGAACCAACGAGCTAGTAGGTATACGTATCTCCTAACGAAGGTTTTATTTAGAATCAAATACTAAAAGTTTTGGCCTATTGCCAAATTAAATAACATGAAAGAAATTAATAACGTCATATGACGATGAATGGAGAATTTACACAATACGAAAAGTCTTGTTTCTACATGTACAATGATCGCTATTGACTAACATCCACAAGATTTTTATTTTTCTTGTCAGTTTTATTAATATTTATTAAGAAACAAGTATATATGCTCCACAGCTTCCATAGAAATGCTATCCACACTGGCCAGCACGTTAAGAAAATCACCTCAGTGTAAGACCTCGCGGAGCTTGTGGTCTCGAAATCTATATTTTGAATGGAAAAAACTTGATTTGAAAAGTATGAAATTAAGAAGAATGCAATTAAAAAACTACTGCTGTAGATATATTATTGTATCCAACCACTTACGTCACCGTATTGGTAAGGAACAAGAAGGATATATCACAGACTTGCATGTTCACTAATTGACCAAACAAGTGTCACTCACATGGCATAACATGATTGGTATGGCCAAAAAAACGGAAACAAAGAAAAATATATACCATGTTCGGGCCACATCCATTTAATTATTGCTCATGAATATGGAATAAAACTAACTTAAATCAATTTCAAGCGTATGGACTCTTCTAAGTTTGATGTTTCTCCTGCATCTAGAATCTGAATTTGCAAAATTAATCAGGGGGCAATTATTACATAATCGTATAAATTTCATATTCTGATCTAGGGGCATTATTGACTTTGCAGCGAGCTTTTTGCAAGTATAAAACCCCTCAACGCCTAGCAATAGGTTGGGTGGATGTAGGTTATCTTTATTTATTTATTTTTTTCCTCTCCTCTTCTTTTAGTGCTATGGGAGTAACAAAAAGAAATACCATGGGAAGTAACCCATGTTTGGTTCTTATTTTCTTACTCACTGTTCCTTGTTCTGTAGTTCAAATCGAAGCAGCTGGCAAGAGGCAAAGCGAAGCACTTGGGCATCTCTACAAGGCGAAGTTGAAGGGAAATTCTAGCGTTGACAATAGTCTTTTTCAGGCAATTCAGCATGTAGATATATCCAAGTTTCATCCTCAAGATGGATTAAAAGAGAAAGATAGAATAGAGAGTCTGCCGGGACAACCAAAAGTGAAGTTTTCGCAATATGGTGGTTATGTTAGTGTTGATAAATCTACCGGACGAGCACTCTATTATTACTTTGTTGAGGCTCAACATTCTAAGGAGTCTTTGCCTCTTCTTCTCTGGCTCAATGGAGGTATTTATACTTTTATCTCATCCTTTGGCATTTTCTTTTATGTTCTCCGTTTTTTTTTCTTTGTTTCCAATATTTCAACAATATCACTTTGTCAAAACAAGTTGAAAACATTTCCCCCTTCATGTTAATGAAGATTAGATGGTATAATGTTGATCGTTAAGTTTTTTTGCACCCTATCGTTTTCTGTTCGGATTCCTGTTTGGATAGGATTTTCTTTCTATTTTTAATTTGTGATTTGTTCTTTTTTCTTGTTTGTTTACTGTTAATTCGCAGATAAGTAGAATGTGTGCAAATATCCCATCAAAATTCTCAAGAACCTTATCTCCCCACTCATCCTTTTCATCATTGTTTGTTTCGATAGCTATCCTACTTTCTCTCTCATATTCCATGTGATAATGATATTGTTTCTTGCTAAAATCCATAATTTTGCTTGACGGCATAATATATATTAATTAATTTTGATCAGAAAGCTAGTTTGTTTATTTATATATGATTGTATCATACCTTGTTTTCTTTATTAGGTGTAACTAATTGTCAGAAAAAGATTTTTGGACAGTAAGATAATAATTTTTCTGTTACGTCAGGGAAAAAACAAGATTTTCTTTTCACTTAAAATATAGTGACTTTTGCTAATATGCTATTATTTTTCTCTCATTGCAATGGGTCCTGAAACTTGGGGGAAAAAAAATTGGGAAATTAACAACCCCACATGCTTAGTTGACACATCATGGCTTTCCAATCCCATAATTCACTCCCATGAGGATTTCTCGCCGTTCATGATGTAACCATCTTAAAGCTGTAGACTAATGACTCTCAGCTCTCTTATTAATCAAAATGTTTAGGATATATTATGTCAACACCTGCCACCCTATTAATAGAATTTAGTAGAACTACGAATATGAAAAAAGATTTGATTTAGTAGTTGACTACATAAATTAACTCCCTTTTTTTAATCATCGAATTTAAATTTGAATCACCGAAAGCTGTAAATGCAGTAAAAAAATGTGTTTCTTACTCATTGTTTCAAGAATTCATTTCTCATTATTAAAAAAATAAAAAAATTTCTTTATGTGGAAGTATTGTACATATATTGCTGATAGATTCAAAGAGTCAATTTTTTAAAATTAATTTAAGATAATATAACTTAAGAAATTATAAATTTAATTTCGATTGATATAAAAATTATATAAAATGAATTTAACTATTTAATCAAGTTAGATCATGTAAGATATATAAAATTTTCCTCTTAACTTAAATCAAAATTAATTGTTGTATTACGTATCAATAATCCTTAGGATGGATTTAATAATTTCTACACCTATATATTTTGTTCCACTTGCAACTTCTTTACGGGTAAGTTGTCAATTCAGACTGGATCAGATCATCCGGTTAGATGATGGTCCAATTAGTTATGTTATAACTTTTGTATAGTGTTTCTTTCTTTTTTATTTACTCGGGAGTTGCGTTGTGGTATTTGCTGTTTTTCTTTTCAAATTTTTTAAAATAAAAACAAAAAACTGGTGAAGAATTTACACTGGACAATGGTATCCTACATTGATGGGCACAAAACTATACATGGTTTATTCTCTCTTTTTCTCTATACATGTGTAACTTATCTCTGTAAGTATAAAGAGAGAGTTCAATATTAAAAGGCTTATTTCCCTAACAACTTGATTTTTTTTAATTTTTCTTTCATTACAGAGTTCTAACAAGAATTTCTCTTGTATTGCAGGCCCTGGCTGTTCATCTTTAGCATATGGTGCAATGCAAGAACTTGGACCATTTCGAGTATATAGTGATGGCAAAGCACTTTATAAAAATAGAAATTCATGGAATTATGGTAATAATTTTCAACTTTTGTTTTTAAATTATTAATTACATTTAATGTTATGCAAATTGATAAACAATTGGTTTTCTTTTTCAGCTGCAAATGTTTTGTTTATTGAATCTCCTGCGGGAGTGGGGTTTTCGTACTCAAACACAACATCAGATTACAAGAAAAGTGGAGATAAAAGAACAGCTGAAGATAATTATGTGTTCTTGGTGAATTGGCTAGAGAGATTTCCTGAATACAAAGATAGAGAATTTTACATATCAGGCGAAAGCTATGCGGGGCATTATGTGCCTCAGCTTGCACACACTATTCTTTACCAAAACAAGAAGGCTAAGAAGACTATTATCAATCTGAAAGGAATTCTAGTACGTATATTTCTCTCTCTCAATCCATCAGTAAATATATTTAAAGAACTAAACTTTTCAATTCATACTATTTCATCATTCAAAACCCTTCTTTTTTGACACCTGGTTAGGTAGGTTTTATTTCCATCTTTTCAATTTGAAATTTAACATGTACTAATTATAGAAAAAGTAGGTGTATCGTAGGAAAATATTTGCCAACTACTTGTAAACAATTAGTATTTTCTTTTAATAATTACAATATGATTGGAACATCAGACTTTTGAATAGTTAGAATATGACTTGCACATGTGAGGCGTGACAACATCATTGGATTTATGCAAAACTTTGTAGATGTGTGGACCGGTAGGGGTGTCCATTGGTCCCAAAGTGGCAAAGGCAACCCACATTCGATTATTTGTGGTAGAAGATGGTTGGCGTGAATCATTTCTCATGATGATGTAAAAATAGAAAAAAAACAAAAATTAAGAAAAGAAAATTCATATCACTTGACAAAAACAACTAATATGCATCTTACTAATGCAAACTATAGGCTCCATAAATAACTATAATGTTACATTTTGTATTGGAAATTGCAGATTGGGAATGCAGTGATCAATGACGAAACTGATACAATGGGGATGTATGACTATTTAGGAAACCATGCTATAATTTCAGATGAGGTGGCTCGTAAAGTTCGAACATATTGCAATTTCTCACCCAATGCAACATCTCAGTCTGATGAGTGCAACGAAGCAGTAGATGAAGTAAGCAAGGATGCTGGTCGTGTCAATATATACAACATCTATGCTCCATTGTGCTTTCACGAAAATACCACAGCAAAGCCCAAGAAACCTTCTGTAAGTAATAATTAAAACATTTGTTCTTTAAATTGATGGTGAAATCTATATACTTATACTAGCAATTTTGCTAACTATATATTTATTTTATGAAAAATGATGATCAGTTATAGGAGAGTTGCATTTCACTCTTTCATATAAAATGAGACTTAGTACAACTTCAGATATATAAACTGAATAATTCCTCGAAGTTCATTACTTATATCAAATGTTTGTTTTCATTAAAAAATCTAATTTCACTTAATCATTTTGTGATGCAGTTGGTGGATTTTGATCCATGTTCTGATTATTATGTGTATGCTTATCTGAATCGACCTGATGTCCAAGAAGCCATGCATGCCAATGTCACCAAACTCACTCATGATTGGGAACCTTGTAGTGATATCTTACCAAGTTGGTCAGATAGCCCTTCAACAGTGATTCCGCTATTGCAAGAGTTCATGGCTAACGGTCTTCGAGTGTGGATATTTAGGTAAAGTAATTATAAGCTTAGATATAATTATCATGATTATAAATTTGTTTTGGTTTTCCATATTTTCTCATCTATTTGTCTATATATATTACGAACGTTAGTGGGTTCTTAATTGTCAGAGTAATATTGTCCTCCACTTTGAATGGGGTCCAAACTTTTTAATAGATATATCTCGGTAGACTTTGTAAATTTTTTTAAAAAACATTAATATCTATTAATACACATACTGATTTGAAAATATTTTTATCATCGGAAAAAAATGATTTACTGCTTTCTTTGATATATATATATATATGTATTCTAATGGTAAATCTTCATTGCCTGTAATTTCAGTGGTGATATAGATGGAAGGGTACCCGTTACTTCAACCCAATATTCTATTAATAAGATGAAACTTCAAGTTAAAACCGAATGGCATCCTTGGTACCTCAAAGGGGAGGTAAATTTTTTTTTTTTTTTAAGCAGTCAAATTCTTACTTTATTAATTTCTTCTCCCAATTCTAGTTTCATACATGTCCTACTCCTGTCATTATTTTGTTTCACTCATTTAATTGTTGCTAATTTTTTTCAATATTAAGTGCAGAAAAATATTTTGATTTAACCATTTCGTACTTGGACGATAGAATGTTAATTTATTCTTTTACAAACTTGAAAAACTTCTATTTGTTTCTGGTAGCATTAAGGTTTTCCATTCCATCAGAGAATAGACTTTTAGAAGGTAAGCATAAGAAAACGCAGAACAGTCCTGAACATAAGAATTACATTCCCAATCTTTCTAATTTTGATATTCCGAGCCAAATGGTTCGTCTTGTGATATTAGTCACAAGAAAAAAACTCAGATAAAATTAAAATGTGATTCTTATTTGAACTAGAATAGAAATTCTATGCCATAAAAAAAAAAAAACATTAATAGAAATTCTTTAATTTGCTTATTAAGATACATAGCTAATTCTCAAAACTGTGAAATATTATTGGTTTTTATAGGTAGGAGGATACACACAAGTTTACAAAGGAGATTTGACATTTGCGACTGTAAGGGGGCAGGACATCAAGTGCCGAGCTATCAGCCATTGAGAGCACTTTCATTAGTCAAGCACTTCCTTGATGGCACTTCTCTTCCTGAAACTAGGAGATATTAATCCCATTTCTTTTTTATTTTATTCAAACTGTCATTTCTTATTTATAATAAACTATTGATTCGATAAGGATAAGTAGAAAAGCAGGCCTCTTTCTTTTTTTAATATCCATTAATTTTATTTCCGAAACCACTTCTTTCAATTTAAATAAAAATATAGTAAAAATGTAAGTCTTGCTAAAAATATCTCGAGCATTATTCCATGGATAATCTCCAAATAGGTCCCTAATAAAAACAATAAGCTGATATAACTCTGTATGTTTTTAGTGTCCAATAGGTTCTTCTATGGGTAAAATCTATCAAATTAACAGTCACATGATGCGCATATCTGACGTGTCTTCTTAACAAAAAATATCCAACAGTTTGACACAACAAAAAATATACACACACTAAATATCAAGCATCTGAATAATTTTCAATTTTTTTTATCTTTTTTTCATTTAAAGATTTTTCTTCATTACGGGGATGCCAGATAGGATAATATGCCGTTTTTATTTTATTTAATTATTTTTTTATTAAAAATTGAAATTAGTTCAACAGTTTGACACCATTTCTACCTCGTACAAAGTAAAAAACGATATTAATTATGTAATATTTTTTATTTTATAATGTATAAATTATTTATTTATTTATTATTGTTTGTGTCAACTCACACACAACGTCTAGGTAATCAACTAGTTACTTAATAAAAGCAAAACTAAATTTTCAATAAAAAAAAAATCATGGTAAAAGAAATCGAGTGATGTGATTCGAGCTAGTAGATCTTAAAAAAAAAAAAAACGATCTTCTTAATTAAAATCGAATTGAAGATTAATTGGTTTCTAGAAGACAGATCCGAATGGTTTTCCTATGGGTTTAAAAATGACAGTGACGGTGGTGGCGGTGTTGCTAAGGTAGTCGCTATGGTTGTAGTTGGGAGCTGGGTTCGGTGGTGCCTTGGGGGTCTATGAGGTATTGATCATGTTTATTGTTTTTGGCTTCATGGTTGCTGTCAAGAACCACTACCGTCCATATGAATCCTACTTTTTTTTCTTTTTTTTTTTTGGCTGGGTTTAGTTCAACTATGGCATTAGTCTTGGATAAGAAATTTAAAAAGAAAATGTCTTGTGCCCTCGTATATTTAGAAAGTAATCATGATTTCAATTTGATGGACCCCAAAAAATATTTTATTTATTTATTTGATTTTAGCAATACATTTATAAATAAAAAATCTGATCACTTTTGATTTGAGATATGATATTTTCAGAGATATTTAATTTTTTATTAATAATGCATGTCAATATATGATTAATTAGTTAATATATTCTATAATTATATTACATCACTAAATATGATAAGGTTATTATTTCATAATTTGAAAACCTTTTATATAACAAATATCATGTCAATTGGTGAAAATAAGTTCCCGTAGCCTAGTCCTTTAAGATAGGAAATTCTTTATTCAAATTTTAGTTCGATTCGTTTCTTTTTGTAATTAAATAAGGGCCACAGGACATTTTAGACATTTACATTTAGGTTTGAAGAGAATAAAGGATTTAATTGATTGGATTTATTTATTTATTATTATTATGTACTCATCTGAGGTTTACTTACCATAGAGTAAATTATAAATTATTCCATCTCGTTTTGTTAAACGAATTAATTGATTCCTTTACATTTTGAAACTAATTATTTAATTATTTTCATTTTAATTTAGACAATAATTTAATTTTTTTTGTTAGTTTTTTTTTTTAAGAATGGAGATGAGATATCCTTATTGCAATATTTTTTGTTTCTAAATTACTTTTTTTATTATGTATTATTTTTCGAGGATATGTTAGAGGATATTTTAGAATATTAAATGTAAATTTGATAGATGTGGCAAAAATTAAGGATGAAAACTAAATGATTAGTTTTCGAGAAACCAGTTGATAAATTACTCACCTATTAAAATATTTGTTCCATTCTTTTGATTCACTGGATTCAAAACTACCTTGCATCCAGAATAAATTATTAAATTTCTATAAATATACTTGATTAATGTGGGATGAGCGTTCTTAAAATCAGTGATTATGTAATGGGAGAAAACTATTCACATTGTGTAGCAATACCCATAGATCTCTTGATGAACCAAAAAAGAAAAAAAACAATCCCCACCACGTTACTATCACCAGCCACCACCGCCACCGCCCAAAACCTTTACAACCACCATCTTTTTACCAATATAACCACCATTTTATCATCATCCCACTGTAACCCTCCAATACCACCAACTCACCGCCACCATCATTTGGTTTTCAATATAACCACCACTTCATCACCATTTCCACCATCTCTATAGTCATTTCAATACCATCACTACCACAGAACAACCATCACTACCACCACTATAGGTCCAGGAAGGTTTATCTGTGTAAGAGTATCCTCAATAAAATACCATCAAAGTCTACCATAGCATTTCTCCAAATCGACTTTAATGGCCATGAAACCTCTTTTACCCTCAATATTTTTCATGGAGCGAATCACTTCCGGAGCTATATCTATATTATCAATGATGTGGCGCCCAGGAACAAAACTGCATTGATAAGGGGAAACCAGCTCTGCCATGACTGACTTAAGTCTGTTGACCAGAATTCTAGTGACAGTTTTATACACAACATTGCACAAGCTTCTCGGCCTGAACTGATGCAGATATTCAGGATTGCCGCATTTTGGGATGAGTACAATAAAGGTCCGGTTGACACAATCAATATCATGATCACCGATAAAGATACCCCTAACAAACTCATATAGATTGGTGCCCACCGTGTCCCACTGAGATTGATAAAAGGAAGTTTGAAATCCATCTGGGCCTGGCGCTTTAAAAGCACCCACATCAAACACTTTCGGCAAACTTCCTCAAACGAGACAATAGCGTCTAAAGCATCAAAGTTCGCAACAGATATAATTGGGAATACCTAATGGTACACATCAAAGGAGGACTGACTGAACTTCCATAGAATATAGCTTGTGGAAGAAAGATACTGTCATATCTTCAAGATGACTCCTGTCTCAAATCCAATTTTCTAAATCATCCTGAAGACAAACAAATTCTGTTTTATTTCCTTCTAGCAAGAGTGGTAGCATGAAAGTACTTCGAATTTCTGTTCCCAAATAGAATCCACTTAAACCGAGATTTCTGATACCAATGAATTTCTTCCTGAAATAGCACCTGGTAGCATTCTGCACAAAGATCCTTCTTCAAACTGTAAAGAAGCTTACTTTTCCGCCAAAAAATATTACCGAGCACATCTTTATTCCAGTCTTTCAAACAGGCAGAAAAGGAAGACAAATTCTGAGTAATATTTCGAGTAGAAAGCCAATCATCCTTCAAAACATTCTTGAAATCATCATGAGACACCCAAGCTGCTTCAAATCTGAAAGCCTTGTAGCTGGGTTACAAGAATTGGTATGGAGATCCAACGAAATGGGATGATGATCAGATTTAACCCTTGGAAGCACCCTCGCTATAGCTTCAGAAAATTGAATTCTCCAATCAACAGAGCAAACACCCCTATCCAGCCTCTCAAAAACACGACTACGACCCCTTCTTTCTGGCCCGGCCAGGTAAATGTAGGACCCTTTGGACCAAGGTCCATTAAGATTAAGTTACAAGCATTCAATACTGATTGAAACTTAATACATTGACGAAACTCAGTAGAAACACCTCCTATCTTTTCATCAACTGACAAAATTTTATTAAAATCCCCCAAGGCTAACACTTCTCTACACATAAACCAGCAATATCCCGAAGGGAATGCCATAACTTTTTTTGATGTTCTCCTTAGGATTAGTATAAATAGTTGTAAACCCCGAAATATTGCCTTGATAAGTAGCTGATCCTTATATCTAACCACATCAATCAACCCACAAGAATTATTCCAGAATAACCAAATAACACCTGAAGACCCATTAGCTTCCCCTCCAATGGAATAATCAAAACCCAATTTCTTAATGACTTTATAAGCACTTTGACCACTAATCCAAGGCTCAACAATTACAAACATATGTGGTCTATAGACCCGGGAAATATCCTTTAAAATACCGTGGAACCTCTGACTAGCGGCACCACGGCAATTCCAATAAATGATATTATTAAACATAAAAATAATTGGAAGAGGAAAAAATCCAACCTGCCCAATCAATTGGGCGCATCCATGGGCATACCCGGTTCAACAGCAACGACATCATTGTCATCACCACTTCCATATAAAGAATCTCCATCTATAGAATCAAAAAAACCATCCTCATCCATGTTGCATAAACCTCCTTGCTCATCTACTGCCCTGACATTCTTTGGTTGAAGATTTGGAAGCCTAGGAGGACCACTTCGCTCATCTCCTTCAACAATAGTTGAAAGAGGCATCGAGGATTTTTCTGGAGACTCCCGTAGTAGAAGATGATAAAGGCAAAGAAATAAGAGAAAGAGCACCTCTGGGCTCTGACTGAAGAAGAAGAAGAAGTACCTCTAGGCTGAAGAGCACGTGCCACCTCTCTTGACTTAGGCAACCTGAGTAGTTTGGGCCTGCGTAAAAGGCATATGTCTTTTTTGTGAATTTAAAAAAACTGATGAGCACCTGTAAAAAAAACCTAGTGGGCTTAAGGGCTTGATACATGGGCTCTTTACTATGACGTGTCTATTAATAGCCCTCATAAACCACTTTACGTATCTCCTGTTATTTATTTATTTATTTATTATTCTTTTTTGGGGGTAAGTTGAGATTCCCTTTTTTCGGTAAGTTGACAATTGAGCTTCTCCCTCCTGCATTCTAGACCTAACAGATACAAGTACAATCTGGATCTGGACAAATATATCACAGCATTAAAACAATACACGTACTACATACATTGTTGCTGTTTATCAGAATCAGGCATACGAATGACTAATTAATATTTCTAGATAGCAAATTAAGAAAAAGTTTATAATATATAAATAGTAACCAATGACATATATAGTAATTATTTTATAGACTCACTTTAAAGAGATAGATAAAAATATATATATATATATATATGAAAGAGAAAATAAAAATTTTTTGAATGGATGTGAAAATCTTACTATTACTTTTGATGGATTCAGATGTAATTTCACTTTTTTTTTTTTTGTCTATCTTTCTCTTCAAAGTGAATTCATGAAATAACTATTGTACATGTAACTAATTATTTTTTTATATTATAAAATTTCACAAAAATTAAAAAGATGAATATTTCTTGCCGAATAGAAATTAAGATTCCCTAAATAGGATTAGGAATTTCCTGAAACGGTCAATGAATCTAATCTTGACATGCAAAAACAGAGCAGCGAATATAAATTTAGGAGATCGGTTAAATTTTATACTCTATCCTTCTGGCTTGTCCTTGTCATGCTAGGTTGTTCCTGTCACAAAATCATATAAATGTTGGTGCTGTTATCAGAAAACCAAGCCGCCTAAAACCTTCTCTTTCTTTCTCTCTTTTTGTGTTTTGAAGAGAATGAGAAAGAAAAACACAATGGAAAACAGTCCTTGTTTGTTTCTTGTTCTCTTTGTAACCCTTTCACGTTTTGTAGCTCCAAGTCATGGCATCATGAACCAAGGTGAAGCACTTGACAATCTTTACAAAGCCAAGTTTAGTAGAGATTCTAGTGTGGACACAAGTCCTTTCGAGGTAATTGATACAAACCAATTTGAGGTAATGAATATGCTTTTAGATAAATCAAAGGTTCGTCCTCGTCGGGAGGGATCAAAAGAGAGAGATAGAATCAAAATGTTGCCTGGACAGCCCCATGTCAAGTTTTCACAATATGGTGGTTATGTTACTGCTAATGAATCTGCTGGTACGGCATTCTATTACTATTTTGTTGAAGCTGATCGGCATTCAAAGCAGTCCTTGCCTCTTCTGCTTTGGCTAAACGGAGGTTTGTTAATCTTTACCCTACTTGCTACCTTTACTTATCGAAGCCTTTTTTTTAATTTCTACCAGTACTTATCATCTTCAAAACCCTTCGAATTCCTTACAGACCCATAAATCTTTCAACTCCACCGTTTATACATGTTCTTCCTTAATTACTACCTTTTGTTGTTCCTTTACTTTTCTTTTCTTTTTTTGATATATATCCGAGATCACACAAAATATGGGATATGTCATTAATTCATATGTGTGAACGTATCCCATAAAATATCTTAAGGATCTTACCTGAAATATTTGATAATTATTTCTATCTATATTTTTAGTTATAAACATCATGGCCTCGATCTCACACATCCCATATAATCCATGACATATGCTTTAATACGTTTTCGTGCAATTTTTTTATTTTTTATTGATCACCAAGGGGTGTGGTCTAATAATAAAGTAGGTGTTTTACTTTGATCAAGATCAAATTTTTATTTTTATTATTCACACATAATTAAGCATAGTCATAATCATCTATTAGTGATTCAAAATTTAAAGGGTTTGATCTAAAAAAGTGAAAAAAAATATTGTTATATATATAAACAAATATTAACCATTACTCTTTTTATCCTTAACCAATCATTTTAATATTTATGAAATTCACAATTTACCATTTATCATTTATATAGAATTTTAGTATTACTTGTCTCGCGTGTGTATGTCTATATATATATATATATATATATATATATATATATATATATATATATATATATATTAAGTTTAAAACTACTGTAAACCATTTAACAATCAATCAAAGTACAAATAGTCCTCGAAAAAAAATTAAATGCAATTTGTCCTCAAACTAAATTGGGGTTCCCGTGTTGTAATTGAAACCTTATGTTAACTCAAATTCAGTATCCATCCATCTTTTCCAATTAAAAAGCGACGTTCATGTGTTTGCTTTCTCTAAAAAAAATAAATGAAAACTTAGATAGGGTTAACCTGCAAACCCATTCAATCATGCAAACATTATTTTCAAAAAATTATACTAAAACTAAACATATAAATTATATAATTTTTTAAACCTTTCAAAAAATTTAGGATCATTCTAAATTATTTTCTAATTTTTTCAATTTTATTAATATTTAATATTTAAGAAAAATTTAAAAATGCTTCTTGACCTTTTTTTTTTTTAATTATTTTGGAAAGAAAATTGAATTTTTATTAGTATAGATGAAATTGTCAGTTTAAAATATCAAAAATTAAATTTGTTAAAGGGTTTTTGGTCAATGACATTAGCTAAAATTAACCGGAAAGACAATATCTGTTTAAAATATTATAATTTAAAACAAATTGACCAAATTAATAGTACAGACTTTACCAACAAAGGCTACTCTTATATATGCGACATCGTTTTAGCTGACTTGTTGATGTAGTAGCTTAATGTTAACACAGGCCCGGGTTGTTCATCACTGGCTTATGGGGCAATGCAAGAGCTTGGACCATTTCGTGTACATAGCGACGGGAGAACTCTTTATCAAAACAAATATTCGTGGAATAAAGGTATGATTTATCTTTAATCTTTCTTTTTATCTTTCAATTGAACAATGTTCAATGTCCAAAATGAGGTTAATTAATTAGTTTTCATAAGTTAATTTGAGGTTTTTTTTTTTTCAGCTGCCAATGTTTTGTTTGTGGAGTCTCCTGCTGGGGTAGGATTTTCGTACTCCAATGCCACATCGAATAATTATTATACTAATGGAGATAGACAAACGGCTGCAGAAAATTACAGGTTCCTTGTAAATTGGTTAGAGAGATTTCCTGAATACAAAAACAGGGATTTTTACATAGCCGGAGAGAGCTATGCAGGACACTACGTGCCTCAGCTTGCACATAATGTTCTTTACCATAATAAGAAGGCTAATAGGACTATCGTCAACCTCAAAGGAATCATGGTATCTGTCTCATAATTGTTTAGTAAAGTGATATATATTCTTAAAAAAGTGCATGTGAACCAGCATTTCTGTCAAATTGTTTGGTAATATTACTTCTGTTTGGTGCAGATTGGAAATGCTGTGATCAATGATGAAACCGATAATAAAGGGATGTATGACTTCTTCGGAAGCCATGCTTTAATTTCGGCTGAGAACTTGCGTAGAATTCAACACTACTGTAATTTTTCAAATGCGAGTATATCTAACGAGTGCCAAGCAGCCATGGGCAAAGCCGATACAGATGTTGAGGATATTGATATTTACAACATCTATGGCCCCTTATGCTTCAATGGCAATCTCACATCCAAGCCCAAGAAGGCTTCAGTAAGTAAAAACATGTTCATTAATACTTATGATATTTCCTTTGTGAGTTTTCGCTTATATATGTTTTTGGGTAAATTGTTTCAAAGTGTGAGTTTTTTCTTAGTGAAATTAGATTTTAATATCCTGAGCTACGGAAAACTATTCTTCAACTCTAACTTTCGAACTGAAGCTCGGCGACTAAAATGTATTTGCACATATATATATATTACAGGGACTAAAAGAAATATACTCTTAATGAAATATTTTGGAGCTCTAAGTAATTCAGGACATATGAGTTACTTGAATCATTTTGTGATGCAGTTGGTGGATTTTGATCCATGTTCTGATTATTATGTGTATGCTTATCTGAATCGACCTGATGTCCAAGAAGCCATGCATGCCAATGTCACCAAACTCACTTATGATTGGGAACCATGCGGTGCTTTGAACTGGGCTGATAGTTCCGCTACCGTCATCCCCTTGCTAAAGGAATTCATGGCAAATGGACTTCGAGTATGGGTATTCAGGTTAGTAAATTAACACCCTTCTTAATTGTGTGCTTGTTGGGGAAATGCCTTTCCACTTGCTAATGGGCACCAAACTTAATTTGCAAAAAGCTCCCAAATTTTGACTAAGAAATGGAATTACGATGTGCTATAAATAATTAGCATGGTCTATCCCTTCTAAACATTTAAAGACGATGGCCCATCACAGGAGCTAGAAAGAGTAGAAAAAACTTGGACCAAAATATGGGCTGCTCTTGCGTTGGAGTTTTATTGATGGCTTGTTTGTAAAATTTCTAATTTTCGTGGATGATCATATATGGAGATCTCTTTCAGAAGAATGAGATGGATCTTCGTTCTCTTTCAAAAGAATACGATGAACCTCGATAATCCAAAAGTAATATAACCTAACGCAATCAATTCCAACTACAGAGGATTAGTTGTAGCAGCCCAAATTTTGTCATTTTTGTTGAGATCAGTTTACGACAACCAGACCTTTTTTTTTTTTCCCTTAAGAACATTTTGACAGAGTATCTGCTTACTGATCTTTTGTTTCAATGGTGTATAGTGGTGATACAGACGGAAGGGTACCAGTTACATCTTCCCAGTATTCAATAAACAAGATGAACCTTCCTATTAAAACCGAATGGAATCCTTGGTTCTTCAATCAAGAGGTAAACTGTCTTTTCTTTTCTTTTACCACTTCAGCATTTACTGAATTATATTATCTGAAGTAAACAAATTTCATAATAATGGAAGACGCCTATTAAGAATGTCATCATCTCAAAATAGAACTACAATTTTGCATTACTTTTCCAGGTTGGTGGATATGTACAAGTATACAAAGGGGACTTGACATTCGCAACCGTAAGAGGGGCTGGGCATATGGTACCAAGCGTCCAGCCTGTGAGAGCACTTTCACTGATCAGTCACTTCCTTGCTGGCACACCTCTCCCAACCTCCAAGCCAAACCCAAGAGCCTAATTTTTTTTGTTACTTAAGTTTGCAAAACAATAGCCTGATAGATAGGCTTGTTTAGCTATTCTTTTGTCCATAAACAAGGCAGGTTTAACTCAATTGGTATGTTTTCATCTTCATCTCCAAGTAGACTTGTTCAAGTCAACCTGAAAATTATAAAAAGAAGAATAAAGATGATCTTACCAAAAGATTGTTCCTCCAATAATTTCCCGAAAATTTTAAAAGTATTGGATCCACCTATAGAGTCCACTCATTCAATGAATGCTACTGCATGAAGTTTTCTTTCCATTCGCGAGTGCTTCACTGCTTCATTCTTTCCAACATTAGCAGAGAAAGCTGTGCATACAAGCAGGCGACTGTCGATGAATAACAACGAAATATCAAGGAAACAACGATTCATGATTAAGACCTCGATGGATATCGATAACCTTTGAGGCTTTAGCTTCACAACCTGTCTTAAGACAGCATATGATGCAGCAATAAAAAGAATGAAGCATGGGATGTCTAACCAAGAAAAAGAAAAACATCATTCCCCAATATTACCTCATATTCCCAACTCCTGCTCAAATACCAATTTTAAGGCAGCATCATCCTGAATATCCCAGAGAGAAATAAATAGTTGGTAATTCAACTACTCACCCCTCCCTAAATAAGGAGTTCCCTTACAACACAGTGCAGATGTCAGAGCACTTCACCTGAAAGCTTGAAATTAGTTCAGAGTGCGGCTAGAGCTCTATGGAACCAAACCATCACTGATTTCCTCACCAATTCAAACAGTTTCTGTTTTGAAATAAATATTCTAGATCAAATAAAGATTGGTGCTTTTGTAGTAAACATTTTACCAACAAAAGAAAACGTTTTAAAGATACGAAACTGCCAAGAATACCCAACTGAAGTGTGCACTAGTCGACCCATGTAAATCATGAGAACTTAAGCCTGAATTTGAGCTAAATCACAAGTTGATGGTAATTCAACCAGAATTCTTTGGGCAGGAAAAATGTTAATTCAACCAGAATTCTTTGGGCAAAAAATTCCTGCTATAATAATCAGTTACCACAACAACCTGACAAAATGCCATGAAAATTCTTTCCCCTCAAAACTAAAACTAAACACGATTCACAGTAAGTAAGAAACAGAACATCTTTGTTTCGATAATTCAAAATATTATAGATTACAGAAAGAATACATTTTACAGTGTATATGGAAGAGAAACTACATCGAGCAACCCCATAAATTCTCTACATGTCATTGCCATCAATTATCTCCACACAAGGGATATGGGATATCAATGGCCAGTACAATCCTTTCTCCTTGGAGCAGCGCCAAGTCAGCAATGGACAGTCCCTGATGCTGAATCTTCCAAGTGCACGAGGTAGACATTCCTTTGGCAAGGACTTCAATTTACGACAATCAACAATCTCTAGCTCTTCTAGAGATGCAAGGCTTTGGAGCTGCATGGATAGAGATTCCAAATTTGGAAGTCTTCCAATCCAAACAGAAGTTAGAGTTGTGGGAAGCAGACAATCCTCATCTGGAAAGGTTACAGTGTCTGAAAAACATCCACCAGCTATACTAAAATCTCTAAGAAAGGCTAGACTTTGCAAGTTCCAGTTTGAAAGGCGCCTGTCAAGATTATCACAATCCCAGACCTCAAGTGATGTCAAGTTTGGAGGCAGATACCCGTTTGGAAAGGATTCAAGAGCTGGGCAGCTACAAATTGTCAGTTCATGCAGAGATGTGAGTTTTTGCAACTCATTGGGCAGAGACTTGAGCTTTTTGCAATTGTAAATATTCAACGTTCTGAGGCTAGGGAGGAAGGGGCCAACTCCTGGAAAGCATTTGAGATCAGAACAATTACTCAAATTCAATTCAGTAAGAAGCTTGAAGCTGCTAAGGCACTCAGGCCAACTTGTCAGAGTTTCGCAATCCGAAATGGCTATGTATTGAAGGGACATATCATCATGCAGCAACCTTTCAGAAAGTGGCTCCAATTGAGAACAATCCCAAATTTTTAATGTCTTGAGTCGAGTTGGTAATTTCCCAGCAGGAAAGGATGTGATAGATGGACAACCAATTATCTCCAAGTGCTCAAAATGACGCAAGGTGTCAGGGCCATTTTCATTGTGCATCATCCCCACTGGTAGAGACCATAATCCCGCACAGTATCGAATCTTCAACCCTTTTAACGTCGTAGGTAACATGCCTCCTGGAAAGCATTTGAGTGATGGACACTCTTCTATCTCCAAGTCTTCAAGAGGACACTTGCACAAACCATCCGGGAGAGATTTAAGAGCTTTACAATCCCGAAATACCAGATGTCTGAGTGATAATAAAAGTCCAGCCTCAGGGACGGACACAAGCTTGGGGCATGATTCAATACACAGATCCTCAAGAGACAAAAGGCTGTGCACCTTGTGGATTGGCAGAAGCTCCAGTTTATCACAGCTCAACAATTTTGAACTTTTAGGAGTCCTGCTGGACATACCAATCTCTGTCAATGACATAAAATGAGGATGTTCACGATTTTCCAATCCAGTTCCATTTTGCCACAAATAGTTTAGTTTGGGGAAATTGGAAATCACCAGAACTTTAAGTGTTGCCTGTGACAGCAGAAAGTCCTCCAAACATGTAAGCTCTGACATGCTCCTAAGGTTCAATGTAGTTAGGGAGGAGATATCAACCATGCATTTAAGTGTCACCTCATTGCATTCTTCTAATCTCAGTTCACTAAGCACTGGTAGTTTTTCATGTGAATCTACCAACAATGGGCATTTTGCAATCGTAACCTTTACACAGGAAGGAAGGCAGCTGTGTAATTTGCCTCTCAACTTGGGGCAATTCCATAAAGTAAGCTCAGAAAGCCTAGGAAATTCTTCTTCAACTTCATCAACTCCAGCCGAAGAACACCAAAATTTCCATTCTGGCATATCCTCGAATTTTAAAGTCTTCAGAGACGGAAAATGCTTGACTGAAGAACCATCTCCATAAAACTCAGGACCGACAGTCACCACAGCATCCAGACCCTGTATGCACAGATCCCTGAGTGAAGGTAGCCTCCCAAGCGGTGGCAATACAGTGCATTTCCAGCAACGAGAAAGTGTTAGGCACACTATTTCAGCAAATGATGGATTTCCTACCCATGATGGAAATTCTGTCCCACCATAGCATGAAATCTTTAGCTCTTCAAGGTTGGTATGAGGTTGTAGTGAATTGAGAACAAGCATTTGACGTTCTGATTTTTTATCTTTGAAGTCACTGTTAGACCATTCCAATTCTAAAGACCATTCCAATTCTAACTCAACAAGGTTATGCTTATCCCTTAAATTAGCATGAACTGCATGTCGAGCATCCATCACATTATGCAACGCTGATATGGAAAGTCGGCCTTGAAGATTCTTCAACGCTTTTAATTCTTCAATTCCATAGCCCTTCTTTTTCCCCACAATGAACTTGGACAACTTCTGAAGACCTGTCAAATTACTCATCAACGAAGGCATCTCAATCAACTTATCAGTATCGGTAATATCCAGAACACAAAGGTTGATAAGCTTCCAAGTCCCTTGGGGCAGCTTATCAAGCTTCCTGCATCCATATAATTTGAGAGTCTGCAAGTTTATGAGAGTACTCACAGATTCAGGCAACCGCTTAATCTCAGTTTGAGACAAATTAAGGTAACGCAACTGCTTCAAATCACCAATTGAATTTGGTAGCTCTATAATGCAATAACCACTCAATGACAGAACTCTCAAGTGTCTCAATTTTGACAGTGCCTCGTGTAATACATAATTACTCAGGTAGCAACATGCTGCCCAAGGTGACGAGTAAAGTCGCAGTGCAATGAAAGTTCGCAGACGCTTCAATTTACCCAGATCTTTGAACCTCTGCAGCACCTCATACGTATGACGAGTGAATGACATGTGGCGCGTCTTTTCAAGAACAGGAATGAGCTTGTTATGTTCCAACTTATCACTTAAATTGATACACAATTCTCCAGCAATAGATTGAGCCAGATCACTGATGAGATGATGCATCAGAAACCGTGGTTCCTTGCTGCTTGATGGCTGAAAAAACGATCTTGATAATAATTCATTGAAACAAGAATCTAAGTCTTCCATCTGCTTCTTTCCTCCTGCTCCTGGCAGAAATCCCTCGGCCATCCATAACAACACTAACTCATTCTTGTAGAATTCATAGTCTTTTGGAAGAATAGAACAGAAAACAAATAATTGCTTCAAATGCGAAGGAAGATGATAGTAGCTCAACCTCAAGGCTGGAACAATGCCACTCTTGTGTTCTGATATATCCCACAGTTTGCTATTAAGTACACTTTCCCATTCATCAAGATAAGGTTTAGTGCGCAAGAGGCCCCCAAGGGATTTAACAGCCAATGGCAGTCCTCTGCACCTCTGAACTATTTTCTGGCCGATCACCTGCAGATCTGCGACATCACCAAAATTGGATCTTCCCAATGCATGCTTTGCAAACAAAGACAGGCTATCATCAAACGACAGTTCTTTCAAAGGGTAACCTGGAATAGCACTCATTGTTAATGCAACACCTTGATTACGAGTTGTGACAATGATTTTACTCCCAGGAGATGTCACTTGGAAAGGACGGCGGAGGACAGTCCAATCATCATAGTTCTCATTCCAAACGTCATCCAGAACAATCAGGAACCTCTTCCCCACCAATTTGTCCCTCAGCCTAAGTTGAATCAGATTCAAATCCTTCGCATCATAACTCCCTGATTCCACTGCCTCAAGAATGGTTCTTGTAACCCTAAAAACATCAAAATCCTCAGAAACACAACACCAAACTTTCAAATCAAAATAACTTGTCACTTGCTCATCATTGTACACAAGCTGAGCAAGAGTGGTCTTACCCACACCCCCCATGCCCACAATAGGAACCACACCAATCCCATACTCATCACACCCTTCTTCACCAAAAAGCAACTTTAAGGTTTCCTCTTTATCTTTGTCCCTACCACAAACATAAGAAACATCCACCAAAGAAGTGCTGGGTAACCTTTTCAATGACTTATTCTTAAGCATCCCTCCACTGCCATTCTCTCTAAGCTCAAGATCATTCTTCTTTTGCGTAACTTCTTGCAATCCAGCATTAATACTTCTAATCTTGGAGTCCATTTTGTGGTTAAATACAAGGTTACTGAGACTGAAAGCAGAAATAATCTTTGGTATTCTATGACTCACCTTGCTGGAGCTAGTTTGTTGTTCCTTTTGCAGTTTCTGGCGCAAAATCTCAGTGAAAAATTCATCGAGGAAATCATCAGCGTCCAAGGCCAAATCACGGAGCTGATCAAGCCAAAGTTTGACAGGACGGCTGCTCATTTGCTTCTCCTCTGCATCGTCAAGGACTGTATGGATCATTTGCATAGATGTCTCCAATTTCTTGATATCAGAGTGGATTTTTCCTCTCCTAGCGAAATTGAGTAGCTGTGGAGAGGCTAATCGCTCCACTATATGGCTGATTGTAGCTGAAAGGATTGCGTCTCCGATAACAAGAGCCATGGTTTTTTTTTTTCTTTCGGTTGTGTGTGGGTAGCTTGCAAATGGCTCTCACTTGAAATTAAAATTAGAAAGAAAGAAACCACCAAAGAACTGGGGTCACTGTGTTTGTATGTAAACTTGGGGAAGTAGTTTTAGATTCCGGCGAGTCGGCAAGGGTTTTTTCTCCTTCTTTCTTTTAGGTTCACTCCAGATGGCAGGGAACAGTTCGGAGAAAATTTATAATCTTAAACAATCACTAATGAGAAATTTTATAATACAACAGTAATAACGAGTGACGTGTAGTTACTCCATAAATCTTTTTTTAGAAAAGAGATAAACACATAAAAAAGATAAAAATTATATCTATACTTCGTTAAAAATGCTAATAAGATTTTCACATCCGTTCAAATTTTTTATTTTCTCTCTCCTATTTCTATCTCTCTTTTCAAAATGGATCCATAGAGTAAGCTACTTTATATGTCATTAATTACTTACGATGTATTATAAAATTTCTCATCACTAATGATATATATAATAATAATTATTCCATAAATTTATTTTAGAAAAAAAGATCGATAAAAAAAATTAAAAAACAAACGAATCATTATAAAAATCTCATAATAACTTTTAATATATCACATGTAATTTTATATATCTATTTTTTAAAAAAAATAAATTTATAAAATAATTATTACAAGTATTATTTATTATTAGTATGGTTATTATAAAATTTATCCTATCACACCGGTTTTTATAGTTCCTTAGCTGACAATTATATTTTAGTTTTGGCCTCCTGATTTTGTGATAATTATTCATCTCGCCTTTTATATTTTTAACTTCGTGGATTGATTTCAAAATTGACAAAATGTTAATCAATTTGTCAAGAATATGTTACCTAACTTAATGCATTCAAAGTTTCAAACGTGAAGCACGACAATTGCCAGTACTACTTATAAAGTAAAATAAAAACTACCAGTGCTTGAAAATTTTTAAAACCCATAAGTAAATTAGAATTTTACGTGTCATTTATACATAATTGATTTATATACACGTTATAATAAATTGTAAATTGGTATTAAGATCTTGATTGATAAAAAAAAATGCCTGATAATATCATTATTTTACATCAAATACACATACACATATATTTTAGAGTAATAAATAGAAAGAATACTTATAAATACAATTAAAGCAATCCGATATCGTTTTTAATGTAAACCAAATATAAATAATTTTTTATTTTATTGGTAAATTATAATAATCATCTTAAAGTGTCAAAAAATTATAGAAAGCGTAAAAAATGGAAGATTTGAATGAAATTCCTTGTTATATCTAAAATGCTTCTAATTGCTATTTATATAAAAATAGATAAATTTTAAAAATTATAGAAAGAAAGAATATCGAGAGAAAAAAACTCAAAACAAAATTAAATAGTGAAATTTTATATTGTTCGTGTATTGAAAAACAATCATGTCCATTTTTTCTTGGTATACTCTCTCTAGATTTCTAAGTTTTTAATTTAATTATATTTTTCAAACAATAATTAAGGGTATTTTTGGCATGAAATAAAGTTTTTATAACATATTTTTAAATATGGAAAAGATTTTTGTTAAATGTTTAAATTTTTGGAAAGGATATTTATATTTCATAATATCTCAAAAAAATATTATTGTAATTTATATTTTAGGGATAATTACCAGAAAAAAGCTCTAAAAAAATCTTATATCTAGATAACCCATAAATTTATTTTTAAATCTCTCAAACCCAAAATAATATTTTTCTTACCAAAATAATCAATAGTTAACACTTAACTATTGGTTATTTTGATAAGAAAAATATTAATTATTAACACTATTGGTTGTTTTGACAAGAAAGATATTATTTTGGAGCTTGCGAGATTTAAAAATATTATTTTGTATTTATGAGATTTAAAAATAAAATAGTAAATTTTTTAGATATTGATTGTTTTGATAAGAAAAATATTATTTTAGGTTTAGGAGATTTAAAAATAAATTTATGAATTTTTTTAATATAAGATTTTTTTATAAGGTTTTTCTGATTATTATCTCTGTATTTTATTTATTCATATTTGGTTGGTGAGCGTCTTTTATCTTTTTTACAGAATTTCATCCACAAATATCTTGAACTTCATTCTCCATATAAGCGTCAACAATCCAAGTACTTCCTTTAAAATTAAGCTTCAATCCGGTGCCCACGTAATTGGTCAGCAATCCATATACTTTATTTGAAAAAAATAATTAACAAATTAAATTTCTCAACGGATCCTATTCGAACGCTTGTATATATAAAATGCATAATGTTGTTTTTTTCAATTTCATTATTCGCATCTTATATTTTCACTAATTTGTTATAAAAAAATCTTATTTGTTATTAATTCGATCAATTAGGTATTTATATTTTCGATTTTAATTAATTAAACGCTATTTGTCTAGGTTAAAAAAAACTATTCAATAGATTAAAAAACCATTAAATTTGAACCTCCTCGAAGCGGATTTCAAAATTTTGATAATTATTCCATCCTTCGGAAAATGGAATCATTTGACTTTTGAAAATAGCATGGAGAAATAATTTGCATAGAGAAAAGAATAACGGAAAGAGGGATAGCATGAAACATGGATGGCGGCAAAATAAAGCGACCGTATTTGTTCCCCACGCCATAATGATGTGTTAGTCTGAAAAAGCGTGCGACCGAACAAAAAGCTTCTCTTCTCGTCGTTTCTTCAAAAACGGCTACCGTAATATTCTGAAATGAAATATTCCTAAGCCTAATATGTCAAAAGAGGTGACGTCCAGAAATTGTTTTAGACGATTCTCTAAAACATCTTTTTAACCAAACTTATTTATATTATCTTATATTTATTTAATTAATTAAAAAAAATTAAAATGATGAGAATTAAATTCGTGATATCCTTTGATCATTAATATTTTAATATTACACCAAAACATCATTTTAAACTAAAAGTTTAAATTCTTTTTTTCTAATAAAGTTTTGGCATCCATCATAAAACAAAAATGAGATTGTTTTTTAAAATCGTCTTTAATAGTATAATTTTTGAATATCTATCTGGTATTACAAAAATTTTGAGTTTTGAAAATTAAGTTTTTGGATTCACAAGAGTCCTAAACACGTTGAGCTTAGTGAGAGGCGGGATTAGAATAATCATCAAGCTTTAGAAGTATTAAAGGTTATTTTGAAAATGTTGAAAATATGCAAATATTAAAGGAGTAGATTGAAATGTTGACTTCTCAAAATAGGCCCTTAAAAGGAAGAAAACAAAAAAGAAAAAGGCTTACGTGCCGCTCCTGCTTTAGGAATGCAGGTACGAACATAATACATATATGATGATACGATAATTTTAAATTTAGAGTATTATACGTGTGGGATACGTCAATTTTTAAAATATTTTATATATGATATAAAAAATTAAAAATATACCAATAAATTGTTAGTTTCGACAGTAACAAGCTGATTTCTAGACGAATTTTTTGCTAATGTGTAGAGTTTGAAAATCTAAAATTATACTTATTGAAAAGAATTAAACATTGTTACTCTCTCTCCGAATAAAATTAATTATATCTTCAACATTGAATATGAATACATGAAGAAAAATAATATTGAAAGTTAAATAAAAAATTATAAATAAATAAATAAAGATAATACTAAAATTTAAATAAATATAACCAATGATAATGTATAATCAATTAAATAAATGAATATATAAAGCTCGGAAAGAAATATAAACATTATGTTATCTATATTTGTTCAACAATTAAATAAATTTAAACATTTAAAAATTAAAGTATCTCAATAGTTATTATGATCAGCACCAAAGAACCGATGATAATTTATTTTTTATTTAATTTAATTATTTATAATACCTCACTTTTAATTTATTGTTTGGGATAAACTATATCATTTTTAAATCTAGAAACATTAATGTCATTTTTTTCAAAATCAAGATTTTAAAAAATAAATTATAGTATTTTTCATTTTCATTTAAAATACTTTTCATATAAAAATATGATAACTTAACATTAGTGAAAAAAAAATTAAAAATATTGAAGTAAAGCTATGTTTAGTTAAATGATTAAGTATTTTAACTTATAAAAAAGTTTTTTAAAAAATATTAAAACTAAATTAATAAAAAGATTAAAATTTTATTTCTAAAATAAATTTTGGATCCTGTCCCTCACGTACCGTGACCATATCCGTCACGTGACCTAACCTTGTTCTTTTAATATATATTGTATGTATCGAGCCATATCTGATGCGTGTTTGCGTATGATATTTATCCTATATAGAAGATATTTTTAAAGCATTCGATCTTCTTGATTGTATGAAGACTTAAACTTGAAGTCAAGTGTATTTAGGCCATGTAACCTTTTAATTAATAGAATAAATAGATTAATTCATCTTTATATAATATTTAAAGTTTTTTTTATCTATCTTTAAGATTTTAATTGCATTCTATATGTTTTTAAAATTTTTAAAAATATTACATCTATCTTTCGATTAATTTTTCATACAATAAATTTTTTTTAACCAAAATATTCATGATTGAAATGTAAAAAATAATAATAATAAATAAATAAATAAATTTTAAAGATTTCAAAAATATAATTTACAGGTTATGCGATTTAAAATTTTTTTTCTCATTTTAGTAGAAGGTATCTAGGTAAAAAAAAAATTGTTCATTGTCGAAAAATCAAATGACAAATTTAATAAGTCAAAAAAAAAATCAAGAACAGATGTATTGCCATTAAAAACCTAATAATATACGGAAAACTTTAAGTATAGTATAAAGATAAATTCATCTATTTATTGTAATTAATATTCTAAACATTAGGGATAAAAAAACGAAAATTTCATTTGCAGGAGAAAGGCCCCGAGCCTCATATAAAAGGGCTAAGCTGGGCTTATAACACCCAATCAGTGAAGCTGAAGCCCATTGATAATCAATCCCAAGTCGACGGTGAATCTTCTAGACGAAACTGGAGCCGAGGCTGCTGCGAAAGTTGTGGAATATGAACTGCCAAAATTGGACAAGGCTTTCAAGTTTCCAAGGTAGATTTAAAACCCAACAAACCAGTTGACATAGGGTTCTGAGAAACATTGCATTTGGTTTTAATTTTTTTATAAAACATTTATTTCGATTCTTAACTTTATTTATATTGCAATTTAATATACTAAATACAGAGAAAAACAAATAAAGAAGGAAAGAAAAAGAAACCTACAAGGTAACCAGTTCTGACAATTTGTACTCTTGATCTTAGTTTCAATTTGTTTATATTGAATAAAAGAATTTGTTCATAGTGATTCAAAAACATGAAAGAGTTAGAGAAAGAAGGCGAGAATTTCAAAATATTTTTGAGCTTTTTAATGCATTAAATGAGTTTTAAGATTGCAAATGGGGTTTTTTTTTTTTTTATGTAATTCCAATAATTTTGAGATGTTTTAGGATGAAAACTAGCCGATTACCCACGTTATGCAACGAATCCAATAATTTTAAAATTTTAAAATTTTTTAATTATAAGTTTTTATTTAATTAATTTTTTCTAATGTTTTTTCATAAATTTGTTGCTTAAAAAAACCATAATTCATTCTTCTTTATAGATTGATTTTAAAATAAAAAATTGCAATGATTCTAACTAAAATATTAATCAAGAATTACAAAAAACTTTAAAATATATTTTTCATAATATTATATTTCAAAAAATAAAGTTACAATTAATGGTTATACTTTTATAAAAATTAACACGTGAAAAACAAAACTTATTTAATGTTGATAAGAAGATTCATTTTTGAAATTATCCACGAAACATTGCGGGCGAGATAGAACAAAATCATTTCAAAATTTTATAATTTTTACATTAATTTTTTATTTAATTATTACTTTTTTGTTTTTTCATAAAATTTCTACTTAAAAAAACATGATTTAGTCTTCTTTATTTAGGAATTTTTAACTAAAAACTTGTAATAATTTAAACTTGAAATATTAATTAAGAATTCAAAAACAAGTACTTTAAAAATATATATTTTTTATAATAATGTATCCAAAAAATAAAGTTACAATTAATGTATAGACTTGCATAAAAATTAACTAATGAAAAAATAAAATTTTATTCTTATTTAATGTTAGTGAGAAGATTATTTTTTAAAAGTATATGCATTTGATCTTTATATATTTATTTACATGTAAATTAATAAAATTAGCATAAAATACATGTACTTGAATAATTAGGTGGTTTATTTAAAAAATTATTTTAATTATTTTATTTCAAATAAATTTGTTCTATAATGTTAAAAAAATATATCCATATTGAATAATTTGCATTATGTTAGAAGATATATAGTTAATTTTTAATAAAAACAATGATTGAATAGTTTTTTTTTTTTATACATCTTGACCATACCCATTGAAGTGAAATAAATTATTTGAAATACACTTTTAACCTCTTAGAATAAAATAATTATATATTTATATGTATGCAACCATCATTTTAAAATGCTAAGAATTCATGGCATATATTATACCAATTTATTTTTTGAAAAAGAAAAAAATTCAAGTTTTAAAATTTTATTCTAAAATTCAAATATAGAGAAAAATAAATTATATTTATTAGTAAATAAAATTTTATATAAAAAATATTAATTTGATTATAATTTTCATAAAAAAAATAAAAATTTTAAATAATGAAATTTAAATAATAAGAAGTAATATAAGATAAATTATATGTTAATTGTAATACATGCATAAACGCGTGTGTGTTATGAAAGTTGAGGATTGAAAAAAATGGTTACAACACGAAGGACAAAAATATGAAAAAGTGTTAAATTTGCATATTAATGCAACAAAAAAAAAAATACTTAAATAGCCATTAGGTAAATAATAATTTTATACATGTGAAGAGTAAGTGAATAGAAATTTTAGGCATATGAACAGTTTAAATTCCAACGCTATATTGTGGATCGACACTAAATATATTTATGTCAATTTAATAGAACATATCATGTCATCAATTAATTAAAATATAATAAATTAAATATGAAAGATAAAATTTCATCTCATTTATAATTTTTTAATTAAAATCTTGAAATATATATATGTATGTATGTATGTCATCGTATGTATGTTTTGAATAAATTTGGAAGTCAAACATAATATGATTTGTTCTTTCTTATGCATTTATTATTAAATAAAAATCCATAATAAAAAATTTTAATTACAAATTTTGAAAAAAACATCTTAATATTTTTTTCATAACATCGTGTCGAGGAAATAAAAAAACAATTAAGATAAAACTTGTAAGAAAATTAACAAATGAAGCTTTTTGACTAATGAGAAGATTGTTTTTTTAAATATGTACACTTGATTTATATATATTTATTTACAAAATAATGAAAAATATTAGTATATAAAATGTATTTAAATTATTATGTGGCTATTCTAAAATATTATTTCAATTATTTTATTTAAAAAATTAATTTTGAAATATTAAAAAATAATAGTAAATAGATGATATTCTATATATAGATGCATAGTTGATTTCTAATAAAATCAATGGCTCTAATATTATTATTTTTTATACATCATGATCTGTACTCGCTAAGTGAGAATGTATAGCATAAATTGAAAAATATTTTAAAAAATTAGATTATAAAATATATATTGAAGTTAATATGGTACAATAAAAAATATAAAATTGATTTTGATAAAATTTAATTATATAAGAGAATAAGAAAATAATATATATATATATATATATATATATATATATATACATATATATATATATATATATTTGATTATATAGGAATAAAGCAAATAAAAAAATATAAAAAAAACTTATTTGAATCCATACATCATACTTATTAATAAATAAAATTATATAAAAAGAAGAATAAAAATTAACTTAAATTGAATGTTTATAATACATTGAAAAGATCAATTTTAAACAATAAGAGTAGTATATATTTATTCTAAAATCTATAAATATATCATATATATTATATAATCATCAATTTGTGTGACAAAAAAATAACGATTAATTTTTCAAAATTTTAACACCTAGTTAAATAAAAAAATGATGAAAAAAATCAAAGAAAAAAAAAGCACGTGTACTACATCAATTAAGCGATTAAAATTTTTATTTTAAAATTTTAGAAATCAAAATGAAGGAATTTAAAAATTACAAAAAAAAGATGAACAGTGAAACTCATTGTTCAAGTATATATTATATAATTGTCAGTTTGTGTGGCAAAAAAGTAACAATTGATTTTTCAAAAGTTTAAGAACCAGTTAAATAAAAAAAAAGAATATAAATTGATGACAAAAATCAAAGGAAAAAAAAAGGCTTGTGTACTACATCAATTAGGGAATTAAAATTTTTATTTTAAATTTAAAAGGACCAAAATGAAATAATTTAAAGATTATATAAAAAATAAAAACAAAACTAGGTGAATAGTGCTCTAGGGGGGTTAAGAGTTCAACTCGCTATTCAAGCATCCCACCTCTTTTAGTTATGTATATTTGTTGGCTTCCTGCACTATATTTTAAGCCAAGTTAAACATATTTATACTATAGATTCACAAAAATATATTAAATTAAAGATAAATTTTTATTTAATTTTATAATTTTTAATCAAAATTTTACATCTCTTTTGTTGTTTACTTTTTAATAGTTTTTATAGTTTTTTTAAAAAAAGGTTATTTTTTTATGCATCTATTCTTAACAAATTGGTAATAATCTAACTATGAAATTTTAAAAATATATTTTATTTTTTTAATTTTTTTCATAACATTATATTGAAGAAATAAGGTAACTTAAAAACCAGAATAAAAATTAACAAATAAATTTTATTATTCTTGTTTAATACTAACTTGAAGGATATTTTTTTGAAAGTGCGTGCATTTCGTGTGTGTGTGTGTGTGTGTGTGTGTTATTTTTCATAATCTTCGCACCCAATTCAATAACAAAAAATAATAATACATAAATGGGTGGAAAAAAGAAAGAAAATAAAAAAAGGAGAACAAAAGCAGCAATTTGCATAATTTTCACACCTAATTCAACAACCCATATATAATGAATAATATTGGTATAGAAAATTGAATTTTAATTATTAAGCGGTTCTTCTAAAAAAATTATATTTTAATTATCAAGCGCTTCTTCTAAAACATCATTTCAATTATTTTATTTAAAAACAAATAATTCTAAAATATAAAAATAATAGCACTTGTTGGTGTTATGAATATAGATGCATAGTTAATTTTCAATAAAATCAATAACTCTAATGTATATTTTTTTATACATCATGATCGTACTTATTAGGTTAGAGTGTGCAATATAAATTAATTTTTCTTAAAAAATATATATTGAAGTTAGTAGGATGGAACAAAAAAAATATTGATTTAGACAAAACTTAATTATATAAAGAATGATTAAAGAAAACATGTGAATTCTATTTTAAAAATTCGATTACATAAAAAATAAAAATAAAAAACAACTAAAAAATTTTATTCAAAAATCCTGACATAAAGGAAAATAAATCATAAATTTCAACAAATAAAATTACATAAAAAAATAAAAATCAATATGATGAAAATTTTTATAAGAAACGGCAAACTAAAGAGATCAGTTTTAAACAATAAAAGTAATATAATCTAATATATGTATTTATTTTAAAATCTAAAAACATATCATGTCTAGTTCATAAATCGTCATTTTGTATGAAAAATAAAAATAAAAATAAAAATAATTTATTTTTCATAATCTTGACACCTAATTTAGTAACCAAAAAAAAAAAAACATAAATTGATGGGGAGAAAAAGAGAGAATAAAACTAGCATTTTTCATAATACTCACACCGAATTCAATAATAAAAAAACATAAATTGATTAAAAAAAAAGAAAAAAAGGTAGGTATGCTTGCTTCCCTACCTTGGTCCTACCGAAGGCCCAATGCAATAGCCAAATGCGAGCGAGCCAATAGGCCGAATAGTTCATTAATCAAATTTTTATTTTAAAACTTTAAGGACCAAGTGAAAATTTATGTAAATTTGGAATATAAATGTCAAGAAATAGTAGAAAAATCACAAAATGTCATAACGCATGAATAGTGATTTGTGAGGGGATGAACAGGTGATTTTCACTGTCCAAACATCACCTCTTTTAGAGTCTTTTATAATGTTAGTTGGTTGCTCGCGTTATGCCACAAGTCCGGTAAAACAAAATTATTTTAAAATTTTAAAATTTTTTATTATAATATTTTATTTAATTAATTTTTCTAACATTTTTATAAACTTTTTGTTTAAAAAAATAATAATCGATTCTTCTTTATGGATTGATTTTAAAATTAAAAATTATAATAATTTTAAAAAATATTAATCAAGAATTGAAAAAAAAACTTTAAGAATATAATTTTCACAATATTGTGTTCTAAAACATAAATTTATAATTAATAGAAAGATTTTTACAAAAAATCAAGAATGAAAAAAATTCTTATTTAATGTTGATGGAAAGATTAATTTTTGAAATTATCCGCACAATGCTATAGGTAAATAGAACAAAATCAATTCAAAATGTTATATTTTTTATTATTTAATTATTTAATTATTATTATTTAATTATTTTTAATATAAAATTTATGCTTAAAAAAATATGATTTATTCTTTGTTATTCAAGAATTCTTAAATAAGAACTTGTAATAATTTAAATATAAAATATTAATTTAGAATTTGAAAATAAACACTCTAAAATTATATTTCTTATAAGAATGTATCTAAAAAATAAAGTTAGTAATAATGTATAGACTTGCATAAAAATTAACCAATGAAAATATAAAATTTTATTCTTATTTAATGTTGGAGAGAAGATTATTTTTTTCAAGTGTATGCATTTGATCTATATTTATTTATTTACAAAACAATCAATAAAATTTGAATAAAACAACATTTGAATGATTGGTTGGTTCCTTTAATTTTTTTATTATTTTATTCCAAATAAATTGGTTCTATAATGTTAAAAAACAAATATTCATAGTAATAATTTGTATTATTTTGAAAGATGTATGCATGGTTTATTTTTAATAAAATCAACGATTCAATAATTTTTTTATACATCTTGACCATAGCTATTGAACTAAGACAAATTATTTGAAATATATTTTAAAGTTTTTAGAATAAAATAATTATATATTTATATATATGCAACTATCATTTAAAAAATTCTAAGAGTTCGTGATATATATTATACCAATTTATTTTTTAAAAAAATCATATTTTAAATGTTTATTCTAAAATTTAAACATATAGAAAAATAAATTATATAATAGCCGTAAATAAAATTTCATATAAAAAATATTATTTAGATAAGCATTTTCATAAAAAAATGATAAATTCAAAGAATGAAATTTAAATAACAAAAGTAATATAAGCAAAAGTATGTGTTAATTTTGAAATATCAAAAGATATATTATATAATCGCCAGTTTGTATGAAAAAAGTTATGATAGATTTTTTAAAATTTTAACACTCAATTAAATAAATAAAAAAGTAACATAAATTGATAGAAGAAAGTAACACAAAATTTGATTTTTCAAAATTATAACACATAACTAAATAAAAAAAGAACATGATTTGATGAAAAAAAACAAAAAAGAAAAAAAAAAAAGAAAGAAAAGAAAAGACAAGACATACGTAGTGTATCAATTAAGAGATTAAAATTTTTATTTAAATTTTTAGGGACCAAAACAAAACAATGTGAAATTTTTAGATAATGAACAATAAATTACTATTTCAATGAACAACAACAATACTAATTATTTAGGTAATGTAAAATGAATCACTGTTTAAATGAACAGTAATTCACTATTTTAAGTAATGAACATCTAAGATAATTATTGTTCAAATGAACAATAATACTAATCAAATAAACAGTAATTATCCAAGATGTTTTAGTTTTTAGGTAAATTATATAATCGTCAATTTTTATGGAGAAAAATTACGATTGATTTTTCAAAATTTTAACACTTAGTTAAATAAAAAAAAAGAACATAAATTTATAGAAGAAAGTAAAGAAAAAATTGATTTTTCAAAATTGTAACACCTAATTAAATAAAAAAATAATATAAATTGATGAAAAAAGCAAAGGAAAAAACCAAAAAAGAAAAGAAAAGACATATGTAGTGTATCAGTCAAGGAATTAAAACTTTTATTTTAAATTTGTACGGACCAAAATAAACAATGTGAAATTTTTAGATAGTGAATAGGAAATTACTGTTTAAATGAACAGTAATTTACTGTTTTAAGTAATGAGCATCCAGGATAATTACTGTTCAAATGAATAGTGATACTAATCAAATAAACAGTAATTATCCCAGATGTTTTAGTTTTTAGGTAAATAGTGAATTAATAGTAATAATAATAACAGTAATGGTGGTAAAATTAGTTTCAAAAGATCGACTTGTGCTGTCTGGATATTCTGGCCGAAAATTGTGCCAGCAATGTCCATTTGCCCGTTTTTATTTTAAGGGCCGGTCCGTGTGTGTCCACCCCCAATACATGCCTGAATCTAGTTCTCAAAGCCCTGACGATGGAGGCTTGGCACATGCAGACACCACCACCCCACAACCCCCAACCCTCAAATACACACACACAACCTCACCCCCCCCCCCCGCGCACACACACACACACACACAAAACTCACTAATTATTTTGTAATTTTTTCGCAACCTAACAGAAAAAAATATTGATTATGTGTTTTTATATTTTAAACTTAAACATATATTTCAAAACATATTATTTTTATTATTTGAAATTTGTCTCTTCCATTTGTCACTTATTATAAAAATTTTCATCCAATTAATTTTTTTATTAAATTTTATTTACAAATATGATTTATTTTTCTCAATGCACGAATTTTTGAATAAATTTTTATGAAAATGATTTTTTATTAAAAAATAAAGGTTTTTGTGATGGATTCTTATAATTTTTAAATGAAATTATCATGATTCTAATATATGTTTGATCTAAAGGTTAGGAGTGTATTTTATAAATTTTTTCTCAAGTTTTTTTTAAATAAATAATTGATTGATGATTAAAAGTAAAAAGTTAATTGTGTTTAAGTACGAGGCCCATGCACAGAGACCAAGTAGGTAAGGTTTTGAAAAGAAGAAATATGTATATGCTAAAAGAATACACGTGTTACATATATATATATATATATAATCAATTTTTTAGGGACTGAGTTTACATATAAAACACCTAAATTTTTCATTGTTTTCGAATTTTTTTTTTGAAATCAAACTTTCTCAAATAAAATAAATAAAATTATTTTTTAAGAAAACTCAATTGTACCATACTTTTTAAATAGATGTTTCTTACACTAATATTATTGATTATTTTGAACACACACATATGCAAATCTTCTCATAAATATTCAATAAAAAAATTATGCAATATTTTTTTACATTAATTCAATTGTACCATACTTTTTAAATAGAGGTTTCTTACATTAATATTATTGATTATTTTGAACACACACGTGCAAATCTTCTCATAAATATTCAAGTAAACAAAAATTATGCAATATTTTTTTACATTAATTGTTGTTTTATTTTTTATGCAATTTTATGAAAAAAATAAATTTGTATATATTTTTTTTCAATTTGTGATCAATTAAAACTTGCTTTTTAGATTACTACAATTGTTTATTTAAGAATTCATGCATAAATAAAAACAAATCATATTTTTTTTAAGCAGTAAATCTATTATAAAGAATACAAGAAAGAATTAATTAAGAACAAAATTTTGATTTAAAAAAATGAAGTCAAGTGGAAAAAAATTGACTTTGATTTTGATATATTTTGTTAGACAACGATACAACGATGACCATCAAACTAAAATGTTTTTTTTTTATAATAATTTCACTTGTTTTGTTCGATCTGTGACATAACGTGAACAACCGATTAACATTCATCTAATTATGTCAATAAATGGCAAGCCTCTAGCTAGATATTAACGCAGTAATTATAAGCACACTTACTTCAACAAAAATACAGTTTTTAATTATTAATCTATTCGTTTTGACATTTTTTTCCTTATATTATTATAATTTTTTTTAGTTAAAAATATGGATAGAGATAAATAAATAATATTTTTTAATTTAAAATTTATGAAAAATATAAAAAATAATCAGTCAAATTCAAAATTTTAATTAAAAATTATAAAATTAAATAAATTTTTATTCGATTTGATTTGATATATTTTGATAATTGTATATTATAACATAAGATATAAAATTTAAATAATTTTTATAAAATAATCTTATGTGTTATGGCTGCTATGAATAAAAAAACTGCTATATTACCAGGTAAGAGTGAAGGGGCATTTACGAAAAATGCATATATCTATATAATATAAATTAGGTGATTAAAAAAGAAAAAGGTCGGTGGCTTCTGCTATGACATTCACGAATAACGAAAAAAACCAACCATATTCGAGTTCAACCAGTTTTGACGGTAAATAACGCACCAAAGAATTTGCCTATAAGGCTACAACACTAGTTTTTACCGTTCCTTAACTGATAATTATATTTTAGCAAAATTACTTTTTGGCCTCCTGAGTTTGTGATAATTATTCATCTCGTCTTTTATATTTTAAACTTGGTGGATTGATATCAAAATTGACAAAATGTTAATCAATGTGTCAGTAATATGCTACCTAACTTAATGCGTTCAAAGTTTCAAATGTGAAGCACGACAGTTGCTAGTGCTACTTATAAAATAAAATAAAAACTACGAGTGCTTGAAAATTTTTAAAACCGATAAGTAAATTAGAACTTTTCGTGTTATTCACACAGCTGATTTATATCCACATCATAATAAATTGGCATTGAGATTTTGATTGATACAAAAAAATCTGATAATATCGTTGTTTTACATCAAATGCATGCACACATATGTTTTTTTTTCGATAAATAATTTCAGTTGCTTTATCCCATTTATAACTTAGCGTGAACAACCGATCAGTTTTCATCTAATTATGTCAATATATGGGTAGCATCTAGTTAAATATTAATACAGAAATTATAAGCACGCCTTACTTCAACAAAAATACAGTCTTTTTGCGGGCGTGCTTAAACATGTAGAGTTTTATAATTGCGTATTTGCGTACGGATTAGATGAAATATATGGCAGCAAATAAAATTCTTTACTTAATTATGCGAGCCAGCCAAAAGCTCTACAAATAAGATGGAAAAAGTGTTTTCAAAATTTGGAATACCCTTTGTGTTTCCACGACTAGGGTGGCAAATTCATTTCAATTATGTGTTGTTTGATAATCGAAATAGAGTGATGAGAATAAAAATACATGAATCAAAATAAAAATTAAGGAATTAAAATGATATTTATATTTTTATACCGTGTTTGAAATACTAATGAGGAATCCGAATGTAATTTAAATTTTTTAATATTTCATTTTTTATACAAATAAAAATAATGATTAAAAAAATAAATTTATTAAACTATAATGGTTGTAAAAATAATAAAGGTGATGACAGTGATTGTAGTTATGACAATGGTGATGGTGGAGGTAATGATTACGGTAGTGGTGGTGGTTGTGATGGTTGCGATGACGAGTGGTGGCGGTGGCGGTTGCATGGTTGTGATGGTGGTAAAAGTAGTTAATAGATAATAAATAAATAAAATATATCATTATTTTGAAAAAAAAATTCATTCCCATTCCTTGTTTTTATTTTCACATCTTATGTGGGAATGAAATTATGTGTAAATTTTCTTTTTCATTATCATTCTCCATTCCCATTTCCACTTTATTCCTTTTAATCAAACAACTACAATGTGAGAATAAAACTTTCATTCTCATTCTCACCACTCTATTCCTAATTACCAAACATCACCTTAAGACTTGTTTAATCAATAAGCATGTATGACATTTTCATATCCAATTGGTAATTACAATAGATTGTAGATTAGGACAAATATCTATCTTCAACAATGCATATCGGGTGAATAATCAAAACCATATAAATATTTAATGACAAACTTATTTTTAAGAAATGTTTGTAATTAAAATTGATGAACATAAAGAGATGTATATTTACAAAGACAGAATCTTATCTATCTATCGATCTAACTCTAATTAGCTTATTTTTAAGAGATACCTGTGTTTATATATAATGAATAAGAATATAAGTAGTATATTTTATAAAGTCATAACTTTATACATTTTCCCAATCCTAATTAATTTATGCTCAAGAAATGTGTTTTTAGATTACTACCTTTTGATTTGAATCAAAAGATAGTTTTCTAAATTTGAGTCTATATATATATATTTTTTATAAACTATCCATGAAAATAATTTCTTAACTGTGACTGAATTCATAAGCTATATACCAAAAAAATTATCCAATAGCAGGATACCTATATAACCTAATTAATATATTTGAAGTTTTGAATCCATAAATAAAGTAACAAAATTATTAGTGCTTGAAATTAAATGGAGAAAATTCCTAAAGATGGTTTGATCCGTATAAGCGTAAAAAATATACAATCTAAAATTGATATAACCAAATTTAAATAAATACCATTAAAGCAATCCATACGGTAAAACGAGACAACATTACCTCTCTTTGGTTCTTGTTACCATAATTTATTTTCATCTAGTAATTGGTTACTTGACTTTCTTTACATGAAAAATAAAATTACAACATTTATACGAGGGTAATTCACTTAATGTAAAAATCATTTTTCCTGTATAGAAAACAATCGAATTATCTCTTATATATAAAAAAAAAAAAAATTGGAACCTCAAATCATCTAAAAATGAGTACTGCATGATTGGATAGCCGTAAACGAGAAAAATGGAGTCACTGTACTTGGACAGCAGGACTAGAACCCGAGGGCTGAGGATCTGGATCACTTAACCTTTAATCAATACTATTTATAAAGAAAATCTAATTGCCAACAGAAAGGCCCCGACCCTCATACAAAAGGGCTCCCCCAAGCTTATAACACCCAATTTGCAAAGCCCAGGCCCATCAACAAACAATCCCCAGTCGACCGTGGATCCTCCAGAAGGAAAAAGATATAGCGAAAGAAGATGGCAAAAAGGTGACACGTACTGTAACCAAGGCTGCCAAACTTGCGGACTTAGAACTACCATAGTATTGGACAAGGCTTTCAAATTCAAAGGTAGATTTGATGTTCGAACGCCCATGTTGCCACCCAAGTTCTCACTCGGTCTTCGAAGCTGAACCCCAACAGCATACGTGTCCACACAAACTGATCTTATTGGAAAGTTGACAAGACGTGTGAAAATTCATAAACTAAAATGGTGCAAATATGCATGTTAATTCTGTGAACAACCAAGAGTATGTCTACGGTCACACGAATATTATCTCTCAGTCTTTTTAAACTAATAAAACGCAACTAACCTTAACCTAGCTACAACTCACGTTTCGCATAAACAATCTCTTTACTACATCATACCATATTTCTTAATGCTGCTACGGATCCTGACCCCCTTCTTCCCCTTTAATTAATTTGAATAATGACATAAATTGTTGGATTCAGCAATATAACGGGGACATTGCACATTCAACTGATTATGCGTGCCAATATATTTGCAGTTCTAGCTAGACATTAATGCATAAATTATAAGCATACAAATACAGTTTTTTGCAGTTGATGTGCCTAAATATATTTGCAGTTCTAGGTAGACATTAATGCATAAATTATAAGCATATAAATACAGTTTTTTGCAGTTGATGTGCCTAAATATATTTGCAGTTCTAGCTAGACATTAATGCATAAATTATAAGCATATAAATACAGTTTTTTGCAGTTGATGTGCCTAAATATATATTTGCAGTTCTAGGTAGATGAAATATATGACAGCATATAAAATTCCAGAGTTGAATTAAGCGAGCCAACCAAAAGCTCTACAAAGAAAATGCGAAAAGTGTTTCAAGATTTGGAAGACCCTCTTGTGTTTCCACAACCAATGTGAAGACTAGTTCAATTGGTGTGTATTAATTGGATGTTGATACACATCCAAGTAGTTTTAATTTACTTATGAACATTAGAGAGGTCATTAAATACTGTGCATGGCATGTAATCACATAAAAGTGAATATTGTTTGATTAATTAATAAGGTTAGTAATGCAATATTGTTCAATTAGCAATATCCCATACCTCCATGGAAATTGGAAAATGATCAGTGTCTCAAAGTCGAAGAGTGCTGATACCAATCAGGTATTAATAATTTGACCTCCTCCCATCTAAGAGACCATTGCATTAATGTACTGACTACTAAAAATAACAATATATAATTGAAGTGAAGATGCACGAAAGCTAGGGATTCCAGCACTGCAATGGAATTTAATAATATCTCAGTGTAGGTTATCAAGTATAAACTAATGGAATTAACAAACTGCCCTACAAACAAATTGCAGCAACAAGCACATAAAATTGGTGGTACTAGCTAGTTCCTTCCATCAATCGTTAAGATCCTCACTATTGAATATTCAAGAATTAATTCCTATTTAAACATGCTTGTGCTGTGCTTTCACCAGCAGTAAACTGCTTACATTTCAACAGCTTATTCGAAATATTGCATCCATTGGAATTTGGATCAACTAGTCTTAACTCCTCAGGTGAAAAAGTGCACGAACAAATGGTGCAAATCAATCGGCCACCATAAAAAACTATGTTGTTGCGCCAACGTGGGGAGGAAACCTTCCATTCCTTTCCTCGTGTAAATCCCATATCTCGCAAGTTGATATCTTTTTCCATTCATCATAGTTTTTCGTAGAGCTGAGCTTCCCTCCAAAAAGTTTTGCTGCTAATGGCAAACCTTTACACTGGCTTGCTATTTTTGCCCCAATAGCTTGCAGCTCTGGATGTGCATCAAATTTTGCTTTTCCTAGTGCATGATGTGCAAGAACTGACAGACAATCGTCATCCGATAACCCCTCTAGATGGTAATGCGACACAGCACCCATGATTGATTGGACGCCATCATTTCTTGTTGTGACAACTACCTTAACTCCATGAGCTGCTGCAAAGGGTTTGCGCAGAAGATCCCATTGCTCACTGTCCACGTCCAACACATCATCTAAGATAATTAAGCATCTTTTTCCAGAAATGTTTTCTTTCAGCTCCAGTTGAAGCAAATTCAGATCATCCTTAAACTCACAATTCTCCTTAGTTACTGCCTGAAGGATTAGTCTTGTTGTACTCAAAACATCAAAATCTTCAGGAACAAAAATCCACAGCCTTAATTCAAAAAAATCCACCACTTTAGCATCATGATAGACAAGCTGAGCTGCAGTGGTTTTTCCAACTCCTCCTTTCCCATTTATAGAAATCACACAAACTCCATCACGGTTGCTTGCTTCACAATCCAGTAGCAATCCAATAATGGCTGTTTTATCCTTTTCTCTACCATAAATAATGCTATATTCATCAACCAAACAACCTGTGGGATCCCTTTTCCGTTCTCTTCTCATCGATTTCTCTCCACAGCTCTTTGTCAGATCTTGTGATCCTGTACTATTTCCCTCTTTCTTGTTATCCACATCATGTTGACTTGCAATTGACCAACAACAAGAAGCTGGGAACAATTTTCTTACCTTGCTTGTACTGCCGGCAGGCTCACCGGACATGTTTTGAGATGAAGCTTTAAGTTGAGAACTGCTCCTCCTGTGCATCTTTGGTTTCTGTCTTGCAGTAAGCAATCAGAGGCAACTTTGCTGGGAAAATATAACTAGATCTAAGAAATGATGAAGGGTACTGAGCTGAAGTGAGGGGATGTATATCTTGCTTGTTAAAAGTGAGAGGGTGTAGAATTTGATAAAATAAGATTCATGAGTCTGTGGCAAAACGAGTAATATCTGTCCAGCTATGGTGTGACGAGGCTGATTAGGTTATGTGATAAGGAAAGGAGAGAACAACAATGGCTGTGTTCCATCATCTTTATGGGGAGAACTCCTAGGTGCGTGTGGGCCGGCCTCACCCTAACTCATTTGCAATATATTAATTGGATCCATAATGACGGAAAAAAAAAAAAAGTTGGAAATGAGAGAAAAACAAGCCATTTCGTTTGAAAAGTCTTTGTGATGAATGATTAATGTGGTAGGGCATCTGAGGGCCCTTAAAATATTGTTTGGATTTTGATGCTTTTGGTTCTTAGTGACCTTAGTTGATAATTAGTACTATAAACTGATCGACCAAATAGAAAAGAAAATGGGGTTAGCCTTTATGGTTCGGGGGAGTTATTTTAGGGTTTCTTCATAACATTTTGATGCACCTTGAAAATTTGATGATGAGAAACACTACCGTATCAATGCTGAAGTTCTAAGGCTCGATTACATTTTGTAAGATGCTCCACATGTCTGTTAATTTTCAAAGATGCTGTGATCGTATACATTTATATCCCTCGGATGCCATGAATAAATGTATTGCAAACTTAGAAAAAAGTGGCGGGAATTTAAAGTTGCTGCTGCACTGCTCCTGAAATTCCCTTGTCTAATTCTTCAACGTTCACACACGCACGTGTGTGTGTGTTCACTGGTTTCCCATAGTTTGCTACACATATAAAGTGTTACTTTCTTTATTTTATTTTTAATAATAATAAAAGCTGTATCGTTGTTGATCGAAAGAAAACATGTAGTTGGTGAATTTGGGATCCGCTTTATGGATCTTCTGAAACTAATTAAACATTTGGTAAACGTGCCCTAAGTTCTTGATGAAAGGAACAAATAGAAGGATTTAATTTGTGGGATAATTATCCCCTTCATGGAACTTATAAGAGGCCTGAGAATTTGTAACATAAGCCAGCATGCGATCAAAGCTAGCTCTTAATTGCATGTTGACTTGCAATATTCAGTAAACCATGTTGTCTTTGTTTTTAATTTTGCAATAAAATTTAATAGGGCTTACCAAAATAAAACTGGAGACCTATTTTCATTACAAATGACATTACTATCAAAAATAAAAAATAACCATGTATTGTTGTCTCATGTTACAAATACTTGATTTTATTTTGTCATAATTAATGAAGCATGTTGGCTTATGTCGCAAATCCTATTTTATTTCGTAGGTTTCATTAAAATTTCGTCTTTTATAAGTCTAAAGTCCGTACGTGACTAATGCCCAAGACGTGTCCTTAAGAAAGTTAATTTATTAAAAAAAGGAAAAAGTCTATACCTCTCAAGCGAAATCCGGTTTATGCTTCCAATAAATATAAAACCAGTCAACATCTAGGAAGGTAGGTAAGAAACTTCAATGGCTGAGCTGGACTGGTGCATCCTCATTAAGATCAACGTATGGATCACAGTGGTTCCATTAACAATTTCTTCGTAGCAGCCGGTTTGCGTCTTACTTCAAGCCTCTGAGTCTGATTCGTTGAAGATGATCAAATTGTCTTTTTAATTAATAAATTGAAAACGAAATGAAATTAATTTAACCTATCAAATCAGTTGAAAAACATTCTGTTAATAAAGTTTTCATTCTGCCATTGAATAACACGTACGCGTTACGTTGTGAGATTGTTTGATCAAGTTACTATATATGAGCAGTGCTTATATTATAATATTAATATATCCCAACCAATCTTTCTGAATCTAATCTTCCTTCCTTCATTTATTTATTTATATTTTTGAGAGGTTAATTACCAGGTTCTTTCAAAAACCACCAGGTTTTGATATTTTTCATTTTAACTATATATATATAACTAGTCACTCTACCCTACACATGACTAAAAAATGATGCCATTTTTATATATAACATAACCTTCAAGATTTTATAATTCGTATATATTCGGATTTTCAATTCACTAGATCATTAATTCATTCTTCCAATCAAATTGTTTGTGGAGAACAAAGTTTGCAATCGGTGAAGAATGGCAAGATTCATAAGCTATATGAAGTCTCTATTTCCATCTAGTTGTCCTCTCAAAGCTACATGTTTGTCTCAACTCTCACCTCAAATATAGTTGGTGCACACACACACAAACACACACATATATATCACGTACACTGAGTTTTATTTTTATTTTTTCAAATAATTGTGCATGCTCGAGGCTCTTTTGGTCATGTTTTGTTGTGAAACTTTGAGCTGTGAATTGTTGCTCTTGTGCATCTTTCTTTTTGTTCTTTTCTTAAGCAAGCAGAGGACTAGCAATAGGCAATTTGGGTGGGACTAGAAAATGAAGGGAATTGCTGAAGCTGCGGGGATCTGACCGAGAGGACATTAATTAGGCTTGCTTGTCAAAAGGAATAAGAGGGCATGAACTGATTTGATGAAGTTGGAAAAGTCTGCAGCAAAAATGATAAAATTATGTGATAGGCAACAAGCAGTGGCCGTGGTCCCTATTAATAGTGGGGGTCTTATAATACCGTCACGCCTTTTTGAGAAGTAGGGCATGTTGCTTCGATCTGGCCTCGAAACAATCATATTGCTGTCACCTAGTTGACCGGGAAAGACGATAATTCTAATCCGACTAATTAAATAAGAAGTATAATACATTTTGTTGTTGCTCCAAATTATGAAGTATATATATAATTTAAAATATTGTGATTTTTAAAATATTAAATTTTTTTTTAAAAAAAACCAAAAGATTGAGTTAATTAACGAGGGAAAAAAACTTTTGGTAACTATATTACTTTATCTTCTTTTTGTTTTTTCTTTTTTTAACAAATCATGAGAAATATCTTGCTGCATGTAATGAATATTCTGTTCATTGTATGAAAATGAAATTCTTTTGAATGAATCTAAAAAAAAAAAAAAAATCCATAAAAACTAACCGGCAGAGCTATGAGATAATCTTTTTTCGCAACATATAATTGTTCTATTCGTGTCTCATATTATTAGAATTTTTTTATATTCAACAGTAAAGATGTATTTGGTATTTTGAACATGACATGACTAGATAGAATATGATGAATTGTATAGTTTTGTATGCAAATGAGACATGATAAAATAAATTATACATTATTTAGTGCACACATTAGACAAGACAAAGATCAATTCTTGTTATGTCTAAAATTGTTTCAAAGGCAAAATTTACGTCGCACCATGAGGATGCATCAAGCTTGATTGTCCAATACGATGGATAAAATCACTATTTTTTAATTTTTTATATTATTTATTATCTGTTTATTACTGATTTATTTCCTGCCTTACTTCTTAGTTCTTAGGGTAATTAGGAATGTGAAGGTCTCTCCTTCAATTCCAGACGCAGAACGAAGCAAGCAAGTAACTCTTTCTATTCTAGAAAGTAGACTGAGTTTCTAACATGAAATTGCATAAGAGAAGAAAGCGTAGAAAAGAGGTACAGAAGTACCAGGAGCCAGGAATTAACTTATTGTAGATAAGGTATGCACAGATAATCAAATTGTCATAGATAAAGCGAGCCCACTCTTATTATAGATGAAGTTTTTAGCACATTATGTATCTCTGATAGAAAACACTATAATTATATGCAAATGTTAAAGAGAAAATGGGTTGCATTTTGTAGCTGACCAGCTTCTTGATGAATATTTGTTGGGATCTAAATTAACAATCTGCATGCAGAAGATATGTTATTTTAAACTGTTTGTTTGGCTTGATTCACTTGATGAATAGCTTTGATTTTAAGCTAGTTCTTTTACGACTACAGAGTGCAAGATTCTTATAAAAAATGAAGAGTGGTATTGGAACAAGAGGTTGATTTTGGAAGTAAGACAGTGAAGAATACCTGATTCTCTTATTCACTTTCAATCAGCAGAAACTTGAGAAGTCTGCAGGTACTACCATCATGGTAAATTGCAGAATTCTATCTGGACTTCATTTATTGGATACGAACATCCTCTGTGATAAATACGAAATGAAGGCAATTAGGGGCCAATAATTTCCATTCTTTCTTAAGCATTGTTCTTGTTATGACAAATAACATAAACAAGATAAATAATGCCAAAAAATAACTAAAAAAATAGAACTAAACAAATTACCATCATACAGGATTTACATGGTTTGACAAATTGCTTATTCCACGAACGAAAGAGAAGTTTTTATTAACTTGATAATAAGAAAATATAAAAATCTTGAAAGCTTAATACAAAGTTTCTGTCTTTTACTCTATTTGCTAAACAGAAATATAAAAAAATTTAAATATATCATACTTATAAAAAAAAAATCTAATAAACTAAATATATTATGACATGTAAAAAGCCATATTTCAATTGTTCTTTTAGAAGAGGATAAAATTCAATATGCAGGGACCCAACTGTGGCTGGAAAGCCCTCATTTGGCAAGAAACAACGTTTAAGGTTGTCTGAAACCAATAAAATTTCAAGAGACATGAGATATCTGAGGTCTTTGTTTCTTGCCAGTCTGAAACAAATAAAATTTCAAGAGACGTGAGATATCTGAAGCCCTCCGATATGAACTTCAGACCCTTATGACTCGTGATGTAAAGAGAGGTTAGTTAAGTGGGAAGAAGTGGACCCTCATCATCAGGAAAGGAAACCGTCTTTGTACAAGGACTTGTACCTTCGATTACAGGTCGTTTGAGAAAGATGAGCGTACGAACTCCCCAGTCTGACATTGGCTCTTTGACATTCTCACAACAACGAATCTCAAGTTTAATAAAGTTTGGGGACAAACCCCCTTTTCAAAAAAGACACAAGAAGGGGACAACGATATACACTCAGCTCTTGAAGAGACACTAGGCTGTCCATATGGTTAGGTAGAGACCTCAAATTATCGCATTTCCATATGACTAAAGAACCAAGATTTAGAGCGTTCAATCCCATTTATGGGAATGATTCTAACCTAGAACACTCACTTCTTTCCAATTCAGTGAGATGGGATAGGTCACGCACGGACTTGGTGATTGTGTTGTGCAATAGGCAATTTCAAGTGTCTTGAGAGACGCAGGAAATTCGAAGGTTGGGAAGGGCAAGAGAGAAAAATCGTCTATGTTCAAATGCTCAAGTCGAGATAACTCCCTTCTATCACCACCATCATACATAATTCCCTCAAGTAGAGTCTCTAGAATTTTGCACCATGAAATTGCCAATGACTTCAGCATGATGGGCAGCATTCCTCTTGGAATGGACTTGAGAGATGAGCACCAACTAATTAGCAACTCTTGGAGGCACTGACTGCCCTTACTGCCGCTCATCATTTTCATCATCCCATCAGGAATTGACTTCAGCGCATCACACTCTGAAATCTCAAGATGTTGGAGAACATATGGCAAACCTCCTGGAAATGATATCAGTTTTGGGCAATGATTAATTTTCAAATCTCTGAGTGAAGCAAGGCATTGCAACCCATTTGGCAGCTGTTCCAGGTCGCCATATTGCTCAACATCTACTAATGACACAAGATGCTCACACTTCTTGATCTCTAAATGCTTCAAACTTGCAAGTTCATGTAAATCAGTTCCATCTAGCCACAAGTACATCAAACCATTGCAATTGTCAATTTCAGACCTTCATGTGCCACCAGTCTTGTAAAACACCTCCATCTAAACAAACAAGGCTAGTTATGCGCCTATGTTTTAAAGTAGTTAGGGGTGGCAGAGCAGGCACATGGTTTAAAGTTGCCTCATGACATCCTTCAGCAATCAACTCACAAAGATATGAAGTAATTCAGGTGAACCTACTAACCTCGGGCAATTGCAGATAGAAAGTTCTTTCATAAATGGAAGGCGAATCGGCAATTTCCCAATCAAGATGGGACAATTTATTATTGTAAGCTCACGTAGATTAGGAAATTCCCTTTTTCCTTTTCCTCGAGTCCATTAGACCAAGACCGTTGTTTCCAATTCAACATATCCTCAATTATTAGACCCTCTAGAGATGGGACAGTCTTAGCAGAAGAACCAATCCCAAAATGCTCAGCACCAACTGTTGTTACCCCATCCATACATTTTACGCTCAAATCTCTAAGTAAAGGCAGTTGTCCAAGTGATGGTAATGATGTGATATATGGCATCCACAAAGTTGTGGGCACGCCATATTAGTGAATGAGTGATCCCCTAACCATGATGGGAATGTTGTACCGCCATATGACATAATTGAAAGCTTTTGTAGATTCTGATGAGGTTGTAGAAGGTGGAGGAGCTGCGACTCCTTTCCTTCATTTTGAAAACTATTGAAACCATAAATCCATTCCAAGGATAATTAATATTAAATTGTCTGTGTGACGAGGGCAATAAAAGAAGCAAAATTTGTGTCTTTTTTGAGATAAAGGGTATTTCTATAATTAGTACTTATTATTGTTATTTTTTATTAAAAGGAGAGTTTTTTTTTTTTTTTATTAGAGAAAAGTTACACAATACAAAAGCAAGGGAAACTGATCCCATACATATCTTTTAAAACAATATCAAAACAACCTGGTGGAACACTTGACTTGAGAATTGGTGCAGAACAAGGGACAATAAGAAAGCATAATTTGCCATCCAATCCGAGTAGCAATTTGCCTCTCAATAAACATTAGTAGTTCCAACCCGCCAAGGATGTTGCAACAGTAACTGGATTGATCTGACCAGTTGAGCATTACCAGGATTGATACATTGATGGTTTTGAATTAATTGGATTGCAGCTTTACAATCTGATTCTATCTCTATTTTCCTGAATCACATATCCCAAGCAGTATGTAAACTTGTATAAATTGCCCAGAACTCTGCTCTGGTAATACAACAAATTCCTATATCATAAGCAAATCCCCCAAGCCATGCACCAGCAGTATCCCTAAGGACTCCACCTGCAGAAGCACATCCCTCATGTAATTTAGCAAAGCCATCTGTGTTAAGCTTAATCCACTCTGATGTTGGAGGTTGCCTAGAGATCATTAATTCTAGTTTAGGTGGTTTAGGATCAGCACATTTTTGGAGATCCACGGCTACTTAACCTCCTCCACACGATAACCTGGTTCTGTTTGTGCATTAAGGCAATTGGTGAAGATTGAATGATAAATGTCAAACCTGGCAAATGGAACCTGGCAACTCTGCTAAACGATAGCTAGAGACAACACAGTCAAACGTTTTTAAGTTTGGAACCAAGTCATGCAACACCTTACTCGTCAAGCAGTCATATGGTAGTGAAAAAATAGGCAATGCTAAGAATGTTCGTAAACTCTTCATCTCATAGCAGACATCAAATCTTTGGAGCTGTCATAATGGTGAAGTGTGAATGATAAATGTCGACCCTTTGCATATGATGGTGCACCCTCAAACTTATCACCCAAATGAAAGCATACTTCTCCACCCAAAAAACTGAGCTAGTTCACTTATTAGGTAATGCATAACATATCTGATATTGTTGGCACTAGACAGCTGAAAAAAGGAACTGGATAATAAATCATCAAAATATTCCCATTTTCCAGCCTATGTCTTCCGTCTGTTTATTTTCCTTTGGTTGCTGCAGAAAACCCTCTGCCATCCACTACAACACCAATTCATTCTTGTCAAATTCATATTCCTTTGCAAAATTTGCGCAATAAGCAAAACATTGCTTTAAATGAGAAGAAAGGTGATGGTAGCTCAATCTCAGAGCTGGAAGGATAACACTTTTCTCGTCTGGCAAATCCCATATTTTTCTATTTCAGTACATCTTTCCACTCTTTAGAATTCTGTTTACTACGCAGTGCTGCAGTGCAGTAGGCCTCCAAGTGTCTTTGCTGCCAAAGGTAATCCCTTGCACCTTTTAACTAGTTCTTCGCCTATTTCTTTCAAATCTGGATAATCATCAACATTGCTTGCATCTAAAGCATGTTAGGCGAATGGCAACAGACAATCATAATCTGACAGCTCCGCATAAATTGAACCCGCTAGTCATGAGACACCTTTATTATGAGTGGTGATAATAACTTTGCTTCCTGGTGCTCGTCTGACAAATGGGCTACAAAGGGCAGTCCATTCCTCATAGTTCTCACTCCAAACATCATCTAAAACAATCAAAAGCTTCTTTCCATACAGCTTCTCCTTCAGTTGTACTTGAAGCAAATTTAAATCACATGCCGCACAACTACCACAACTTAAAATTGTTTTGGTTATCCTAAGCACATCAAAATCATTAGAAACACAAATCCGTGCTTTAAAATCAAACTCCCTTTTCTCATCATCATACACAAGTTGCACAAGAGTTGTTTCGCCTACACCTCCAAAGCCAACTATTGAGATCACGGAGAATGGTGACCCATTTGCATCACCATCACTCATAAAAAATTCAACCATAGCCACCTTATCCTCTTTGCTCCCATAGATATATGGTTCTTTTACCAGCAACGTTTTGGGCACTCTTTCATCCAATCTACTTAAAATCCACTCACTCAAGTCCAAGAGATTCTTGTCTGTTAGAATCTCTTACAATGTTGAAGTGATCTCCTCTAGCTTGGACCACCCCATCTTCACACTTCCAGCACATCAAGTTGGGATCATCTTCCCTATTCTACTCCTGCAGCCTCGATACCGTGCTTCAGTTTCAAACTCTTCCAAGACATCCTCGACATCATAAGCCAAATCTCGGAGCTTGTTACGCCATATTTTCATAGCCTGGTTAGTTAATTGTTTCTCTTCTGCATCAGTCCGCACCTTGCGAATTTTAGACAACCTTAATTCCCATTTTTTAAGTTCACTATCGGTTTCGTTTTTGCACGCGAGGTTGAGAAATTTTGCAGAAGCCAATTTATGGGATAAAGGCTGAGGTAATAGCTTCTTCTTTCTGTTGAATGAATGAATGAATAAAAATCATGAGTTTACTAAATCAAATGTGGAAGCGAGTAGAATATTCAGAGCATTAAGAAATCAAAATTGAAGAGACTAGTTTTCAGCATGCACCTGATTGAGCTAAAATCAAAGTTTGTTTACTTTGTGTGCTCCCTCCTCCTCGCTCGTCCATTAAATCGCCGATTTGCTGTTAAATCAAATTCCCAAAAGAAAAAAGAAAATGTTATCAACTCTTTGATGATGAAAAAACAAGTTGATAATAATATATATCTAGTTCTGAATAATAATAATAATAATAATAATAATAATACAAGCATGGTGAGAATACTAGTACGCTGAGAGAAAATGTGTGTCAAGAAGACGTACCGTTAGTCTTAGTGGTGAAGACTGAAGCGGAGCAGCTTCTGCTTTAGGAAGGTAAAGATGGATTGCAAATTGAGCAAGTTGCCACTGTCTACTCACTACTCGCTACCGTAGTACTCAGTAAGTACTTAAGTAGAATAACAAACAGTTGGTGGACTCAAGAAGAGAGAATAACAAACAGTTGGCGTCACATGTTTAAAACGCGTGTCGTTCTGAATAAGATTTTTCTCGACTCCTCGTAAGATTCAGTCTGCACTTTGTGTAAGGGAAGAGGAGTAGATACTTTCTTCATCTCTCTCTACCTCTTCGTACTTGGTACACAGCACCAGGAGAGGATGGGTCCCACACCAGCAAGCAATAGAGCCTAGCAACTCACAGGCTATCTATAGTACCAAGCTCTTCGGTAAATATACCTTTTTATTCTTACTTTTGGGCTTCACCTGGTCATGAGCCAGGAGTTCCAACAAGGTATTCGAGATATGGAACCAACGGATTTTATCTTGATTATTGAGTACCGGGATTTTCTTTTGCTTTAATGACAAAAGTTACCATCAAAATATTAGGACATAACAATTTGAAGTTTATGTTATTAATTTTAACTATTTGAATTCAACTTTTTTTTTTTTTGAATAAATATTACCTTTTTTTTTTAATTTCTAACAGTTAAAATATTGATAATTAACTAAGATATGATTTAAAGTAAAATAAAGTCTATATTATCAATTTGGATTATTTAAACCCTAAATTATTCATTTCTTAATAAATTTTATCTTTCTCCGTTATTTTTAATCATTAAAGTGTTGACCGTTTTAAACATTTTAGATTTTTTTTGAATTAAAACAAATTTCAAAAAAAGTTAATAATTCAATTCTTTTAACTAGATGGATCCAACATGCTCCATGAAAAAAAAAAAAACACCTAAGCTACTTTAAAACTAATAATTATTTTTTTTTCAAAATTAATTTTAATTATTAAAAAAAATTAACAATTCAAATTTTTTTACTAAATAAATCCATTACACATCATTAATTATCCAACAACATAAACCAACAAGATCATCTAAGTTTTCTATAAAAGCTAACTATTATTAAAAAATAATAATAATAAATTTAATCCTAAAAAAAATTAGAATTGTCAAAATATTGATAGTAAGAGATAATAAAAAATAAAAAATTTTACTCAAAAATTAATAATTTAATATTTAAATAGCTTAAATTGATAATATAAAGCCTTTTTTTTTTGACACAATTTCAATAGTTTGAGTTAAAATTTATCTTTAAACCATATTTCAATTATAACAATATATATAGTAGTTTAGAATTCAAAGAGCCTAAATTGATATTATAGGCTTTACATTGCTATAACTCAGTAATTTGAAGGTAATTTTTGCTATTAAACCGATTTTTTGCATAGCAAACATGGTAACAGTTCACAGTCATGCGGCAATGCCATGACAATCCCTGTCTGACATCAAATTAATTTAATCAACTTACTGATTGAAAAGATTCTTTGTCAAACATTATAGAATGTCCTGCTAAGTCGCATGATCTAAACACAAGATATATACGAGCTGCCAACCATGAGGAATCCAATGAAAATAACGTGAGCGAGAGAGAGGCAGTATAAGCAGCCACAACAATAACGCAAAATAGATCCACTGCATGTACCCCTGCGGGCAAGCAAATCGCGCAGGCAGAGTCAACAATGAACTCCATTTCTTGCCTTCCAGCAGTTGCCAGGTGTCTTGTGATGCCTCCACAAATCCTTTTCCATATGCAGCTGTCAGCAACAAAGGTTAGAAGGATCAATCAGCCCGAGTTGGCCATATGCCATTGACTCAGAAATGAGTCTATAGACTGTGAAATGGACTAAAACAACTAACGAAGATGATTAACTGAAGTCAAAATCAAATACATAGGCAGGTAACTCAGCTACCAGAAATAGCACCATTTGTGTTTGTAAACGAGTTATAACTTGGCAAAACGGATATTCTTTGCAATGCCAGATTATAGATGCTTCCCCTTCGATTGAACAGTTTGGCTGCTTCTTTGTTTAGTATTTCTAACATGAAGCGCAGTAAAAGGTAAGTAAATTTATGGGGGTGAGTTTTAGGGAGATATTACCTGTACCAAGGCCCAGTGATTTCCATATCTGAAGATAGTCTCCATAATTCCAAGACGGCAATAAGCACAAGAAAACATGAATTCATCCTCTCCCTCAAGCAAATGCAAACCCAGAGTGATGGTTCTCAATGCTTCCATAGCAGGCACAAATAGACCCTAAACAAGTACTTTCAAGATTTCAAGTTAATGCTCTTTTTAAACAATTACCTCACTAGCTGTCAAACTGACAATATTCTTCATAACTTCTGAGGTTCAAACCAAGCTTAACACCAATGCAATAATGATCAAAGGAGAAAAGTAGAAATTCAAAGCTCAAATCACAGTTAAAATCCACAACATCCACAGGAATCCAACTCCAAGCATACAAATAAGTAGTTAGGGTCAAATCATGGAATTTTCAAACAGGTTCAAGCAATTTAATCATAACCTGGCAGCAAAATCCAATTCTTTAAGTAACCCAACATGCATATAAGCCATTGCCACTTGCAAAAGCAGGAGCACAAGCTCCAGCACCATCAGTGATAAGCCTTTGGAAGCAAATTAAGAGAATTCCAGCTGATAGCGACAAGGAAAAGGAACTTCATCATATGAAATGAACCATGAATTTGGGCCATTGTCTAACTGCTTTTTGCCAAACAAATGCAATAGTAATGCTTAATAGAGATACTGTTTCAACTTATGGGAGGTAAAACTTTAATATCCTCTTCTCTTCTTTTCCAACACTAGAGGTTCTATTATTCTTCAAATTCCCTTGGATAGAAGGCAAGATATTAGCCCAACAGCGATAACCACGTGCAGGACAAACAGAAATAGAGATATTTTGTTGGTGTACCTTCTGGATTCAATGATGTTAGTGATAACTGGTCACAAAGAGGGAACCCAAAAATATTTCAGATTAATAACTTGGAAAATCAGCAAAAGATTCTGTTTTTGCTATAGAGAAAGCATATTGCTACTCTCTTGTTAAATTTGCCTAACTGACTTGGAAAAAAATCAAGGATTTACAACAACTTTCTACAACCATTGAACATACTAATAAAGTTCAACTTAATTGCTTTTCTTAAACAGTTTGACTAACAAAGACCAAAGCTTACAAAAGTTCTTGCAAAAATTTTCAAAAACTACTTCACTATCCAACAACTTAAATCACTGCTAAATTCAAAAGGTAAGGACCATCAAAATCAACTAAAATGAGGGAAGAAAAGAAGCAGAAGTTATCTTGTACAGTAGTAATTTTCAAAAAACAAGAAGCTTACTTGTGGGGTTGGTGTAGAAGAGGCTGAGAAGGAATATCTGGAAAAACCATTGATGACAATCTTCTCAACCTTTACATCATTGGCATATGAGAATCTCCCGAGTGGTCCTTATTATTATTTAGAACAATATTATTGTGAATATCTACATGTAACTTCAGTCAATCAGAATAATGAATGATATAATAAATGAAAAGGTAAAGTATCAGTAGGTTGTATATTACACCAGTTAGAAAGCACATTCTGTATATCACTAGTCAAATGCATCTATGACCGCCTATATGTCACAACGTCACATTCTAAGAACAATATCACAAATAAAACAACAGAAAAAATTCAAAACAAAATGAATGCTCAAAGAGAAATAAAACCTGTATCTTTTATTCTAAAAAGTCATTCCAATCTATGCATCAAACCATATCTACAGTAGAACAAACTATGAACTACTAAACAAATTAGAAATCATTATTCAAGGACTATCTTATCAAAGTTTATAAAAGACCAAAGAAAAATGAACCCCCAATAAAAAAAAAAAAGTTACTTCCCCTACACTAAATCAATAACCAAAGGAAAAATATTCTTATTCCCAAAGTGTGCCATCATCAACGAACTAATCACCCATGGACCGCAACTCATCCAATTGTGCTCTAACCTGATCCTGCACCAACTCCAGCCGCTTGGAATAAACCTCTAACTCCAATATATGTTGCTTCCTCCACTTCTCATCCATCATCATGACATCCCCTACACCAAAACTCAATGGCATGGCATTCATCGCCAACCCCCCAATCCCTCTCCCAACACCACCCATCCCCGCTCCTGCCATGTTACTCAACAACTCCTTAAACAAAGGCGACAAACAACTCCTCACCGTCTCCTCAATCACGCTCGACACATTCCCATTCCCACTTCCACTCCCAGTCCCATTAACATTAGTCTCATTTCCCACAAACCCATCATTCAGCACACGCTTCTCCTCCATCTTCACACCAACAGATCGCGATCTTGACCTCTTTCTTGATCTAGGAGTAGACTTATGATCCTCAATTTTAACAGAAACATCACCATCCATCATCACAGTATTGTTATTAAAGTTAGGGTTAGGGTTTCCACCATCATCATCATCCAAATTATTCCCATCTTCATTACCGAAACCCGTAACTTTTCCCGTAGAACTCCAGATTTTCCTCGAAATCTCAAAAGTAGCCTGATCATGTGGGGATTTAAAGCAAAAGTCCTTTCCTGAATTAATCTTGTTCAGGACATTACGATACTTCTTCTTTAAACGACGAAGTTTCTCAACAAGCTGGTTCTTGTTAAAATCGAGTTGGAGTTTCGACTTGATTTGATCATAAAATAGAGCGGTGTCGTTATGGTGATGATTAGCAGTACCTTTTGTTGTTGTGTAATCTAAAAACCCTTGAAGTAGTTCAATTTCGTCTTCATCAGTCCACAATCGTTGAAATAACCGCCTGGTATCATCAAATTGCGGTTTTTTCGAGTCTTGAGAAAGGAGGATTGTCGTTTCAGGGGTAACGCGTTGTCGTTTTGATGCATCAGGTGTGGAATCAGTGGCCACTGTAGTGGCGACGGTTGCTACGGCAGGGATGGAGGCGATGGTGACAGCAGGGATGGCAGTGGGGACAGCGGTGGAGGTAGAGGTATCATCGTCTTCGAGTAATTCTTCGGATAAAACGTCATCATTTTCGGGCAAGGTGTCATCGTTTTCCATTTCCAGATCGTCTTCAAGGTCGTCGTTTTGAGATTGGGAAGATTGATCGTCGTCGTCTTCGTCGTCAACTTCTAGGTCTTGGTCGAAAACGGTGTCATCTTGCTCTGCTGCCATTAGAGCGAGAGAGAGGGAGGGGTTAGGGTTGAATTTTAGCGTGTTGGACTTTTGTTGTTGGAGAGGGGAGGAAGGGAACTATAACAGTTGGTAAAAAAGTGATCTTTTTCACAAGGGTAAACTTCGTTTTCGACACTACAGATCCATCAAATCTTCACTTTGACCCCTATGATTTGACTTTTTCCAATGTTATTCTTATAACTTATAACAAGTTATGATATCACCCCCAACCATAAAATAACCTCTTTCTTTGATTTTACTTTATTTATTTTTTTATTTTTCTAGCATTTTTATGAGATATTAGAACATATGTAGAGTTTTTTTTTTTAAAAAAAAAGGAGAAGATTGATAAAATAAATTAAATTATTAGTTGATACTAAGATTCTATTAAGGAGTGTTTTTAGGACACTTGTTAGAAGTATTTAATAATTCTAATCTAATCAATTCATGTGATTTCTTTTTGGTTTATAATTTTTTTTATGAATACTTGCAAACGTTGTCTTATAAAATAGCACTTATTTAGTATCATTGTTTTTTATTTAGATACATGGATTTTATTCTTTTTTCATAAAATTTATCAACAAACAGTCTCTAATAAATACATCCAATAATTCTAAACGGGTATCCTAAGAGCTGTCATTAGCTTTTTTTTTTTTTCCTTAGTAATAAAGGGTAAATTGAAACTCTCTAACATATATAAAAGTAGTATTGTGAAATTTAAAACTATGTGGGTAGAATTGTAACATTGATGAATCTAAAATGCTTAAAAGTGGTATAGTTACCCTTCTCATCGAGAGTGTCGAGGTTGGGTCTGGAGGGCGTTCACTGGACGGAAAATGGAATTTAAAAACTGTTGTTGTAGCCCAGCCCAACAAGGACCAGAGATGGGGAAAAAGAAAAATATCGAAACTTTTACTTTAACTAGTAATCTTGGATTTAAGTTATTGAAAAATTGATATGTGATTTTGAAAACGTAAATCCATCCTGTTGACTTTCATTTACAATGTAAGGATGTCGTGCGGCTTGAAGAGTGGACTTGTTTCTGCATCTAAATAGCTTTAAATTACAAAAGGGACCCTATCTCCAAAATAATCAATTATTTATCCTACCTCACATGATTTGTCATTTAGTTTTGTTTTTTGTTTTTTTGTTTTTGTTTTTTTTTTCTCGGAAAGAACCAGACTCGTAGATTGATGATTCTTCTAATACTGCTAATCAAAATATGAATTGGGTTTCTTTAAAATTTGGGTTTCCAGATATCATTTGGATTATGATAGAGAGTCTATAATTATGTAATGACTCGAATAACCATTGTTTACTAATAATAATAAAAAAATTTCTTTTTTTTATGGGAGCAAAAGTTTGAATATATTTCTTTATTTTGTTTACATTTCCATAATTCCATTCATGGTTGTGTAAAGACTTTTTGTAACATATTGTTATTGTAAAATTCTAAAATATCGAATTTAATTCGAGATTTAAAGATGATAAATTGGTATTGATAAATTGGTATTGAATCTTAAAAAAATGATATAGATGTGAATTTAGCCTCAATGTATACTAAAATTGGAACTTTAAAAGTTCATTTTGGTCGATAGGTTAATATGCTTGCCAATATACAAAAATTCATTGGATAATACAATGAAAATTAAGAGTTTATTTGTTATGCAAAAAAAAATTTCCAATATATATTTTTTATTTTTCAATGCAAAAAATAATAATAATAATAAAAAAATAAGTTGATAAAAAATATTTTTTAGTCAATTTTTAAATAGTGTCTATTTAAAGAAAATAATTTTGAACCTCAAGAACAAGAATAAAATATTTTATTTGATGTGAACTCACGAGTATTCTTCAAAATCATAATTTAATCATTTCAATAATTATTACTAACACCGTCACTACCATCGACACTATTATAATCACCATCAATATAACTATTATTTTATTATCATTCTACAAATATCATCACTATCATAACTATATTAATCATCTCGCCACCAAGAAGGAAAAAAATCTTATTGTAAGAAAGATTTTTTTTTTTTAAAAAAAGAAGAACAAGTTTAAGGAGTAAATTGTAAATCGGTTTTTTAGTTTTGTAAAAATGGATCAAACAATCCATTTTGTTTCAAAAACTAATTAATTGATTCATTAATTAGTATTGACCATGATTAATTTAATATTATTTTTATTATAAAAATGTCTTCCTTTTCTTTCATCAATCCTTAATTATTTTTGTTTCTTTTTTATTTAAAAAAATTAAAAAAGAACAAAAAATAAAATTGTAAATAAATTTAAAAATATAAAAACCAATTAATTAGATTTTTAAAACTAGAAAGACTATTAATTCATTTTGAATAGCTAGAATAACTAATTTATAATTTACTCTAACAAACTTTTTATATTGAATACTACAATTTAATTTTTTAAACTAGTTAAATAGGTTATCAAATACCCTCTAAGCTTAAGCTCAAAAGGCTCCAACGAGAAATTTTATAATATACTAGGAGTAACTAATGACATGTACGAGTAGTTATTCTTTGGGCTCACTTTAAGGAGAGAGATAAACATACAAAAAGAGAGAGAAAAACATGAGAGAGAATAAAAAAATTTGAGCATATATAAAATTTTTTTATTAATTTTAATAAGTATGAATGTAATTTTTTTATATATCTATCTCGTTTCTCAAAATAGATTCAAGAAATAACTATTGTATATGACACTGAGCAGTTATGCATTATATAATTTTCTGTCTGGAGCCTTAAGGTCAAGGTACTTTCTGTCGTTGAACCTACATGTCGTTTAGAATAAGATTTTCTCAGTTTTCAACTTTTTCTATTGAAAGTCTGTCGTTAGAATGAGTTAGTGACGACTTCTTGTTTGTCTCTCTCCCTCTCTCTTGGTGCACAGCAAGAGTTGCTACCGGCCAAAGAGAATGGGCCCGCCACCAGGAAGCAACCTGTACCCGCCGAAGAAGAGGAGCTCAACAACTCCGACATCGATAGAGTCGCTAGAACACGACATACTTTGTATCATATTCTCCTACCTCGGCCTCTTCGATGTCGTTCGCTGCTCAGCTGTTTGCAAATTCTGGTATTATCTACAACCTCATGCGCTTCTCACTCTCTATTTCATATAATTGCAAATACGAAACTCTCTGTTTGTCTACCATAATCATTTTTTTCTTTTTTGTAATTGAAGGAATGAGATCATACAAAGATCAAAGTTACTGCAATTACTTTATTTGAAGCAACAAAGAAGCAGCAGGAGTAATTTTTCAGAGGAATCATTGAATGTGTATTTGGAAGAGCTAGCTATGGGTCATCACAGGCAATCTTTAGTACGGGGTTCTCTTCACATTGATCAATGGAAAGGGCATTCTGTTGGGTAAATATCCCTTTTTATTCTCTTCATTTTCTTCTTAGTTTGCTCTTAACTATACAATCATATTCCATGTCTTTTTATTGAGATGAAAGCATGAAATATTTTATTAGATCATGAAGCTGTCGTCATTGTAAAAAAGATTGCTGTATCTGAGCGGGTATTTTGTTGCCTAATTTTGAAAATTGTAATGACCAGACTTTTAAAATTGTAAAGTCTATTATGGCAAGATCATGGATGCTAATAAGGTTTTAAAGAAAAATTATTTTTAAGTCTAGAGCTTTTATTGTATGGATATATGAACAAACGAGTGTGTGGTATTTTCTAACCTCGGTTTTTATTAGGGTTGACCAGTGCCGCATGAAGAGGGGCTTGGTTCTTACCGGTGTTGGTGATAAGGTTTGGTCCCTTTCTGCCAACTTACAGAATGATGTTTTATCAGACGATACATCAATTTGGTCAATTTTTTTCTTTTTATTTTATTACGTGGAGGGGTAGCTGTGATGACCTTGAAAGCAATAATGATGTCATGGTGAAGTACCTTAAGATCTTCCAGAAGCTTGCAAAGTTAGACATTTTGTTTTTCATGTCTCAAATAATTTACTAGATATACATTTCTAGATCTTATTTCAAAATGTCATTATTCATTTGGTGCAAAGTCCTTGTTTTCTTGGATAGAGGACTGCTGCACAAGTTAATTCTGCTAACTTTTTGCATACAATGATACCAGGTTATGCGTCTCTGGTCATTGGAAAGCTACAAATGTATAGAAGAATATTCCATTCCGGGTGGAGTCTCTCTGCTTGACTTTGATTTTGATGAGAGCAAGGTAACTCATAGAAGCTTGTATTTCCTTTAAGTATCTCATATCTTGGGATTTGTTTTAAAGAACCTGTTTTCTTCAAGTGCAAAACACAGAAGAAAAAAGCAGCCACTCTTGGTATTTCAAGGATAGCAGTGATGGATATCATCCGTTAATACACCTTTGTTTTGCATATTTATAAATGATATCAATTGCCCAAAAAAAAAAATCATGATTCAACTTTCGCAGCTGGATAAACATTTTCTGAGGTCCTTCAATTATATTGTAGATTGTTGGTTTGATTGGGACACAAATAAGTATATGGAGGCGCAATGGGCAGAGAAGTATATTTCCCTCACGTGGAGGCACATTCATGAAGGGTTTATGCATGCGGTAAGTAGGCAAAGAATACCTTTTTCTTTGTTTCTTCCCAAATTCTCCTTTAGTTATTTTGTATGAGTTAACAAGTTTACCTTGGGTGATAACTACATTGTTTGCATAAAATCAATCCTCTTTTATGTAGAGTGAGAATGCAAGGGATGTCCTCTTTTCTTTTCTTCTTGGGCATCCTTTTTGTTGATCGTAATTTCTATTCCAATCATAGAAATAGTAAAACAGCACAATACTGTACTAATTTGATCAGAAATTTTCATTCAATTAACAAATACAGTGTTGTTCCTTAAGTTTTTTTTTTAATTCATTTCTGAGATTCAGTTAATCTGATTACAAGCTGTTTTCCTTGAATGTATTAGAACGAAAGCATTATTTATTTCTTTCTTTCTTATTTGTTTGGGTGGAAAAAGTAATTTGCTCTCCTTTCTCCTAAAAGTTACTTTGATCCAGAGGCTGTGATTGGATGTGAAGATGGAACAGCTCGTGTATTTGACATGTACAGTAGGAAATGTTCTCGAATTGTTAGGTATGTGCAGTGAAATTTCTTATTTGCTTTTTGTTTTCTTCTTTTTCTTTCCATTACTCCTTGAAATATCCAGCGGGTAGGCTTAGATTGTCCTTGAGCAGTTAGGCGTGACCATGTCCATTTTCCGTGGTTCATTTATTGGAACAATGATCTCTTGCATTTTTTATATTTTAATCCTCTGATTGCAGGATGCACACAGAACCAGTGACTTGCTTATCTTTAAGTGAAGATCAATTAATTATTAGTGGTTCCTCTTTAGGAAGAATCACTGTATCTGGTCTTTCATTGGACCAGAGGGTGGCTACACTGAGACCCACCGATTCCACAGGTTTGTACCGTATAGCTTCATTATTCTGAGAGTAATTGCATTCTGGTCATGCATTTTGTATTCTTTGCAAACTTTCTTTTCTCATAATGTTGCTCTAAAGGTAGCATATTTCTTTTCTTATAATGTTGCAATAAAGGTAGCATAACAGCTTTAGAGTGTTAGTACTTTTTGTGTTTTCAACCAGGGTGAGAAACAATAGATTTGCCACTAGACATTCTGCATCGCATGACTTTTTGTTATTCTGACTCAACTTCCTCTGACAGGCATAAAGAGTTTGTGTTTCAACCCTGTTTCTCATCTTCTGTTTGCTGGAACAACTGCTGGATATGCATCTTGTTGGGACCTTAGGTAAACTATTCTCAATCATTTTGGTATTGCTCAAATATGTTTTGATGCTATTTTATATTAGCAACATTCACTTGTACACATAGAATCACCCAGAAAAGAACAAATGTCTACAATTAGATTTGTGAGAAGATAATTGGTCCATAATGCTAATAAAAGATGGGGAACACGAAGCATTTATATCCTTGATACTGCCCATACTTGCTCAGCCCTTACAAAGGGACATAGTGGCTAGAGTTGAGATGAGTTTCTGTAACTATTTAGCATGTCGGCTTTATTGATCAATACTGAACTTATTGTTTCAACAATCTTATCTCTGTATGTATATATAAGCAGAGATATATGCAAGCTCACCTTATCTGTTGCCTAATGCATTTGTTTTAGCATATTGTTTAATTTATTTGCTAAATTGAGTCAGCTTTACACAAAGGCCACTGTTTGGATGCGTTGGAATTCTCTACTGGTATATGTGAGAATTTAGCAGAAGTTACAATAACATGACCTTGTTCTTTATTCTTCGCTTCCAGCCCTCGTGTCATCATGTCCAAAGGGAGGCAATTTTTGTTTAGCTGTATGTGTCCTTCCAGCACTTAGAATTGATTGAGCTTTTTCTTTGTTTTCTGTTAGGACCATGAGACAACTTTGGAAAACACGGGTGAGTCCAAATGTTGTGTATTCCTTGCAACACATGCGTGGCGACACTTCAACACTGGTAGTTGGTGGAATTGATGGTGTGCTGCGTGTTTTGGATCACAATACTGGAGAAGTTCTCTCAAGCTATGTTATGGACCATGGCGCCTCATCAAGTTCTGGATATACTCATGGAGTAATAGAAAGAAAGATAGGAAAGAGGCTCTCACATGACTACAACATTGACAGAATCCCTAAAATTTCTCGACCTCCTATTACGTGCTTGGCTGTTGGGATGCAGAAGGTGATCACCACACACAATAGCAAGTACATCAGGATGTGGAAATTCAACAAAACTTGAGGGAAGAAAACTAGCATTTTAGTCAGACGAGTGATAATCACAAAGAATGATTGTCTTGTTCCTTCGCGTGAATCTTAGACCAACCGTGACAAAAAACGAAGAATGTAAAAGGAAATGGTAGAGGAAATCCAAGGTCGCTGATCCATATTTGTTCACTATTTTCGTCTAGTGGCATCAAATTGAAGGAATGAAATGGTGGATTTTGTGGGGTTTGACTGTCCTGGAAAGCGTAGCGATGTAAATGAAATTCTTTCTGTTTAAATGGTGGGAGTTGTCAATTCTTAAGGCAGAAATCTCAACAGTTTTAATTTTCTTGCTGGTAAATCCTTCGTAATGTTCTTGAGGATGATTCGAATAAGAATTCATCGAAAGTTTTCTATGTGGAAATTAAAAAAAGTTCAGTAGATACCTAAGAACATATATTTAAAATGGGAGACTAGTTAATATAGTAATACTGCTTCGTAATTTCTTACTACTATGAGAGCTTGCGCTTTCCAATTTATCTCAAATACAAGAACTTAAAGGAGCTGAAAGAATTTACTGAACTCCCGTTTGGATTTTAACGGACTTTCAATAAAATTGAAAAAAGCCCAAGCCTAGTTTGAGATGAAGCCTAGCCCACTAAATCCAAAACTAATTCGTTACCCTTAATCTTCCAGTCAGTCCTCCTCTCCGAGGAAACCAGCTAAACCAAAACGAAAAACCCTAACCTCTGAATCTCCACCATGGTGTGCATAAGGAAGGCGACGATAGACGACTTGCTGGCGATGCAAGCATGCAACTTGCTATGCTTGCCCGAAAACTACCAGATGAAATATTACTTCTACCACATCCTCTCTTGGCCGCATCTTCTCTACGTCGCTGAAGATTACAACGGCCGGATTGTCGGTTATGTTTTGGCTAAAATGGAAGAAGAATCGAACGAGTGTCACGGTCATATCACTTCTCTCGCTGTACTCCGTACTCACCGTAAGCTTGGTATCGCTACCAAGCTCATGAGCGCCGCCCAAACCGCCATGGAACAGGTCAAAGGATTCAGCTTCTTTTTTTTTTTTAATTTCGAGTTCTTTTGTATATCTTTTTGTGTGTTTGTGTTGTGCGCATGGAATTTAAGGGATTTGAGTGATTAAGTTCTCTTTTTTGAATTGTTGAATGAAAAGCATCTATTTTGAGGATTGGGGATTTTATTGTTTGTGGTTTATAAAATGTTCAGTGATTTTTTTAATTATTGTTTTATATAGATTTTGGAAATGTATGTGGAATCTAATTGAACTGCAGATTAATCGATAGGGTGGAAGCATTAATAGATATCTTTTCCGTTTTAGATATTTGTAAGGTGTTTATTTTAGTTTATTTTATTTTTTATGTGTTTTATTTGATTATTAAAACATATGTAATTTATTGGAATGTAATTGAACTGTGGTCAATTTTTAGAGGGCATTTTATCGTATTTGATTTGCATTTTAGATATATGGCTATCTTTAGTGATTGTATTCATTTTTTTTTTTTTTTTTAACGGTCATGCATTTGTATTTTATCATATTCCATTTACATTTTCGGTATTTTTCTTACTGCTTGAGTTTGTGGAACAGGTGTTTGGAGCTGAATATGTGTCACTGCATGTAAGGAAGAGTAATCGGGCAGCGTTCAATCTGTATACTGAAACATTGGGCTATAAGATTCATGATGTGGAGGCAAAGTATTATGCAGATGGAGAGGATGCATATGATATGAGGAAGCAGCTAAAGGGAAAGCAGAGTCATCATCATGGTCATCACCATCATCACCACCACCACCACCATGGTGGTGGGTGTTGTTCAGGTGATAACAGGTCCGTGGAAGCTCGACCAGAATCAAAATCAGAGGCGAAAGCCAGCACCAAGGTGGAATCAAAAACGGGTTGATGGCGGAAGGTAACTGACTAGCTGGAGAAGTGGGTGTGACGCTCTTTTGTTATGTTCGTTGGAATACCGTTTGTTTGTACCAAGTATTATAATTTGTTGATTCGTGCAAATAATGCACTAGAAGACTGGGAGTTGCATTGCTATTTCTATTTACTGCTTCCTTATATACTGGGATAGGCATTGCTGTGTAATGGTATTTCCACCTGCTTCTCAAGAGTATATTTGTGGCAATTTTTGAATTTTGCTATGCTACTATTCAGTATTAATTTTACTACTAGTAGAATGCAGCATTTACACTCCCTATCTCTTGTGTCTGCTTTCCCAAAAATTGCAAACTGACTTACAATTTTGTTTCTCTTTATCCCCCACAAATGATAATTCTGTTTTTGTTTATCCTTTACAAATCATTTCTTCCAAGTGTCCAGATGAAATAATAGTTTGAAATTTGTGGTGGTTTTTAGATTTTGTCAAGACCTCTGTCTCATTCACAAGGGTTCTTGTGCACACACCCATTGTGTATGAAACTGGTATGTTGGTAACCCTTACTTCATGGAATTTGAACCATGGTGAAGTTGCTTCTCTTTCTGCAGATGCTCGCACATACTCAGATGGACAAGGCAAGGATTTTTCTGTGTGCCAGACCTCTGGATCTGTTTCTTTATAAGGTTTTTTAGCGTAGAGGGCTGTATGCAAGTCGGTTATTATGTATTTTAGATGCTGATTCCTGTTCAGGATTGATTGCTGTAGAAAGCTTACATTTGGATTTGGTTTGTACTGAGGAAAACTGCAAAGTTAGTTGAACTAGATGGAAACTCCACCTAAACTCACCCTCCAAATGTGAGAGAATTTTTTTTTTTTTTTGTTATAAATGAAGTTAAAGGTGATTGTATAGCAAGAAATGGATGCTCTTAAAGAGCTTGAAGTGCGTCTCAATGCTGTAGTGTTTAGCGATATGGATGCTGTGATTATAAAGTGATGTGGTTATTGCTGGAAGTTGATGGGCAGCTTCTGCTGTTCAAAAGTGGCAACTGTACCAGGGTAGCTGAGCTAGGTTGAAACCTAGGATCAAACTCCAAATACAAGAACGCCAAGGGAAAGTTGTCCTCTGTTTTCGAGATCAAGAACTGGACCCAAAAAGGTATGGTTGGTATGACCCTCAGGGCTCAAGCCTTAGGCCTCGAGAGCTCGTGCATCCTCTCTTAAAGGCAGCCTTAGGGGCTCGTGCATCGTCTCTTAAAGGTCTGGATAGCTTCGGAAGTCTTTGTGCAGAGTTACAAGCGAGGGCCTATTTGCAGAATTATCCTTCCTTACATGTTACGGAATATTATATTATTATTATTGTGGGGAGTAATCTTCCTACTCTAGCAGCAACAAAGCAAGCATGGTTGATTTTGAAACGCCACCGGAAAAATCCTTGTCAAAGTTGATTGTGAAATTTCTGAATGCTTGCTACCATCTTCCATGGTGTGACAAGAATTTCCTCGTCTTCACGGATATCAGGACAAGAAATGGATGGAGCGTTGCCTGTCATCTCACATGTAGGCTAGTACTGATGGAACTTAAGAGAGTGCGATTAGGCGACTCAATTACAGCAGCCCTCAGAATTCCTTTTACTTCCACGGGCCTGCAGAGGGCAGAAACCGTAGGCATGTCCCATGCCACAATGTGTTACAAGTTATTCAGAACCAAAATAGAGAATACTCAAAGCTCAGAAAATGATACTTGTATTGTGATGTTGTCCAAGAATATTAGATGTCAAAAATGGCTTGCTAAGTTGACCAAGCTCTCCTTAGAAAACTCTTCCACGATTAAATTGGTGAATGTATTTTGGAATCGCCTTTCTCTAAGGCTAAAAGATGATAACTTCGTATTCAACCCTACCTTGAAGCGTCAGTCGGTATCATCATCTTGTAGTAGGAGCTGATCGTAGATCTTGCTGCATTTTCAATTTCCCTTTAACGCCACCCCAATATTCACAACTTGATAATTAGCTGATAGGATCTCTCGAGAATGATTTGCATAAAAAGAACTCCTCTGAATTAAATAACAATTGCACAAAACTCTAATAAAATTTTCGATGGTTTTTTACCGAGTGATGGGTAGAGTAGCCGCCAATGAAAAATAAATTCACGACGGTGATCAATCAGGCAAAAAAATGAAAATATTTATTTATATTGCATAAATAATGTGATCAACTCCACGAATAAAGAGTTCCCAAAAATACTATTAAAAAAAAAAACAAAAACTTTACCTATTCCACTCACGATGCTTGTAGTATATATATATTTTTTTAAAAAAGGTGCCCAATCGTTTTCTATTTTATTATATAAATATGAGAGAAACGTTCATGAAAAGGACACTACTTTACTTAAATGAATTCGTCATGCCATTTTTGTTGTAGGGTTGGTGTGAGTCAGGGATGGTGCTGGAAGATTATTGACAAAAATAGAAAAAGATCATAATTATCAAGAACCCATAAGGCCACACGAGGGAAAGAGAAGGCAAAATCTTGGTTTCTAATTTAATGTATAATCAACTAGATAAATCTTTTGTCATGGTAGGAATAAGAACCGCCGGCAATAATTGAAAGAGAGGGAGGGAAAAGAACAAAAAAGAAACAGAGCCTTGGTGGCTGTCAGATTCAAAATGTTCTCTTTTGGTTTTCTAGAAGGTAGAGATGATTTCGTTGATAATGTACTGCATCAGCCATCAAATACGAATTGCGTGTAAAGTTACTTAACTATTTGTATTGTATTTTTTTTTTTTTTTAATTAGAACTTTTTCAATACTCACAGTGAGAGCCGAGACTAGTGGTGGCATATAATAAATAATCCATTCGGCTTCCTAATTTTTTTTTATGCTCAAAGTGTAGTAGACTCAAAAAACTCAGATTATTTTTTTATTATTGGATCAAATGTATAACATGAAACGTATAAAATAAGTATAATTACGTAAAAAATTTTACATATCAAAAAATTTGAGATTTAAAACTATTTATTTAAATAATTAAAATTTTTTTATTTAAATGAATATTCATGGAATGAAATGGTTGATTTAGCGTATAGAAATTGATTGTCGTGTATCATTTTTTATATTGGTTTTTGTGTCATTTTTATTTATAAAACTTGCACGTTCGTTTTCATTCCATTTAGGAAACAAAAATACAAAGAAAAATTCTTACAACATAGTTGAAGATTTTTTTTTTTTTTTAACCATGAAAAGTTTTGAAATCAAGACCTTTTATTATGACGTGGAACACAGGTGGTAGTTGAGCTAGAAGCTCAATGGCAATTATAGACATGGTTTTTGAGACTCATAAGGAACCTCAATTGTTGATTTATTACTACCAGAAGAATCTACAAGTTTATTTGGTCTCCATTGACTCCTTACAACAGAAGCCCTGTTTTGAAAAGCTGAAGGACTTCGAATTCAATGAAACTGTCAGGTAAATCAAATGACCATATGCATCTCTTTGCCCTCGTTAGGACACGTTATACGGGTCTTGTTTGGGACACATGGCAGAAAGTTCTTCTTCCTTTTTTTCAAATTTACATTTTCTACATCCACCCTTTCCTTATGGGGGGAATATCTGATTTGTTCCTCCATACAGTACCAAAACGATAGGCTAGGCCAAGTTTGGCATTGCCATGCCATGACTTCTTAAACTTTTTTTTTTTTTTTGAAGTAATTCGTTGGTTTAAAGTCAAAGATTAAAGAACATGAAAAAAGAAAAAGAATTATATAAGATGATAATATATATAGACAAATCATTTCAATAAAATCAATAATTTAAAAATAGAATTATGTAAACACTGTTATATTATTGTATTTGATAAGTGTAATTTAAAAAAAAAATCAAAGGAGAAAGTTGTCACTTTAGTAATAAAAAGAAAACCCTCACCGTAAGTAGTTGTACTTTGATTAAAAATAAGGGTATCCTACTTTATTTTAAAAACAAAATAAAGTTCGAATCATTCCTGGAGGGGATTTCATACAAGTCACAAGTTCCATAAACGATTAATAATACAAGTAAATTAAGCAATGTGGGTTGTTTTACAATATAGAAGAAATTAGTAATAAAATAATGATGAAGCTTTTATCAATTATTACTTTCAAGGAATATCCTAAAAGAATAAGCACTACACTATGATACAAAGGGCAAGACCAAAAGACACTTTCGTCATTGTGGCCTCGTATATTTCGAATCCCAATGCGCTGTCCACAATCCCTCCAAATTCAAGAGGAGCTTTCAGGTTCATCTTCATTAGCACAGCACCAACCATTCATCAAGTCCAACAATCACCTCAAATTTAATTGGCTCCAATCAACTCCTTGGACCCCCCTTCCCCCTCTGAAAGTGACCAAAGGGAACGGTACATTTTCGAAAGTATGGGATCAGGCTGTGCCCACAAAACACCTTTACATTTATGGGGCAAATATCGTGCCTCGGCTGATGAGTTAGGTTGAAAATCTACGGGGTACTCGAGGAGTGGGCGCGACAAACTCACTATTGGATGTTAGCATGCTTTGTTGTTCCTTGATGGTATTATCACACAATCTGTTATCAGGATTTTCTGCGTAGCAAACATAGTAACAGCTCACACAGGCATGAGGCAATGCCATGGCAATCCTGGTCTGATACATCCAAATGAAACGATGAAATTATGTTAATCAACAACTTGCTGATTGAAAAAGATTCTCTGGTATAGATTATAGAAGGACCAAGTTGATGGCATGATCTAAATTCAAGATCGAGTAAATCTAATATATATAGTAATATTTGTCAGATAAGAGCTACGAACCATGAGGTATCCAATGAAAAAGGACAGGAGCGAGAGAGTGGCAGTGAAGGTTTGGTGCACTTTGGCAGTCCAAGCAGCCACAACAATAACGCAAATGGATCCACTGCATACACCTGTGAGGAAGCAAATCGAGCTGGTTATGTCTGAGTCAACAATGGATTCCATTTTTTGTCTTTCAAAGAGTTGCCAGGTGTCTTGTGATGCCTGTACAAATCCTTTTCCATATGCAGCTATCTGCAACATTGGTTTTTTTGAAGGATCAATCAGTCTGAGTTGGCCATATGCCATTGACAAAAAATTGAGTCCATGGAGAATGTGAAATGGACTTCAGACAAAACACAGGTAACTCAGCTACCAGAAACAGCACCAAAAAATGTCTGTGAACTAGCAATGACCAGGCAAAACTGATTTGCTTCGGGAAAAGGTAAGTAAATTCGTTTGGGTTAAAAGTTATAAAAGAGACATTATATTACGTACCTGCACAAAGGCCCAGCCATTTCCATATCTGAAGATACATTCCATCATTCCAAGACAGCAATGAGCACAAGAAAACATGAATTCGTCCTCTCCCTCCAGCAAATTCAAACCCCGAGCAACAATTCTCAGTGCTTCAATAGCAGGCACAAATAGAGACCCCAAACAAGCACTTCCGAGGTTCCGAGTTAAAGCCCTTTGAAAACAAAATTGGGTACTAGATTGCATTCCTCGAAGATAATACAGAGCAATTACCCTACTAACAGTCAAATTAACGATATTCCTCATAACTTCTGCAGTCCAAGCCAAGCTTAACGCCAATCCAATAATTACCAAAGGCGTAAAGTAGAAATTCATGGCTCCAATTACAGCTAAAATCCACAAAGACATCCACAAGAATCCAACTCCAAGCATACAATAAGTGGGTTGGTTCAAATCACCGAATTTCGGAACCGGTTCAAGCGATTTAATCAGAATCTTGGTGCAAAATCCAATTCTTTGAGTAACCCAACAAGCATATAAGCCATTGCCGATAGCGAAAAAAATAAGACAAACTCCAACACCATCAGTAGTAGGCCTTTGGAAGCAAATTAAAAGAATTCCGGCCGATAAGGACAAGAAAAAAGAGCTCCATAATATGAAATGAACCATGATCCTGGGCCATTGTCTAACTGCCTTTTGCCATACAAACGCAAGAGTAATGCTTAACAAAGATGCTGTTTCAACTTGTGGGAGGTAAAACTTTAAAATCCTCCTCTCTTTCCTTTTAACACTATCTGAAGCTTCTATTAGTCCTTGAATTCCCTTGAATATAAGAAAAGATACTAGCCCAACAGCGACAACCATGTGCAGCACAAACAGAAACAGAGATATTTTGTTGGTGTATCTTCTTGAATTCAAAGTTGGTAGTGATGGCTGGTCACAAAGAGGGAAACCCAAAAATGTTTCAGATTAGTAACTTGAAAAACCAGCAAAAGATTTTTTTTTTTTGCTAGATAGAGAACATATGACTACTTTCATGTTAAATTTACATAACTGACTCGAAAATCAATCAAGAATTTATGACGCCTTTCTATAACCTATAAACATACTAATAAAGTTCAAATTAATTGCTTTTTTAAAAACAGTTTGACTGACACAAACCAAAACTTAAAAAAAAAAAAAAAATGTCTAGCAAAAAATTTTCATAATCAACCAAGTTTAATCACTACTAAATTCAAAGAGTAAAAACCTTCATAATATCAACTAAAATCAAAACTTTAAAACAAAACAAAAAAGAAAAAGGAGCTGAAGCCATCTTGTACTCACTAGTAATTTCCAAAAGCAAGAAACTTACTTGTGGGGTTGGTGTGGAGCGAGGCAGAGAAGTCTGAGAGGGAGAAGGAGAAGCCATTCTGGAAGAACCATTAATGACAATCCTCAAAGGGTTGCTTGGGTTCAACCTTTGCATCATTGCCACATGAGAATCCTCCAAATGGTTATTAAGATCATTATTAACACTAATGTCCCTGCTATCTATCACCTTTTCTTTATCATCCAGCACTTCTCCTTTCTCTACATCTCTCTCCTCTCCTTTCCTCTCATATCCTTCCACCACCTCCGCCTCCTCCTTCTTTTTTCTTCTTCCTCTCTCCTTTCACTCTCTCTCTCTACCACCTAAAACAAATTAAAATCATGAAACTGTTAGCAACTGAAACAAGACACCAACAAAATAAAAATATACAGAGATAAAACGTGAAGATAGAGAAATTAGTTGTGCTATGCTGTCTTACAGGTTCTGTAGCACCCATAATGGTGAAGGCGAAGATGGTGACGTCAGCTTCACGGTCGTGGCTCCGGTGGCTGTTATGGGGTGGTGATGTACGTTTAATAATGTTATCGGATTTTGTGTCCGTTGAGTTAGGTGATATTTTGTGGCGACAGCCAGGTCCTTTTCATTTATTTTTTCTTTTCCAGTATAATTTTGCCAACAAAGCTTTTATTACATTACCTCATTGCCTCAGAATATCGGAGAAACAGCGCCCTAGTTTTGTGTAGTGTTGTACACGCACCAATGAGAGAGAACCTGCGGGGAGCTAGTTATGGGTGACAAATCACGTGCAATAACGTTTTTACTGTATGTGTACAGTGTTTAGGTACGGATGTGGTGAACGGGTTGGATTTCTTTGTGATGGTTGACGATGAGAGTGACGAATGGTGGATATCGACTTTTGGGAAGGAAATGGAAAGACACAATCCAAAATAATAAAGTCGGTACTATTATGTATCTTGCTTTGGTTGTGTAACGAAATTCGCAGTTCGTGTAAGAGGCTACAAAGTTAGCATTTTTTTTTATTTTACTTCTCTTGTTGTTCAGTGCCGTTTTTTATCGTTACTTTTGGCCGCCATGGCCAGTGGCTTTACTTATAGCCAATAAAGTAATTAAATACCGCATGGCTTGACTGTAAATGGTAAATTATTCCGTTTAGTTTTGCAAAATGAATTGAATATTTACTTAAACTTTAAAAATAAATTAATTAATTTCTTAATTAATATTGATTATAGTTAATTTAATATTATTTTATTAAAAAATGATTTTTCTTATCAATCTTTCCATATTATTTATTTATTTATTTATTTATTAAAACAAAATAAAAAAATAAAATAATGAAAATGATTAAGTTATGAATAGATTTTAAAATATAAATATTAATTAATCAGTTTGTAAAATTAAGGAGATTATTTAATTCTTTTAAAAAACTAAATCCATTAATTTATAATCTGCTCTAGTTTGATATGAATGCTAAAAAGGTTTTTTTTTTTCCAGTAAATATATCTATTTGTTTTTATAAAATATTCAAAAATTCTTATTTGTGCTCAAATTTTCAACTGCATCTCATTATGTTTAAAAATATTTGAAATATTCAATCTTTCATTCTGATTAATTTTTTCAATCAAATATTTTTCTTACATAAATGTACTTTATTAAAATGTAAAAAAAATAATTAAAATCATGTTCTATTTTTTAAATCTTTAAATTTTTTTTTCAGAAGCACTTTGGTAAAAAAAAATATTTGGCTGGAAAAATTGATCAAAATGATTGATGAATATTTCAAATAATTTCGAAAATAAATGAAACGTAATTGAAAATTTATAAATATATGAGAGACTTTAAATAATATATTTATCTTTTTTCTTTTTTATTAGGTTTCAAATGCTTTTTTTAAAATGAACCGAAGAAGTACTAAATTCATGTTATGTGTGTGTGTATATATATTACTACCACATGCAGATGAAATATCACTGCTCCTGCTGGTCAAAAGAGATGGCAACCTTCTCTGTTTTTTACAAGTTGACAAAAGAAAGAATGATAGCTTTAACAACAAACTTGAAGACAGTTTAAGCATGTTTTAATTTCACTTCATTGATTACGGACAAAACAAACATATGGTAGCTCCATGACAGACTTGAACAATAAAAAGATTTAATAAAATGTTTTTTGTTTTTTTTTAATTCTGTGATATACTTAGGATACTCCAATATAAAGGAAATTATTGCGTTGCCCAATAACAGATAGAGCCCATATTCCCACGTAGCTGTGTGACGGGTCAAGGAAGAGTTGGGGTCGATTTTCTTCTTTTTAGACAACCTTGGCATCAATTAGGTTGCTTCAAGAAAAGAAAAAGAAAAATACGAAAAGCAACCTTGGCATTAGAGCTCCCTCTATCTCTATGTGGCCATTTAAAAGGAGTCACGTGCCAGAAAACTAAAACTTTTTTTTTTCTTTTATAAAAGCAATTGTCAGACAAACTGGTGGCAATATGGGCGGGTCATGTCTGTGTGCGTCTGATTGAATAAGTTATGAGAATTGAGATAGCAGGGATGACTTGGATCCACCTCAATTTTGTCCCATGTCTCTGTCAAACAGTCAGTGGAAAATGATGGGATAGCAACAACTGGCAAGCCCAGCCCCCCTTTATAATTTAAATTCAATTATAATCTAAATTTATTTATTTATTTATTAAATAAATTAAATATAGATTTATTTCAATCTGATTCGATAATAATTTAATCTAAAATTTTAAAAACATAAAAAACTAAATATTTAAAAACAAATATATGGCATCACGTTTAGATTTATGATTTATTCTACTAAACACTTAAACATCTAAGAAGTTAACTGTTACTTCCACCTTCCATTAGCTTTTTTTTTTTTTAAGGTCCTCTTTTGTTTTTGTTTTTTTCCTTTCTTTCATTTTCCGTAGCCAAGGCCTCTTTTGACTTTTAGTAAAGTGTTTTTTTTTTTCTACAAAGGTATTTTCTTTTTCATTTATTTCAAATTTTAAATAATTTGTTTTTGGCCCTTTATGTTTTTAAAATTTATTTATACTATATACTTTGCATCTACTTAGTATGATATATATATATATATATATATATATATATATATATATAGTTTTGTTATAAATTAATTATGTATCTGCATACATAATATTAATTATTGATAATTTATTCTTTTTTATATTCTAAAATATTTTTAAATAAAATAATTGAAAGATATATATAATTAGTTTTGTTATAAATTAATAATGCATTTGCACACATAACCCCAATTATTTGTTATTTACTTTTTTTTTATGTTCTAAAATCAATTTACATTAATCATAAAAAATAAGATTTTTATCTACGCTACACCATACAAATCGTTGATCTTACATACACGATTATCTTATCACAAGTATATCACGGGTATCCAACTCGCTTATTCTAAATGTTAAGAAACATTCTATAATTTTGTTTTTTTTCCTATATTGACAACTATTTTTTAAAACAATTATGTGATAATTTTATTTTTTTTCATGACTTGTCAAGTCTAAAATTAATTTGTTGAAAATTTTTGTTAACATATAAAAAATAAATAAATCAACGCATTGTTACTAGAATTATACTTGTGTTTTTAATTTATAAAATCTTGATTCAATTTGAATTTTTTTTTTCATTTTAACCTTGTTATTTGTAAAACACTATGATTTTCATTCATGTCAATCAAATTGTGTTTAGGATAGGCATTTATTTCCTTTAATTTTGTCATACTTTTTGTCTAGTTTAACTAATTATGACATTTTATATAAATTTTTATCGGATTATTATTATTTTTTTTAATAGCTAGACATTTTGATTTTCTTTAAATTGACATTAAATATTATCATTATACACACACACACACACACACACACACACACACATAATAGTTGAAATTCATTTTACATTAAATTTTAAATTGACATATTAAATACTCGTCACTTTTCTAATATATACAATAGTTGAAACTCAATTTTAATTGTGATTCATAAATCCTTTATATACTTGGCAACGGGGCAATGTTTAGGAAAGAATTGATCAAGTGGTCCGTAATACCGAAGTGGCGATTAGCTTTTCCAAACGCCGAAGTGCACCATCTCCCTCAAATGAAATATGAACACAAACTTATTCCCTTGCACCTTACTTGTTCGTAGAAATCAAGATGCTAATCTTAGAAACTTCGACTTTCGGACTACTTAATTACTACTACTTGACTTTAGTGAACTTGTCAAGAATACTTGAACAATCGATGCTCTCTTCCCGGTAGCTAATAATGATTTTATTTTTTTTGTTAAAAGGTGGAACAACGACAATTTTGGCAATATATTAACGAAAAAAGGACTATTGGCTCGCCTATCCGTACTAAGAGAGTTCTATCTACTAGTTCTAACCCTTTTCTTATTCAAATTAATAGTATATTAAGAAAAGATTATGAAGACATTCTCTTAGAGGAAGAACTCTACTAGTTTCGAAGTCTCGGCATGAATGGTTAGCTCTATGGAGACAAAAATACTATGTAATATCATGTCATAACGAGTGGTTAAAAAATGAATTACAAGGATGGGGAGATTACAAAATGAGAATAGAAATTGGTGTAGCGAGGATCACGAGTTGCAAGCTTTGATTCTCCGATATTACAAAAATTTATTCTCATAGGAGGGGTTACAAGCACTAACTCCTTGTCTTATAGGTCGTTCCCTCGACTGCCTTATGCTCTTATAGAACCTCTTAACTCAATGGTGTCCGATGATGAAGTAAGGAGGGCCTTTTTTTACATGAAGCTTTATAAACCTTCGGGAGTTGATGGGTTACATGTTGCTTTTTTATTAGACTCAATGATTAACAATTGGTAAGTTGTTATGCCATTTCATTCAATAAGTTTTCCAACAAAAAGCTTAGGAACCTTCTCTTACTAGAACTATACTAGTCTTAATTTTGAAAGTAAAGGTGTCGAAATAATTGTTGAATTTTACCCTATTGGCATCCGTAATGTTGCCTATAAGGTACTTATGAAAGTTATTATGAATCGATTAAAAACTATCCTTCCTTCAATCATTACGCCTCGTGCAAAAGAATAACTAATAACATTATTATTGCTCGAAGGTCCTCGACTCCACGATAAGGAAAATGAGTAAAAAAGGTTAGATGGCTATCAAAATAGACTTGGAGAAAACTTATGATAAACTCGGATAAGATTTTGTTCTAGAAACCTTGATTGATAGGAATACCTCATCACTTATGTTCAACTATTATGAAGTGCGTCTCTTATGTCTCATTCCAAATTGCCTTTAATGGTGTCATTACAAGTCCTTTCGAACCATCTAGAGGTATTCGATAGGGAGACCTTATTTCTCCTTACCTTTTTGCTTTATGTATGAAGCGAGTTTAGTTAGTTAATCCATACCGAAGTGTAAAATGATAGGTGAAAGCCAATTTTTCTAAGCACGGATGGACCGCCTATCTCTCAACTTTTTCTTTTACTAATGATCCAATCATATATGCTAAAGTCGACACCAAACAACTAAAAGTTGTAATGGTGGTTCTTTATAAGTTCTATTATACTACTAGTTAGAAAGTCAATATGTCTTAAACAAGAATGTTATGTAGTTCCAATATTCTAAATGACAAGGCTAGGATTTTCAATCGGTTTTCTAGCTTTCATTTAACGAGAGGACGTGAGTCGATATTTGGGTGTTCCTCTCTATCACAAAAGGGTTAATATGGCCACATATGAGTATGTGGTGGGCAAGGTTAGGAGGAGGGTTTCGGTTGGCGGTCATGTCATCTCTCTCTTGCAAATAGGGTAACCTTGACTCAATCGAGTCTTGTAAGTCATTCTTATTAATAGTAAGCGGACTATTAAGTTACTTACTACTACTATCACTTCCATTAAGAAAGTTTGTTGTAATTTTGTTTGGGGCGGGTTTGATATTCAATAAGGAAAATCCACCTAATTTCTTGGGATGGGGTCTCGCGATCAAAGATGGATGGAGGCCTTGGATTAAGAAAGTTAGTGGATGTAAATATTGCCTTACTTATGAAGATTGAGTGGGAAATTATCTTGGATAATTCTTTTTGGGATTCAAGTTTTGTGCAATAAATAAAAAATCTCTACTCAATCGATACCTACATCGATCTCTTATAATGAGTATTCTAATCTTTGAAGAAGTCTATCTCAAGTTTGACAACAAATGTGTGGTAGCATTGGTTGGTCAATCGATAATGAAACTCAAATCAAATATTGGATATATTCTTGGGTGTTTGAGTTGGATCCTTTATGTGATCATACAATTTAGAGCATTCCGAATGACATGTTAAGTCATCACAATAAAGACTATATCACTCCTAATGAGCAATAGATATGGGATGAGATCATGTTATTCCCGCCTAATGCTATTTGTTTAAGAATTGCATATATGTTTCCCGATTGAGACAATGATACTAATGACATGCCATGTTAGAATCACACAAGCACTCGGTATATTCTCCACTAAATCGACTCTATATGTCTATCCTTGCTTCGACCATAAGCTGTTTCAATGGGCAAATGAAACTTAATTTGGTGTTGGAATGGTTCTCAAAGGATTCGGACTTTCCTATAGTTAGCCATACATAGAAGGCTCCCGACCAATGAGCAACGACTCCACAAGAGGCTTTCAATAGAAGCTTTTTGCTCGCATTATCGTACTCGTTTCTAAAATAATTCTTCATGTTCTTAGAGACAGTTCAGTTGCTAAATCCATCCGGAGGTCTTGCAACACTCTATATATTAATCATAACTTCTTTTTCTTAAATATCCAAGATTGATTTTGGTATAATCTTCAATGCACTAATATGCCAAAATTTGGACCAATTTCTTGGAACACTCGGTTTGGAACTTGTTATTGGATGCCGTGGTCATGGCATAACAAAAAGCTTTTTGAAGAAGGTTTCGTGTATCCTACCTAATCTCTTAATGTGATTTTCTCTTATACAAGTCAAACTCGCTTATAGTATTGAGATGGTTTCATATTTGGCAAGACCGAAAGTAAGCAAGCATGAAATTCTTATTGATTGGCTCAAACCTCAATAAAGCTCGGATTAAACTTAATATTTTGATGGTGCACTTCGTAATTCAGTTGGCATTTCTACAATAGGAGGCTCATTCGTGATGATGCGAGTATCCGATTGCATGATTTCTCTTGCACATAGAAGTCCGCTCCGTTATGGTCGCAGAGTTATGGAGCATCTTTTTTATTTAGAGTTAACAAGGAATTTGTGCTTCATACAAATTCAGCTAGAAATGGATTCCATGATGATAGTTTAGTTGTTGTATACCAATGATGGTAGCTGAAGAATTCATTATCGGTTGATTAAAGTATTCCCAAACTACTCCAAAGAGCTTGGATAGTTTGTGTCTCATGTCTTTAGGGAGGCTAATCGTGTAGTGGATTGGCTTGCTTCGATGCCGACTCCCTCCCATTTGGTATTTCATATTTGGCTACTACTCATTTAAGTTGTGTTAGTCTTTTCTTAGAAGATATTTGTGGAGTTGTAACTCTAAGAATTTGTAATATGAATTAGTTTGTTTAAAGCTATGACTCTTTTTTGAATTCAAAAAATAAATTCATTTTACATCAAATTATCATTTTGAATGCAGCCAATATTTTTTATTTTTTTTATTTTTTTACAAAAAAGAAAGATAAATCTGATGGATGTTCAGAATCTGCCAGTTCCATTCCCATTACAATCCAATTCGTCGGCAGTACCATTCGCTTTCGTATTTACATGCTTTATTTTCTTAATTTTCCATTTTACACTCTTGCCAATGCTTGAGTGTACATGTGGGGAAAGAAAACACTTGATTACTCGCCTTGAAGATTTACAACAACTAATTTTTTGGGCGGAAATTCGTGACCTCTCATTCGGAAAGGAAGAATAGCCATTTCCAGTTTGAACCAAAAGCGGGAGGATGAAAACATATGGCAGACTTAAACCCAGGGTTTTTTTCTTATTAAAAAAAAAAAAAAACCAAAATCGGATGAGAAATTCTTGATTTAACCGAACATTATCAGAGCCGAATTTTTATTGTTTTTGAGCTCAAGTGAACAACCTAAATTAACTTACCCCATGAAGATTAAGAAGAAAGTTTTCCATAACAAAAATTAATGACCAAAGTAGAAGAAAGAGTACAATCAAAACTGTCTATTTGGCAACTTGTTCCACCTGCATCTGATTATAAATTTCACAAGGCACCATGTTGGCACCACAAACTTGACCAAATATTCTTTAGATAGGGGTAACAAAGAAAAATGATTTACATTCCACCTAATAAACCATTTGCATCTCAGTCAGGAAACAACTGCTTACATCCAACCTAAAATACTATCAAAACTGATTGGGAGCAGACACACTTAAGAGCTCATATGTTATAGAAAAGAGAACTCAGAAGAATATGACCTCCTCACAACAGAAGCAATTTAAACATGAAACATGCTCAAAGCAAAGCATATTTCTTGGTGATGTAATTCTCTGTGTCATACATTTCAAGCATCAAGAATCTTTCTTCGCACCACTTGCTGATTCTGGTGGTGGTTTGACAATACTTAGTTGACCCCCTTCCTTGTTTGCAGCAGTAGCTGCTTTGATCTCATTACAGTTGTTGATGAACTTGCTTAGCTCCTGGCCAGAGTAGATAAGAAACAAAAGTAATCAGTGAAGCATAACAGGATTCAAGTACATCTAACAAGACCTCATCATGCACACAACACACTGCACATACAGTTACAAAATACAACACCAATAGTTTTGAGACCAGTCCCTAGAAAATAAGCAGATGAAGGCTAACTTCAGCTTCCAAACCAGGTTACTGGAAATTTGAGGTAATCTTATAGGATCCAAGTTAATATAATAATCAACTGAAGTTGAATGATCTGCTATCTCACCTTAAAGATTGGAAGGATAACATATAACTACAATTTCGATCTTTCAGAGTATAATTCCACCCCTAGATCCTTAAGAAAATCATTGATTGAATAATTTGAATTCTTCAGGACAAGGTGCTTCATGTTAACAGAAAGCAGAGTTCAAGGCTTAAGGAGTCAGAAAATGTTTAGGAGCTTTACATAATTCAACTCTCATAAGGAATACAGGGCTATCTAAATAAAGGTTTCAATCCAAGTAAAGGCCATTCGAATATCAATTCCCTTTGTGTTAACCAGCTAGTATGATGAAAGATTTAATTATAAGAACAGTCAGAGTAACAATATAGACAATCAAAATTTAGGCATCACCCTTTACCCAACTAATAAAACAGAATGGAAGAACACTCAAGATAAACAAAGATAATCCAAGGGAAGCAAGAGAAAGATCAGGACTCTGAAAAAACAAATCTCAAAAAGCAAATGACAGAAATAGAGATGGTACTATTTTTACAACTTCGATGCTTCTTGAAAGTCTAACCCTATCCAATTCTTGCACATCCTCGTTAGAAAAAAAAAAAAAAAAAGATAAAAGAAAATAACAGATAAAGGAATAAAAGACGAAGATAGAACAGAAAACTGGTTTAGACTCTAGAAAAGTAGTTGCACGGTATAATCTAAGTTGATCATATGGGGAAATGTCGTCATCTACATCTCCACAATAATCAGAACCCACAGCGGAAAAAAAAATATAAAACAAACAAGACCAAAACACACTGAAAATTTCTCGCAGAACTGCATAAAGTGACTAGCTGAACCAGCCACCAAATCTTACAAAACTGGAGCGCAGTTATAGCGTCAGCTCATACTCACTGCCTACTACAAAAAGAGCGCTGGTAATCAGTAATTGACGCATAATTATCACCTAAAGAACGAAGGTTATCGGGATTTTTAACTCTTCAGAAAATCAAAGTGCATTGTCAGTGTAACTAATCCACAAAACTGGAAATAAGAAGTTTGCGAATACAAAAGAAATCTGTAGTGCAATAGTTTTCTAATCAATAAAAGTAATCTAACAGTGAGTAAATAAAACTTTCCTATGGTATCCAGCGCATCCGCTCATTGAAAATTTTAATTAATTTTTACCAATATCAAGCAGTAGCAGTTACAAAATTAAGCAATCATACCCTATCAGCATCCATCTCCTTTGTAAACTTTGATGGCTTCACAAATCTCTTCCCTGCAACAAAATTTAGAGATTTATTCATCTTTTTTATTGAGAAAAATAAATAACTAAACAATTTTAGAGATTGCATGGAAATAAACAAACTGACCTTTGCGGATGTGAGTAATTTTTCCATGGCGATTAGGTGGGACTGTTTTCTTCTTCTGTTGGCCTTTGAATAGATTGTTTTTTTGTGTCATCGCAGAGAATAGGGTTTTTCGCTTTCAGCTGCTGCTGCAACTACTTCTATGGCTTTTTTAGGGTTTCATTCCGTTGCCACTGTTTGTTGACCGCTTGATAGACAAAATAATTTGTTCCAAAACCGACGTGCCGTTGTGGCTAACGACGTAGTTTAAGCGTCTTTTTTTTTTTTTTTTGGGTGCTGGAATAAAAACGAGTAAAATTTAAATTAGTTCCTCTAGTTTTCAGAAAAAGAATTATTTAATCTATTTTGTTTTAAAAATTAATTATTAATGACTGCATTTTAAATTTTCTTATAACCTAATCCTTTTAATTCTTTTTCAATTTTTATTTTTTTATTTTAAAAAATAAAATAAAAATATATGAAAAATTGATGAAAATTAACTATATTTTTAAAATAAATTAATATTAAATTAAACATATCAATATTATTCAATAGATTAAATAATTAATTTTTAAAATAAAAAGATTAATTAATTCATATCTTGAAAATAGAGGAACTAATTTATAATTTACTCAATAAAAAACTCAGTTCTTTTTTTTTTAAAATATTAGTTTCATCATTCATGGCCAACTGGTCTTTTAAATTTTTAATTGAGTTAACTCAAATAGAATCTGTTTTGATGGATTTTTTTCGCAATTTATCCCTTACGTCAACATATAGACAAATATTCCTATATATCTTGCCACGCTGTAAAATTAAAACTTAAAATTCTTTGATAAAGAAGTTAAAGAAACATAGTTATAGCATTGTTTTTAAAGAAGTCGACGTCGAAAAAGACTCTAAATTGAAAATAAGCCATTCTAGATGATTTTTTTCTTCTCCCTTCCTCGTGTTGTCTTGAACCAAATACAGTGGGAAAGTTCTCTGTCATCTATAAAAAATGGAGTAAGTTCCTACTTGACTCCATTCATTTAACTTTGCATTAATGCAAGCGTTTAATGTTTTATCTGCTCCATTGATTAACTTCATGTCGCTTTCAACTAACACATAGCCTATATATATATATATATAAATTAAAATATATGGTTATTATTTACTGTATTATTTAAAACACTGTTATTCATTTATACTACTTATCCGAATTGAGATACATTATTCATTTCATTATACAGTGATATTTTTATAGTTTTCAAATATTTTTAAAATATTTATTATAAAAGTTTTCGTGACATTACACTTTGGTATTTCTTTTTTAAATATTTTTTGTTTGATTTTGGTTCCTTATTTTTTTTTGCATTTTAGCCATTTCGGTCCTTTTTTCTCTTTTTTTTTAAATAAAAAATTTTAAGGCAAAAAAAAAAAATTTAAAATAATTTACAAAATAAATTTTTAACTGAGAATCCATTGATTTTGACATTTTTATACTATTATAAATTTTTTACTTTGTGGATAGAGATAAATAAATAATATTTTTTAATCAAAAATTTATGAAAAATATAAAAAATAATCAGTTAAATACAAAATTTTGATTAAAAAATTATAAAATTGAATGAATTTTTATTCAATCTTGATTTGATATATTTTAATATATACACAATATAACATAAAACATTAAACTAAAATAATTTTATATGTTATGTCCAATCTGCAACATAACACAGAAGAAAAAAACCTAGCTGGTCCTATAAAATAACCTTTCCTCTAGCTGAAGGTACTCTTATTTGCAACTAATGCTTAAATGTCCAATAAATGGTAAATGTGCTCTCACTCTGTTTATGACTAATCGGACCATTAACATTTCGGCCTCCTAATTTGGAAAACGCAAAAATATAAAACAGAAATTTTGGAGACAAATTTTGAAGCCTTTGTTTTCCATTTCAAGCGCACAAGGACTGTTTTGGCCATAAACTTTAATCAGTTGGTTGCCAATTTTTCTTATATCAGTTTCCGCATCAGCAATGCTTACACCCATCTCAATAGCACTTGCTTTCGATTTGGGTCATTTTATCTCAATAGCAAATGATTCTCAGCAGAGAAACCTGCGTACCAGACATCCACTAATCAATTAGTACTAGAAAAAAAAATTTAAATCGTAAAATCCCGTTAGATAATTGATAGCCTCGGGGAAAAGACTATTCAGGCCTCTGCAAGCCGGTGGCCTTTCTTCCATAGTCTACGTATAATTACTTGTACCAGACAACAAATGTGTCATCACGCATTCTCATTACACGTATCAATCTGATGCAAGCTATGATATAACGACCAGTTACCAGGTCTGAAAAAATAGGATTCAGCTAAGACGCCCAGCATCATCCAACTCAACACAAAAAAACAGGAGATTTAACCTTAACGTGTGGGAACACCACCAAATGAAACTAGAACAACCTGGAGATTCTACAAAAAATTTCAAATAACAGGTTCAGCTTCAAATTTTACTTTCTCGTCATAAGTTATACAATCCAAAATGAAGCAAAATGAGGTGAAAATAGAAGCCTGATCTGAAAAGAAAATTCAAACAACAAAACTCTAGGCAGCTCCCTTGCCCTTCTTCCTTTGTATCTTCTTCATGTAAAACTCCAGTTCTTTGCCCTCCAAGATGTATCTGTAACCAAAGGAATGCAATAAAACTTAACTAACATTCTTTTCCAATGCCTTCATATCAAAAAATCCTAAAGAAACAGGAAAAGTAACATACCCATCAGCACGGCCACACTGACCAGGCCGTGATGAAATACAAGCTAACAAACGTCCGCTACCAAATTGCTCCTCAATATGTGAGTCTAGCTTGCGAGTCTCTTGTCTCTTCTCCAGCTTTCTCTGGACATGATTGCTCTTCTTCACCTCCTCTGGAGCAGCTTCACCTTCCTATAAATCAATGGATAAGTTTAGGGACAATTTCCAAGGGAAATTACCAACAAAACATGCCAGTGAGATAAAACCAAGCTCATACAAAGAAAAAAAGAAAAATCTGATTGTTCGAAAATGTGGGAAAAGATATTTATCAAAGCAATTAAGATCTCCATAAATGGGTGATCATCAAACACTAAATACCATCACCTCTTCAAATTGCCAAATCTAACCCTACTTAAGACCTTTCTCATTAAAGTAGGGATCAGCCAAAAAAAAATTCTAAGCTACAGTGCCCCCAACTCATGAAATTAGAGAACAACTCGTAAGCTGCACAATCACATGAGAATCTCACATGAAAAACTAGCCAATAGAAGCAACACATCAAGGTTGTATTTTCCAGAAAGAAGGTTAACGAGAGGCAAAATAAAAATCAGCATTGGAAACTTGCAATGGGTTAAAATCCATTAAAAACCATGTTCTGGTTTTTCCACTAGTATGAATAGACTTGCAACAAATCAATGAAGAAAAAATTACCTACCTACGCCCATAGAAGTAGCAATACAAGCAACAGCATTTCACACCATGGAAGAAGATAGAAAAACAATACAAAATAAATGTCGAAGGTAAGGATCCTACCTCTCCTTCCTTCTTGGCGGCTGCTGCAGCTTTCTTCTTGCGACCAATGTCCACACCATAGTGCTGGAGATACCACTGTTTGAAAGGTGCAGCATCAACCTGAATGATGGCACTCTTCACCAAAGTTTGAGTACGAACCAACTCATTGTTGGATGCATTGTACACCACATCAAGAATCCTAGTCTTTCGGGTCACAGCCTCGCTACCCCATGAGAAATTTCCAGTATCGAGCCTCAGAGCACGCCACTTCACATTTCCTCCTCGAACCCTAACCCTCCTCACTGTCTTGTTGCTAGACAGCTTAGTGTTTGCAGCCTGCCTTCCGAGCTCATACCTTCAAGAGGGAAAATACATGAACATGATTAGGCACAGCAGAAAATATGAAGTAATGGGTCAGTCCACATTCAGATATTGAATGGAACACAGGCCCATTTTGGACACACCGAAAAGATAAAATCACAGATGCTACAAAACTTTACACAATCCGACTTATGTCAAACTTAAAGCTTACCAGTTTAAAAGAACCCATCAATCAAAGCACAAAATAAAACCATATTTATTGATCTCCAAAGAAACAACTGCTTTCGAATGAAGAACCAGAAGTTTGTGGCGCCTTTCTAAAAAGTAAAAGCTAGATACGATTCAAAATTATCAATCTTTTGGCCAGCCAATTAGAGCAAAAGCAAATACCAGCAAAGTGGTTCAAACAATGTTAGGGCCTGTTTAGTTACAAAAACACAATTTTCAGTTTCTGTTCACAATTTTCTCTTCCTTAGAGTTTTGTACAAATAACTTTTGTTTCATGAACTCCAAAGACACAAGAGAGTACTTTCAAATATAAACAAGGCTCCTGGTTCTGTTTTATCACCAGACCTAAGGCAATTGGCTCCATGCTTCTCTATTTTTTCTTAGATCCAATGATTCTCGACCTTAAATGATTTGACCAAATCAAAGGACAAACGGCCTTTATAAATAAAGTCTTGTTTATTTCACAAGTTCCGTACTAACTACAGGCAAACTAGGAGCAAGAGAAACAAGGAATAATCACCAAAAAGTGACTAGTAGAGCTAAATCTAGTATTAGAGCTGAAAAACAGCAGCGGTGTGAACCCGGAACCACAACTAACAAACAAAGCGCTGAAACTAGGACCTCAAAGAGAAAAATATCATAAAATACGCGTGCATCTGTTCAAGATAACCAAATCTTAGCCACAGATCAGAAAGGAAAACACGTTATAGAAGGAAAAAATGTTGGAAAACGTCTTACTTTCTCTTCTTTCTCCAAGCTTTCTTCTTGCCTCCAGTGGCCCTCCTCTTGTGCATAGAATCACGAGAAATCCCTAATCAAAACATACAAAATTAAAACTATTAGCGTCTCCATGATTGAACAAAGAGAGATCATAACAGTAGAAATACTTGAGAAAGATTGATTACCCATTGTTGCAGAGATTCGATGCTAAGGTTTCTCTGCACAGAGCTGCTAGGGTTTGAGACAACTGGGAGGGACTGAGGCTTTGCTCTTAATTCTTATAGTATAAAACCCTAGAAAGGTGAAATTACTATATTGCCCTCCGAGTTCTCGAGATGATCGTTTGAGAACGTTGAGTAAACGACGACGCTTTCAGTTTTTTGGCTGTTAGTGGCATTTTAATATAAAATGAAATATTTTGAAGGGAATCCTAAAATGATTTAATTTCAATTTCCGTTCGTGTCTCACTATCATAGTTTTACATGAGTAAATTTTATTTCTTTGTAGATCTTAATAAATCTAAAAAACTATATATGCATAACAGTCAAAAACTTATATTTTTGATCTGGCCATCAATGAGTTGATTGATTTAATTTTATAACTCTGAAATATTTTAATTTTAGTAATCACAAAAGAAAAATTCGTTAAATTAAATTAAAATTCACATTATAATCAACAGTAAACGTTCTCTATTTTTATCACATATTATCAAGGGTTTTTATGACTAAATGTATGCAACATTTATACTTCTATACTTTTTGATTGATTTTTTTTATTATATTTAAATCCATATTAACTTGCCATGAACTTAATTTTAAGCCCTAGCCATCAAACACGGCATATGACTTTAAAAATTAAATTGTTATCCAAATAAATCATCTACATGGAATATTATGTCTTTCATGATCTATACATATTTAAAAGAATTCTCATCTCGTTAAAATTTAGACACGTCTATAAATAGATTTAATTAGACATAGGTATGTCATTGTTTTATGAAGTCGATAGGAGAACTTGTATCTAAAACGTTCAGGATAAATGAGTTATTTTTTTACCATCCTATCCAACATATTGAAGGCATAATTATGTTCATGTATTGCTACTTCGTAAAAGAAAAAAAAATTGTTTATACTTCTTATTCATCATTTTAAACTGTAAAAACTAAAAGGAGTTTGTCTCATGATTAGTCCTTATACAGTTTCAATTTTTTATTTATTGAGATCTTATATGATTTTTCAACTTAATTGAAACTTTCTACTCTTATAAATTTATCAATCGAGACTCTTTGTTAACTTAAATCCAATGTGGCATGTTAAAAACTAATGAAGATCAATTGAGCATAGACACGTGGTGATATGGGCTCCAATTGTTTTAATATGCATCCGAAACTAAAAAGAATACTAAAATTAAAAGATTTACATTATTAAACTAATGTCTAGTATATAAAAATGAAAAGGAAAAGATGAAACTGGCCCCACCCTTATTATACCAATCAAACCCTAACAACCACCTCTTTTTCATCATAACCCATTACTATCATAGCTCGCCGACCACCGATCACCAATCACCGCCACAACCCATCGCACCACAACCTATTCCACCATCCAACAACAACCATTTTTCACTCTTTACCCAAACCCTCATCCTAGCCACTCCTCTGTTTTAGCCACAACCCCTCTAGCTTGTCGAAACCCAACGACTCAACCCTAGCAACCACCGACCACAACAACCATCTCTCCTCAATCGTGCCTCAACTAGCCTAAAACCTACCACTTGCCACTAACCATTGCAACCTCTCATAGCCCGACACACAAATCCTCAAGCTCAAAACACCACTTATAACAACCAAACCTCCAACCCCAAAACATTAGCCCCACTCGCTATCTTCGTCATCCATCAATATTCGATCTTCAATAGCTTTGAATCACACAAAAACCCACTATTCAGCCACCAAAAGAAGCTCGCCGAACATTATTATTTAAACGGAACTACTATTTAACTAGATGTTTCTTTTGACTGGAGTCTTGAAAGAAGAATTTCATGCGATTTTAACTATAGGTTATAACTGGTGTGAATTATCGACTTGTTTTGGTGGTGAAAAAAGACAATTATAAGAAGTATTAGGCTTTTGTTTATAAGAAACCTTAGGAGAATTTGAGAAATCTAACGTCGTTTAAGCCTTTTAAAAATTGAAAAAATGTAATGCTCAAAAGTAATGTATTATTTTCAATCTTCTTTTTGAAAATTTAGAGATGATAATGATAATAAATGATATTTTGAGAATAATTAAGAATGTTACCATATTGGAGATGGTAAGGAAATGGATTAGGAGTGGCAACTGTGAATTTTATAAGGTAAGGGATGATAGGGTGGACGACAACTTTAGGGATTTAGGAATTTGGGGATTTGGATTTCCAACCGAGAGAAAGTGAAGACAATGTAGTGTTTTTCAATGATTTGTAAATATTAAGTATTAGTTTGATAATAAAAATGTTTTTTAACTCTTTTTTTTTCAATTAAGAGTTGGATTTCCAACTTTTTTTAATGTTATTTAAGACCACATCGACATGTGTCCGTGTTTGATTGGATTTAAGAATTTGGGGATTTGGATTTCCAACTAAAGAGAAAGGGAGAATGAGGCGGATGCAATGTGGTGTTTTTCAATGGTTTGTAAATATTAAGTATTAGTTTGATAATAAAAATGTTTTTTAACTCTTTTTTTTTTTTTCAATTAAGAGTTGGATTTCTAACTCTTTTTAATAATATTTGGGACCACATCGACACGTGTCCGTGTCCGATTGGATATCGTTAGTTTTAACTTTTCACATGTGATGTATATTTAACGGCATTATAATTGAGGGTCCGAATTAATAAATTTATAACAATAGAGGATTTCAATCAAGATGAAAAATTGTAAAAGGCCTCAATAAAAAAATTCGAATTATATAAGGATCGAATATAAGGTAAACCCAAACTAAATGATAACTCACTAGCTTATTAAGTTGTGATGTTTTTCAATTGTTTTACGATATATGTCCTTACATCAACTTTGACTACTCCTTAGTAACTCTTTGTGTCTCTACATTTCCTACTCCCATTAACTCAATTTCTTTCAACTTTGACTAGTCATATTGATAGAAAATTCATCTAAAAACCAACTTGCTTACCATTGAACTACCATTTCTTTTAGGTGTCATTCAGTTACCAAAAATAAAAGATCCAAAATGAAAACATAGAAACTAGAATAACATTTGCATTCTCATATTGTGTTTGGAATACTAATAAAAAGTCGAATAAAATTTAAATTTTTTAATATTGAGTTTTTAATATGAACAAGAATAATGATTAAAAATAATAATTTCATCAACTACGATGGTAGTAAAAATAATAAAGGTAATTGTGATAGTAGTGGTAGTAGAGTAAGAAGAGGATGAAAATGAAATGTGATAGTAATAATAGTATAGTAATAACAATAATATATTTTTAAAAATTGATATCAACACCATAAAAGGTGGCGGTCGAAAAAAAATGATGACGATGGTGGTATAATAAAAAAGATAGTTATAGCAAAAGAAGAGTGTTGATAGAATAATAATAATAATAATTTTTATCACTACCGCTAATAGAAATGGTGGTAGTGATTGTGATGACTATGGTAGTAGTAAAAATAATTAATACATAATAAATAAATATGATATATCATTATTTAAAAAGTATATATAATTTTCATTTTCATTCACTTTTCATTTTTATTTCCATTTCATTCTTTTCAAACAAATAATTATAAAATGAAAATAAAATTTTTATTTTTATTTCTACTACATTCTTAATAACCAAAAATCACCTAAAAAATCACCTAAGTACTTAGTCCTTGTCAACACGAATCATCGTCACCATTCGTGGTGACAAGTGACAACTGACTTCGACTCAATATATCGACGCCTTGAATTTTCAGGGCTACAGATTTGAGCTGCACCAGTGAAGAACCATCAAGCGACTAGCAACCGCAGAAACTTGGCTCTTCTGGTAGTAGATGCGCGAATAAGCAAACTTCATATGCTTGGATGGAGGCATCTTAATGAAGTTCAAGAAGTTTCGATTCCCCAGGACCAAAAAGTTCTCAGCCATGCACAAACTCACCTCTCGTTGAAAAGTGAACATTAGTCCTCATCTTTTATCAACCAAAGACCACCTTCTCCAGCTTCCTTGCAACCCCTATTCATCTCTTATGCACTGTTGCATCAAGGCAATTGCATTGCCAATTACGATGGTTTACTTGCAATTGCATGAAGGAATGATGCGGTCCAACATTTCATAAATCCAGACTTTTTGTTCATAAAACTATACCCAACATTTCATGTTTTCTATTATAAAATCCTCCCTTCTCTCCCTAGCTTTTCTCAAATTAAATAACCTTCAAACGGGAAATAGTTCTTGTTTACACTTGCAATGAGATGAAATGAGGGGCCTTTTGATGAACACATAAAACAAGCATGTTTCTATCATATCCACAAACTTTACTAGGATACCCAACCCAATGATCCAATCTTTCTATTGCGTACAAGAAATACGAATGAAATATAAATTACATGGTAGTTGTCCATTGTTGGATGCAAAATTCTGTAAATCCAAGGAAATCCCTAGCAGCCACAGCCTCAGTAGTCAAAGTTCACAGCCATTGTCGCCTTGATAAATCAACACAAAAGGCAACCAAATGGGTTCACCTTTCTTTCCCTAATATCCGATAAATCATCATCATCAATTGAAAAGTAAAATTAATAGCAATACCAAAACAACCAAATTTACAAACCTCTGTTCTCTACTCCCGTATCTTTTGGATTCCAACCCATCGTGCATAATCCACCCACCTGTCAACAGAATATACACAATCATTTAGATCTGAGAAAAACGCCACAAAATGGATAGGAGAAAGTTTATAATATCTCACATCAATGACCCTAAGAATGTGTTGCCAGTTCGAACGGCAAAGCACATTGCACTCAACATAAACTTGTGTTGGTGTAGCAATGGCTCCAAAATCCGCTGTTCAATAACTCCGGCAAGGACTTGGTACCTGTTGAACGAGGAATTGTTATATTCCATTGTGGCAAGTTGGCAACTCCATTCAGACATGAGACTGCATTACAACTAATTTCCTCCTTTATGGCGGCAAAGTGTGTGTATATATATATATATATATATATGTGGTGCAAAGTTACTGCCAAGCGTAACGTATACTGATAGCTAAACATTTGTGGTTATAGGAAAACTATTTGATTTAAGTCTTGCTCTCCTTTTCAGAATCTAGTCATAAAATTCAGAATTATATTTGAGCATCTTCACCTACATCAAGTTAATGAAGAGTGCTTCCAATTATCTTTGATCATGTGTGTTCAGCATTTTCTTTTCATTGTGTGTGTGCTTACAGTTATATATAGGAAAAATCTTGCAAAGCAATCTTACATTTCATCACTGCATATTTCTCTCTCAACCAATAAAAATTTTGAAGTTTAAAGATGTTAATCCTGTCATTATAGCAGGTTCAAGCATCTTAACAATTTAGATTATGAAAGCTAATGATTACCTTAGGTTGCTGGAAACTGCCATATACACCCCATAGGCCACACTGGTTGACAATATAGGCACATCCTCTGCTTCTACGGCAAATGATTTATCAAAAGCCTTTCGCGCATTAATCAACGCATTTGTTATACCTACACCAACCTGAAAAGGCTGCTATCAGTTTGAGGACTCCAAAACAAACAAATTGACACCATCAATAAGATATACAAACCACAAACAAATCCACTGAAACTTATTGAAAAAAATTTATCAGCCAAAATAATTCGTAAAAACTGATTTTGAATATTCTTTAGTTATCTTTCTGCAAAACTCAACTGAAACAAGCTGAATTAAAATCAAAACAAATATTTACGGAATTTTTTGCATCTAAATCACACCATTAGAATTAATTAATTTCTCAAAAATCATAATGCAGCTCAGTTGTTGACAATTCAGAAAATGGAGATCCTGGAAAAAGAACACACTTGCAAAAACTTATATTCAGATAAAAACTATGAAGAGAAGTAAATATATGGGATCTTCACAAAAAAAAAAAAAAAATAGAAGAAAGAAACAGAAGGAGATTCCCATACTACACAGTATTACAGTAAGATCTTCTTTCAGAAGAACAGAGCAGGTGTGTTTTCCTCACGCAGATATAAGTAAAATTGTCAACTAAATCTACTACCTGCAAGGAACCCTTATTCCTGAGCTAGCAGTGTCATCACTCATACGTCAACTCATACATGTATATATATACAGTTAGAAGTTTAACCCACTTATTGCCAAGAAAATCTTAACGAGTTTTTACTGTTTGACGGCGATTCAATCCTGCATATTGATAAGAACTTCACTAGCAAAGTTTTGTACATTCAAAAAATGTGGCATGCAGCACACACCCTAGTAATGATATTCTTTGCTTAAATTGTTCAAGTTTTAATTGAATGAGCTGATCCCTTGAATGATGATTGCAGCTCAAGATGCATTTATAGATATATTTGCTCATAGACCTATCAAGCACTACAATGATGTCAGGAAATACCAACACTAGTTCTATCACTAACTAGATTAATAATTAAAAAAAAAAAACCTAGAGGAATTGCAAGAATTAACCCAATGAACTTGAATGTATCTAATTGAATTTGAAACTATTTGTAGGGACAAGCATCTCAAAGTTCATTATGATGTTCCAGTTTCAAACTTCGAACATTTTGCCTTTTTAATTTTGAATTCGAATGACTAATGATGCAGGCACTGCAGAATCTCTTCACTCTTCAGTACTCAAACAAGCAAACTATAAACATATAAAATGGGAAATTGAGACATGGCACAGACAGATCGTTAGCTGACACGTATAAAAAATGATCATGTAAAAATAGCAGGGAACATAACAGAAATTTTGCAGAAAGATAGCTTGACAAATAAAGGAAGATTCCTTCCTGACAGGAGATAAGACACGCTACTGTCTAGTAGCATTAGAACAACGTTCGAATTTTAATTTATAAAGTACAAAGTAGGAACCGAGTCATATTCTAATCATATAAGGTGTTAACTTACCAGAGATGCACCAGTACCAACTGCAAATAGCTTGGCTCCATTACGCTGCAAAACAAATTAACATGATAGAAGTTTTGAAATTTCAATAAAAAGACTTGGTTTGTTTAGATGTTCTGGCACATACCATTACAGCACCTATTCTCTGTAAAAGTGAATAAGATGTTCCAGCCAAAGCCACCTGTACAGGATTTTGGAAGTCCACAATTGGTGAACAAGCTTTAAATATATTGACAAGAGACAATAAGTACTTGCAGACCAAACTAATCATTAACCTGAAAAGCATTATCAGGACAGCTGTAGAAGAACTTAGCAACTGGACCGGCACTGATTGCAAGAGGTGGTCGAAGAAAAACGGTAGGAGCAGGGAGCCATACGAGCATAAAATCTGCGATTATGGCCATTACCTAAAATAGAAGCTATATTACGATAAACAAAACAAATTGTAACGTAAAAAAAGAAAGAAAGAAAGAATAGATCATGCATGGCTACACAATTTTTGTTGCCTTGCCTTTTTCCAATACAAAAACATAGCATTGTCTTGTTCAGTTATGGAATAAAGCCTATCTGAGCATGGCTGGTGCTAGCTACATGTACAAAGGCAGAGCCCAGGCTAAAGGATTTGGGCTATCATCAGCTCAATCTGGACATAACATAAAATATGTTTGCTAAGCACTCAATATTGAGAAGACCAAAAATTTAAGTTGTTTGAAAGCATTTCAACAGTATTAGGATCACTGGCTCCTCTTTTCTTATGAGAACCTGATATTTAAAACTTTTGGACTCTTTTTGATTTTTTAGATGGGATTGTGTTAGTCTCTCACAAGTACAAAAGCAAATGTGTAGCAATCACTGATTGAATTAAACTTCCACTGATAAGAGATGTAAGATGAGACACATGAAAATAACATAAGCTGCTGACAGCCATACCACATCGGCTAAAACAAAATCCAGCTCCTTGGTAAAGTTTTCTCTGCGCCTTTCCAGCTCTGCAGCAGTCTGAATAGGAAGCAAAATTGAGAAAGATTATCCATGAGCAACAAATAGAGCTTCAATGTCAATTTGGAATATGAACAGCCTTAGTTATAATTTTAAAAATATATATCGAGTTCACAACAGCTAAAAACATGAAATTATTAAGCAAAAGAGGGAAAAGTGTCATAAAATTCATTTCAATATTGAGATCGGTCCCATATATCAGTGAAGCTAAAATATTAGCCTTGAAATTGCAATAAAGGATTAAGTTTGCATTACATTTTCAGCACAAAATGACGATTCGTCTAGATAAATAATCTGCTTTCTGAATATATATTCGTTGCATGCAAACTCAAGCCATCATATTAGCTCTAACTTCAGAAATTCAATCACATCAGAGCATACCAAGTTGATCCAAAACGCTGGCAGGAAGAAGATTTATACAAGACTGGTACCAATCACTTACTATCTCCTCATCAGATTCCCAAAAAAAAAAAAAAAAAAAAACCCACAAATCCAGCATACATAATACATAGGTTCGCATAATTGTGAGATAATATAATATCTTGTTGAACGAAGGACACAAATAAAATGATCTGAGAATCATGACAAATCATCAGATGATCAGAGATTCTTAAAAAGAAAAAGTCAACCCCATTCAAGTTGACTTGCTAATTACACATGCAACAACCATTATAATTTCTCCAAAAAAAAACCAATATTATTAATCTCGCGAGGCATTCAAATTTCAATCAACCCCTCATGAGCAACTTTCATTCGTTCTTGGCAATTTTACATAATTACAACAAATAACTTACACTTTGAAAGATTTAAGTATACAAACCTTGGTAAAGATCCCAACTCCACACTCGATGGCAACCTTAGTCAAGAACAAATCATCAGCAAGCAACCTTTCTTTAAACCCTCCAAATTGAAGCAACCACCTAAACACCGGTGACTTCTCAAGTTCGAAGTACCTACTAACAATAGAACCTGGCACCCTCCCTGCCTCAATTGCCGCAGCCAAATCCTTTGGCAAGCTCTCCAACGACCTCCCCACCTAATAATGATCACCAACTGCAAACCATCAACTCAAAACACCAAACCAAATCATATCACAAACATATCAATCTTTACATGTGTATTGTGCTGCATGTGTGTACGTACCTCTGCCAATGCAAGAATGGCCTCGTTCCGGTTGCGGAATCCAGCATCACCATCACCATCACCATCATTCCCACCTCCTCCAGTACTCCCTCCACCACCACCTACGCCACCGTCTCCTCCACCAGAGGAGAAAACAATGGTTGTTCGAAATCTTTTAAAACGAGAAGCAGTAGTTGTCCAAGAGAGAGATGGAGTAGAAGAGAGTTTAGAAGTTGGGATGGCAATACAGTGAGTGGTTGTAGCAAAGTTCCTGCCGTGATATTGATGGTGGTAGTTTGGCGACTGAAGAGAGAAGGCGCGTGTGGAGAAGGTGGCAATCGCCATGTCAAGAGAGCTTGTTTTATTTTAGGACAGCCACAGTAGACATAAGAGAGAGATCAGAGAGTGTATGGTTTGGTGGTGGAGAAAGTGTTCAGATACGGTCGGGCGCGATGACTTTATAAATGAAAAGAAAACCATACTCGCACTCTGACTCTTGCGTACGTATACGCTCTCTCAAGTCTCCGCAATTATCATAATTTTTATTTCATAATTCACGCTTCCAATAATAATTATGAGGAGCGACAAAAGTTTTAGTTGTTTTTTTTTTTTCTTTTTTTGACAAAAAAAAGTTTTAGTTGTTAGGTTGTAGGCTGCAGATTTGAATCATTTCATGTTGGAAAGAAACGTTGCTAATATTTCAATGCTTTAGACTTTATCATTATTTTGATTTTTTAAATGATTCAGATTAAATGTAAAAAAAATCAAAATAATAATATTATCATCATTTTTAATATGTACTAAAATTATACTATTAACACGTAACTTTTTTTTTATTTTATTGAATTTTTATGTGATTAACCCAGAATTTTAGTTTAATTAGTCAAATTCTGGATTTATATCAACATATAACTTAATGCATGCAAATTGATTAATTAAAGAAAACAGTGGAAAGTTGTCAATAATTACAACAATACCAATCCTCTAACCTGAGCTTGATATTTATTAAATGAAGCTCAATTTATGGTGACCAAGAAAAATAATCAAATTTCCGGAAAAAAAAAGTCAAAATTATTTGGGGTCACTAATATTTCAAAAAAAAGAAAAAGAAAAGAAAAGAAAAAGAAAAGTTATTTGGAGGTTTGCATTCGATAGAAATGGTCCACTATCCACAAACTCTACAAGACCCTAAAAACCTTTAGTTTTATGGATGGACAGTATATTTAGTAGATAAGCAAACACAGACTCACTCCGGAAGACACATACAGCTTAAACAAAACCAACAATGGCAACAACAACATGTACTTCTACGCCATCATCCCTCATGCTAACATACGCTGCCTCCACAGTACACCCACAAGACCTAACCCCTTCTCTCCTTTCTTTCAAGCCCAAATCTTTTTCTCTCTGCCCATTGGTTTCGGACAGAAAATTAAGCAATCGGTTCGATTTTAATACCCAAACAGAGGCAAAGTCTAGACCTTGCAGAGTGGTTGCGGCTGCTGCTTTGGCTGCAGAGGCAGAAGTGGGTGAGGAGGTGGAAGAGACGGAGGGCGAAGGAGGTGGTGTGGCAACTGCTACAGTTACTCCTAGTAAGCCCAAGAAAGGGAAGGCTGCATTGCTTCTAAAGAGAGACAGAGTATGTGTTCTTGTTGGCCTCTTTTTGTAGCTATTATTTTTTTAATGAGTTTTGGGTTTTTAGGGTGATTTGATTTGTGAGTTATGATACGATTGAACTTTGGTGTAACAATTGAGGTGGTCATATGCTTAAAGGCTACTGTTTTGGCAGAGCGACGAGAATTTTGATTTTTTATTGATTGATTTGATGAAGTGATGATTTAAGTTACAGTTACTATTTTCAAGAGTTTTTTTTTTTTTTTTTTTTTTTTTTTGAGGAGTAGGATTAATTAACTATGAAAGAAGTGAATGTAGTGGTTTTGTTGGGTTTAGCTTCTACAGAACTTTAGTCTAGCAAATTTTTGAATAGATTATGGAGTAGGGAGAGTCAGAGTCTGACTATCCACTTGGTTCGAGTTTGAATTGCATCTTTTTCCATTTTTCAAGATTATTATACAGTTGCAAATTCAGCTTTCTGTCCTTTTACTGGAAATGCCAGACAAGGTCTAAGAGATTCTTGGAAATTCAAAAATTGAGGGAAACGAAAAAGGAGTATGACCTGGGGACAGCAATATCTTTGTTAAAGCAAGCAGCAAGCACAAAGTTTGTTGAAAGTGTTGAAGCTCATTTTCGTCTTAACATCGATCCCAAATACAATGACCAGCAGCTGAGAGCAACAGTGAGTTGTCACTTTCATGGATTATAAAAAGTTATACTAGTCAACTGTTGCAGCGGCCATCAAAATTTTTCTTTTTCTTTTTTTTCACTTTCTCTCTTTGCATAGGTAAATTTGCCCAAGGGAACAGGAAAACCTGTTAAAGTGGCGGTGCTTACTCAAGGTAATTGCTCTATTCAATTTTCAGACTTGACCAAATATGAATTTGTGGATTTAGAAAGAAACCTGTCATTGTTAATCAGATTCAGTTCTATATCTTTTGATTGGTAGAAAATATGGACCACCAACTAGCAGATGATAGACATAGACATAATGAGGGTCAACCTTGCAAAAATATAGCATCCCATTTGAGTTCATTGTACACTGAAAGTTGCTCCACTAATATATTGGCCATTGGTCGAGAGAGTCATACAGCTTTCATGCTTGACCGGACTAAAGAATCTAGATATGAAGCCTGTGGATTGTGATGAACAACTGGACGGTTGTTATTGGAAAGTTGGTAACTGTAACTATAGGATTCAATAGATGCCAATATCCCAAGAAAATTGCTGTCCTTCAACATGTTTGACCTTTGAGTTATAGTTAATTTCCCACATGCAAACTTGAAGGTAAGCATGGGTGTCAGGTCTGATTGTGAAAATGATTGAATGGTTCTGTTTGGTTCCTGTTCTGTTTTCTTTCTTTCTGTTGAGGTAATTTGGTGATGGAGGTGGTGGAATTGCAGCAAGTGCCATTTTATGTGAAATATTGGTGTCAAGCATCTTTTGGGAAATTTTTTGTTTTGTACTCTCTCAAATAAAAAGTTGGGAAACTTTGGGTTTAGGTGTTTATTGACATAAGCATATAGATGTTGGAAAAAGGTGGTTTCAGGAGGTTCTAGTGTAGTTTTTGCTTCAGTGGGAATTGTGTTGGATGGTAATTGGTATTTGGAGAGGTTGTTCCCTGGCCATTATGATCTCTTGCCTGGGCTCTCAAAACGTATAGTGCATTGGAGTTGGTTTGCTTTTATATAATTTTTTTATTTTTTAAAAAAACTTAATGGTTTGATATTTTCATTATCTTGAAAAAAGAGGAAATGTTGCAAAATTCATATGGAAAGAAGTCTTCCCTAGGGATGCTGTCTGGATTGTAAATGTTTCTTTGCTTATTCGGGGGTTTTTTTTGGTATTGGTTGTATACTTTCTTGCTCTAATATGCAGTGGTTCTTAGCTAGTAAACGTGTCGCATTCTATTTAAAACTTGAACCCTCCTTAATTATTCAATAGATTTCCGAAGCATTCAGATTGTTTTTCTCAGGTTTTTTTTTAACTTAGATTCATCAAACTTCTATTTAAGAGGACATCCTTACTTTTGTTATTTAAGTCCATGGAAGAAAGAGATTTTCAGTGGTGATTGCTGGGGCTTGTAGTCTTTGGAGAGAGGAGAGAAAGTTCAGAATCTACAATATCTTCTATGCAGTGAACCATGAGCATCCTGAATTTATGGAATTTGCAATATGGAGTTCAGATGTTTCAACTGTTGTGTTGACTTCTAATTATCTCAGGGTTATGCTTTTTGTGGATTCTTATACTATCTGTCGCTTAACATGCCATCTCTCTCTCTTTTTTTTTCCCTGGAAAACAAGAGATAATGTTTCTCGCATCACAACAAAAACTAGCATGATTTTCATTGTCTTGTATGTTCATCCATAGTAAGTCCAGATGATTATCAATTTTGTATTGGTATTTACTGTGAAATTAGTATTGTTAGATCTGTTGTCATGGTCATAACCACACACTCCCCACCCCCACCTTCGAATTGATCATAATGTGAGGCAGAGATTTGCAGGTGAAAAGTTCGATGAAGCAAAAAATGCAGGAGCAGATTTGGTTGGTGGTGAGGACCTGATACAACAAATAAAAGGAGGATTTATGGATTTCGATAAATTAATTGCATCTCCGGATATGATGCCCAAGGTGTTGCTCTGCTACCTTTTAATTGTTTAATATTTTAATGCCATCCATGCATGTGCACTAAATTCCTGGTATTATGCAATTGCCCAATCCTGTTTAAATATGTCTGAGGGAATAGCAAATTTGAAACTTATTATATGTCCTTCCTATACTCAAATCTTTTTCTTGAGATGCTTTCCTATCAATAGTACTTTAAAAATTACTATTTGACGTACAATCCAAAACATGCAAAGTGTTTTCCCCGGCACCCCCAATGGCAGAAAAGAAAAGGGAAGGAAGTATTATTTGTCACTTGGGTCGTCAAATGATATTATCATATGCAACCTTTTAATGTATGGTTTTGGAGTGCAATGTGTAGTCTAATGTGGAATGCAACATTTTTCTCTCTTATCAAAATTTTTCGATGCACCTAAAGCATCACTAATGACCTGCTAGTAAGTGTAAGTCACGTCAGTCAGTTGTCATTGGCAGCTTTGAATTTATAGTTAGATCTGGTTTTATTATTATACCTCTTTACCAACAATTGATTCTGCTATATTCGAGAAACACGCTCAGGATTTAAGCTTAGGAAATGCTTGCCATATGGTTCTTGTGCCTAAGTTCTGAAAAAGGACACTCCCACTAGGAACATTTTCAGTTTATGATGTGATTATGTATTGTCCTATACATCTGTTTTAAGTATTTGAATGAGAATTTTTATTTTGGAGAGTTTGTTTCTTTCACTGAGCTTACTTTTATCTCTTTGTTCCTTGCATCAGGTTGCCAGCTTAGGTAAGATTCTAGGACCACGAGGACTCATGCCAAATCCAAAAGCTGGCACGGTTACAACCGACATACCTCAGGTAATGGCCTCGTCCCCAAACCCCACCCATCCCTCTTAATTGGATTATCATTTTCTCCACCTTCAAATGGCTTTTCGTAACATCCCCCTAGACCTTCCACTGCATACAAGCTCATTTGTTTGCTTGCATGTATCACATAACATGCAGAAGGAAAAATGGAAATAAAGGTGAAAGGATATTATGGAATCCACTCTTATCATTCTACATTTAGCTTGCAAGTGGACATAGTCAGCTTACCAAATACTGCAAAAATATAAAAAATAGTTGCACTCTTGCATCATTGCTTGTGTTAAGCATGCACCAACAGACAAGAGGAGAATTGAATGTTTTGAATGAATCTATTTCAGTACACAGATTTTTAGTAACACTCAGGATGTGGCTGCCACCATTTATTATCTTGCTTAATGAAATGGACGGATCAAATGCATTTCAGGCAATAGCCGAATTCAAAAAGGGGAAAGTTGAGTACAGAGCAGATAAAACGGGGATTGTTCACATACCTTTCGGAAAAGCTGACTTCTCAGAAGAAGACCTCCTTGTAAACTTGCTAGCTGCAGTTGTATGTTCCAAAATTGACCCTTCTTTCACCTTGTCATATTTCATTTTCTTCTTTTTCTGGCTTGTGGATGCCAAAATGGTTTGCATTCCAATAACTTGTTTATTATATTATGCTGTCTTAACGTGCAGAAATCAGTAGAAGCAAACAAGCCATCAGGTGCAAAGGGAGTGTACTGGAAAAGCGCACATATATGCTCATCAATGGGGCCTTCCATTCGGTTAAATACAAGGGAGATGCTCGATTACAAGCTTCCATCAAATGTTTGAATGTAACTAACACCTGTAAATGATGTCAGTTATCTCTTTCCGAGCTTGCCCATGCTCATTAAAAATGGTAGGTAACGTAGAATGAAGAGAGGTGACCCTGATTTGTTGCTTTTGGATGAAATTGACTTACATATTGCATGGTCTTCCTCTGCAGACTCGGAAAATCTTGTATGACAATGATAATCAAATATCATTACATCAATTATCATATGCTTCGACCCTCAGTAGGCATTTCAATTTACAAATTCTTGTTGAGGCACAACGGCTAAGCATTTAAACCACTGTTTTTTGTTTGTTGTGGCTGGATATCTTGAATTTTGTAGCTGTACTGGGGAGAATGCTAATTGATCGTCTCTTTTGTTTTCTATCTCAAACATGCATTTTTGTCTCCTTCCATGTTTGATTAGCAACAGAATATAGGCTATTGAAGGGAAGGTCAGTAAATAAATTCGTTTCATTCAACTTTAAAGAATGATCTTGAATACAAAATATATATCAACAGTGATATTTTGATGTGTTTTGTCAGAAAAAGGAAAAGAAAAGCAAAAGAAAGTTGCCTTCGAACATTGATTTCATCAACACAGAATGCAAGGATATTAAACAATGACTGATTTTGCTTATTTAATATATTAACAATATTTGGGGAAGAAGCGTCTGATCACTATAATTACAAGAGAAGCGTCCATGAAATTCACAAGGCCACCGAGTGAGCTCTCAGCGCACCAGCAGGCTATTAATCAAGTATTGACACCACCTAAGAAAATCTTCGAGACAACCAGCTATTCATACCTGCTTCGGAATATGAATGCTGCCGCAAAACAAAAATAAAACATTTTACTGCGCAGGACAAGAGGGGATAGATTAAAGCTAAATTCAAGGAAGTTTTCAAGCTTTCTACAAAACCAGCTGATGTGGGATAAACTTGCATTTATCTGACGATGGAGTCTCTCTACTGGATGTTAGTAATCAAGGATTCCATGGAGGGATCTTTGTTAGAATTGGCATTTCAGCATTGACTTTCTCCCAATAGCCCCGTGACAGCTCCCCAACAGTCTCCACTGCTCCATGCTGAATTAGCAAAAACATGACCTCCCACTTAGATAAGTTCATAGACAAGATATATAACTACCAATAGCCTAAATCATAATAATATATAATAATTAAACTATGAAAAACTTGATTAACACTAACCTTTGGAGGGCTGCTCAATCCAAGGCCCATTCATTATATTAAGAATGCTGCATGCCTCGCTGTATTCCAGATTCGGTAGTAGCTTTGGGGTGAGTAAGAAACACCTATAGAAGATCAATACAAAATGTATGATTGCAGTTAATGTTTTGTTTTTTTCAGCATGTGGATGAGAAGCTAAACAGAACCGCAAAAAAATTGGATAAATATACATGCAGGGACATCACAATGTGAATCACCCCACTTCCATAAGAAACAGCCTCACGGCCTCATTTTGTTCTACTGACAAGGGGTAACACTGATACTATTACAAATAACAATTAGTTTAAATATTTACTATTTGGCTATAAAAAAAGGTGTACTATGATCCAGAATAGCAGCTACAGCAGATGGCATACCCAATCAAGTGTAAAGCCTACAAAAACACACGCACTAGTATGTATCTATTGCTGTCTAAGAACCATATCTGCATGTAATATGCATCCGAGCACACACCTGGCACATGACTAACAAAGCAATAAACAGAACAGTCAAAACTGATAAGTGCCTGCACATTGTAGTGTAAAAACTGTAACTACTACACTGCCAGATGTTTCACTAAAACCCTTTTCATTGAGCTTGCCAACAATCCTACAACCTAAATACAAACAAATATTAAATTATTGTCATGGAAAATGCACCAAATGATAGTGATACTAAGTAAAGATTTAATTGTTCCATAAAATTGATATTTATTCTTACTGTGGTGTGTTTGGTTGGCTTGCAGCTCTCACTAATTGCTGAAACATCTTTCTTTCATTTGTGGGGTCCATTCCTGGAAAAGAAAAATCAAAATCAAAATGCGCTGTCTATAACCAGTTCAATCATTAAGTAATAAAGCTTCAAGTGGCATCTAACCTTGATTTATCTCATCAACTACCCTAAACGGGCAGTTCGTGAGGTCTTGAAGAGAAACAAGGTACAGAATGGTTGAAACAGAACGCTCCTATAAAAGGAAATTTCAAGACATAGTAAAAGAAAATGCTAATTGCAACACTGAATAAAAAATTTAATGTCAGGACAAATACCCCTCCAGATTGATGGTGAGCACTGAGAACTTTAAGTTGTCCGGCTTCTCTGAGGACCATAACAAGAAACCAAATGAGAAGTGAACCAATGTAGTCCAACGCAAAAGCAGACTTAAATATTCAAGTCAAAAAATAAAATATCATGGAACTTCATTTACAATTACTCATAAAACACAGCCTCCTCATCTGGGTCTCATAAAAAAAGAGCAGAAAAAGACTGTCTCCCAAGGAGCACAGCATAAAAGTGGATGTAGAGAGATTGTGTTGGCTCCCAGCATCCGGTCCAATGGTTGTTGCATAACCGTTATTCACAAGAAGAATCTCAAATCAAAATTGCTTTTGCGGCTTAAGTTCCAATCAAAAATTGGTAAAAGAGGACTAGCAATACTCAACAAGCAAAAACTTATGCTTCACCAATTTAAATACCTCTTAGCCACACCAAACTGGATTTGCTAAAACAAATAGTAGAAGGTTAAAACTGCAGTCACCTGAACTTCACTTTTATCAGTATTCCAAATTGATCGAAGTCATTGTCATGCTCATCTACAAAGAACAAAAATCAAATGAACAAGTGATATTTGATAATACATCATGTAGTCAATTGTAACTAGAAGATCCAGATAATTACCCAATGAAACTTCTCCTGCAACAGCCATCTCCTGGAAGTTACGGCTGAAAGTTTCATTAATCTGAGTAACGAGGCTTCTCAATGTTGGAAGCCAACTCTTCTGCATGTTATCCAAGGGAGAATTTTAAAGGAGAAACAAGATAACACAATTCTACAAATTAATCTAAATAAAAGAATCAGCAACGGAAAGAAATCCTAAAAAGAAGTGTGTTGAATTAATTGAGACATTAGAATGAATTATGTTAAACTTAAATACAGTTTACCTGCTTTGTTTATTCTATTGCTAGACTGAAATCAATACATAAGGAGTTGAAAGAAATATTTGGCTCAAGTTCCTCAAAATGTATTGTTTTTACCAACCTATATGCATTGCAGCCACTCGTGCATCCCCACAACTTTTTGTTACTTTTGATCTTGTTGCTATTTCAATTTCATACAGCCTACGTGGTCCTCAATTATACTTGTTACAATTTTTGCTAATTGCAAGCATAGTAGTTGGATATACAGCAAGATGCCAAAGTTATATCAAGTTTCAGTGAAAAAAATTACAAAGGAATGCTTCATAAAACAATAAAATAAGAGGGAAGGGGGATCCCCAAAATAATCTCCATCCAGTATCCTGATTTAGTAACTTTCTCAAATTAGAATACATAGATGCAAACTAAATAAAAATACTTTCGAGAATTATAAAACCAAATCGAATCAAATTCTGATAAGTAACGGATCTGAATTCTGCAATTTCCAGTAAAAGAAAAGGTTATTTCCAGCCAAAGAAAAGGCTTGCAACAACAGGCCACGGATTTAATTTAAAACCTAACAAGAAGCAACAAAAGAACCAGAAAATACCAAATCTGAGCTTTCTTTTGTCCAGCATAATCTAGTAATACTACTCAAGTACAGCTGTATATAGATTTCTATTAAAGTTAGTTTCTGAAATGCTCTTGGTTTCCAAGTTTATTTCTATTAAAGTTAGTTTCAGAAATACTCTTGGTTTCCAAGTTTTCCCAGTGCTACATGAACCTCAACTAGAATATTTGTAATCCAAATTAACCTGTAGATACTGACAACTTAATTCAAAAAACAAGAAAACCCTAGAACAAAATTGTGAAACTCCAACTTTACACTAAAATCAATTAAACCATCCCCAAAAAAGGTCGCTTTTGAAGCTTCATTACTCAACTGATCATTCACATTCCACTATTCTTATTAAATCTCAATCACATCCTACATACATGATTTATAAAGAATTTCTGAAAAGCAATCCAGCAAAATGACAGTAACTATATACAAAAACCAGTTGTGTTGTGAAGCAACACAACTTCTCTTACCCTTAAGGCATCTATTTCAGCTAAACAATTCTTCAGCTCTTCCTTATCTGCTTCCAGTTTTTTGGTAATTGCCTCTATCTGCAGTGCTTGTAATGGTAAATGAAGTTTCAAAGTGAGAACAATAACTGAAATAAAAAGCAAATAGTCTCCATCGTTACCTTTTCCTGACGGTGTTCATACTCTTCGACCACATTCTGGTTCAGGGAAAGAGTGGAATTGGCTTGAGACAAAGTATCATGAATAGCGACCTCTAATTCCTCAATGGTCGTTGGCATCTGCATGCGAGCATGTAAGATGGATCACCATATAGGCAAGACAAAAGAGCCAAGAGTTTAAAGCAGAGAATGAGAATATTCATGAGAAAGCCTAAGAGTATAAACATCAAATAAGCATATATCCACATGACAAATAAGAGTATAAATCACCAAATACGGATGATTCTAATTCATGCTCCGAGTCAAACAAATCAGACAAGAATACAAAAATGTTATGATGGAAAATCTCCTATGTACACGTAGATTTGTGCTTCAACATACTACTCCAATTGCAGAAACAAAGCATCTTAAGTCAAAGGATTAGGGTGGCACAAAAGTCATGGAGACTCAACAGTCTTGAAAATGAGAAGACAGATCTCACTTGCAAATGCATCAGAGCATGATCAAGTACATAATTTAGAAAAGTAGAAGGCATGATCTTAATAGTGGCTTAAGAAGAAACTCATTCTACAAAAGGAAGTACCCTTTGTTTTTTCATGGTCAATTCTTAAAAAATACCAAGATGTTAATGTTTCAAATGCAGCCCAGTGTTGTGTACTTCAACAACAGCATTTTAAGGAGGCAGGCCACTCATGCTGCCAATAGAATTAAACAAGTAGAAGAAAGTTCAATATAAACCATAGAAGTTCGATATGGTATTCTTACTAAATTAATAGAATAGGCCTGAGGCCACTTAAGGTTCAATTGGGAGAATTCAATCACTTTATTGTGAAATACTTATTCCAAGATGAAGCCCATGCTACAACATCTTACCCGCCTTAGATCAAGTAGTCTTTGATCAACCTAGTTGCTGAATTTCCGCCACACAAGGCTTGCAAAGGCTATTTTGGCCACACCAATCATGTAAAGGGGTCTTTTTAAAGGCAAAGGCTCCTGGGAGCACTTGAATCCAAACCTCCATTAAATCAAAGAGAGGCACTACCACTCAAGCTGAACGCTAAATTTCACTTCTGGTTCTGGATCAAGAACCACATTCATGTTATTGCAAAAGCCATGTTTAACGATGTTGGTTCAACCAGATTCAATTTCCCAAGAAATGATCATGTAGGCCAAAGAAAGGTTTATATACACCTAGCATTAGCATACTAACCAATTTCATTACCATGTTTCTGACTTAAATAAGGTAGAGCCGGGCAATCATCAAACATAAGGCTAAAGCCGTTTAGAGAAAACTCTTCTTTAACAGTTCCTCTAATCAAATTGGACTTTGCCAATTCTAGAACCTAGATCATTATTTGACAAAATGTTGCAGGCAGAGTTAAGAGGGGGGCACTGATTGACTTTATAAAATGTCATGGAGCAACTCTTTTATACCCCTCTGAGCAACTTATGGAACCCAAGAGTTGGATTTAGTATGCATTAAACACTCTCTTTAACACTGTAGATCATGTTATATTAACAATCCTCATATTTGAAGATCTAACTTCCAGTCATAATACTAACAAACCTCAAGAAACGCCTTTTCAAGTTCTGGAGTGATGACAGCAATTGATTCTGCATGTCTTTTAGCAGCCAAGAGTTGCTGTCGACGATCCTCTGTTTCCTTCTTGCCTTATCACAAACAACATGAAAGTAAGAAATATCGCAATTAATGCCTTAAACCCATACCCAGATATTCCTAGAAAATTTCCAAGTATCATCATATGATACACGAAATTTTAGCTGAACCACTGTTACATTCAATATGCATCTGTTAACCTTGCCTTATCTTTATCTATGATTGTTGAGATATATCAAACATATTAAGAATCCACAGCAATAAGCACCAATTTCCTCACTGCTAGAAAATAAAGAGTGAAATCATTATTTAACAATATGTTCATACATGATACTAAAAGAGTGTGTGGTGAATCGAAGAAGGGATGCCTGGAAAGAGTGTGGATAAGCAATTGCTATAATCATGTGGGAAAATATCCGATATGTTATCCCATTTTGAAATGCATGGAATATATACACACATATATAATGTTAAATTGTTATTTCTGCAAGAAATAAAAGGTGGAAATTTCAAGCAACAATACAAATCAGAACCATGCCCAGAAAACCATTAACTCACAATACTCCAAGTGACATGCTGCTTGTTGAGCAAACTTTTGAGGCTGCTTCAGACCATGTTCCAATTCTCTAATCTATGACATTATGCAACACGAAAAACATTAAAAAATGAAGAAAAAATGGCAGTATATTATGTCTACTCGAATGAGCAATATTTTATAAAACTAACAGAAAAGGTGAAACATGACAATTAAATGGACAGATATCCTGTCTATGAATGCCTTTCTGGATGCATAAGACAATTAGCATCTTAATTGCCTAACTAGTTGAAAATCCAAACAAAAAAAATAATAATAATAAATAAATAAATAAAATCACATGCAAGTATCAAAATGGTTTGGAATCAAAAACCCATCTAATAGACAACATAATCCAATCGCTCTGTGAGAATTTACGGCGCAAACGATCAGAAATAACTTTTTAGAGAAGCTAATTAGTCCAGTAAAAACTTCACCAATGGAAATACCTTTGCATCAAACTCGATGGAGGCCATGTGTTTTTCAGCAAAATTCCATTTGTAAGCAACAGCATCAAGAAGCAAATTCTGTCAAATGTTATAAAATATATTTTATCAAAGTAAGGAAAAGGCTGGAAGGAATCAACCCTTCACATGGATATCTGCTTGATTCAAAAGCAATTTCACCTTAATATCAATTGCACATTGCAACCGCCGTGTGTTAATGTTTGCAGCCTCATCAATCAGTTTTGCCATAACAGCATCCAGGTCATCTTCCTTCAGCAATGACTCTAATTTCCTTTTCCTTTGATCTAAACCACAGAAATATTTCATTTACTTTAACTGCAGACAGAAAAGGTACTATTGGATGCAATAAGTAAATCTGTTGTACTTACCAACACGGTTCTCCATTTCACGCCGTTTACGCTTCTCAAATGTCACAATGCTTACAATCTCCTCCTACAGATTACATTGTGAACGAATATTTCACAGACTGGAAAAGACTATAATTGTCTGCTAGACAACAAATGGTTACTTATCCGGTATATCAGGTTCAATAGTATGCACGAGCATACAATACAAGCAAAGCTCAAATGGTATCTAGGGTTTGTCATAGAGCATAAGAACAAGTTCTTGTAATCTTTTCAGCATACCCGCTGTTTATGAAGTTTAGCTTCTTCTTCTTCTAAGGATCTTTGCTCAGTCATGAGCAATTTTAAATCTTCCTCTAAAGCACTAACAGATTCTTCCAGCTCCACTTTCCTGCACCTCAGCCTTTCAATTTCCCCAATATCTGAACCTATAAATTCAAAACCAAAAGTGGCAGTTTAGAATATTGAAATAAGTGTATAAAAAAATAATAAAAACAAAATAAGTCTGAGAGAAATATGTTGATTCAGAAAGTCATTTGTAAGAACCATACTACAGAGAAGAAGACGTGAGCGATCAACTGGATCAACACTTCCTGATACATGACCACCATATCTAGAGACAGACCACCGATAGTGATTTTCAGGAGTCCAAAAATCCAAAATTCGCAACTTTGCAACCTCAGAAGCCTTCTGATCAGTTTCCTTTGACCCAATATACTGACAGAAACAGACGCGTGTACAAAATATGCATAAATATTACACAAACATACAGTGTATTTAAGCTTTACGACAAAAAGAATATCTGCTAATTTTCCAATAACACACGGCTAAATCTTCTCACAGACCAACTATGAAAAAACTGCTAAAAAATGAAGTTAGAAAGCATACAGAGTTTTCCAGCCCAAACTGGCTGATCAAAACCTCCTTGACAGCATCAGGAGCTTCAAAAATTTGATCGAGACGTGAATAGATTCCAAGCCCACGCATCTGTCCAATACAGAGACAAAAACCAAAATAAGCTAAACTACTTGAAATGAATATGTACTTCAGGAAAAGATGACAGATACCTCATCGGAAATGCAACACGGCTCCTTATGACGACATTCATCCCTCACATAGTTTAAAATTGGCACATCAAATGACTTTAGGTTTTTTACCAAAAAGTCCCGATCACAAGGATCCTGGGTTATAAAAGACTGCAAAACAAGCAAAAATTTGACCACCAATATGATAAGTAGAATTCTACTGTTTCTGCAAACAACCAAAAGATTCATGCTGGAAATATGTTGAGAAAGCATTCTTCTAGATAAAAGCCGAAAATTAGGTTCCAGATAAGTGCACCATATACATCAAAGATAGCCCACAAAACAGAAGTACAACTAAAACCCTCAATAAAATTCAACATATGAAATGCTGAAGCCAAAATAAAGAAACATGAAAAAAAAATTGAGACTAGAATAAAATTAGAGCTCATGCAGATAGATAGATAGATATAGATTGCCACTTCTACAACTTTCTGTGATTCTCCCAAGCATGATTATAACAAAAAAGAGATGCAGACCTGAATAACTTCCATCAGAAGTCACATTTACATTTAACTCTCTTGCATGAGTTTCGTCTTGGATCAACTCAATCGTGAACTTCAGAATGATAGAATAAATAATTTCTTCCTTCGGAAAAACCTTTAGCAATTTGCCTCTAGGTCAAATTTAGATAAACAGACATCACATATTCAAGTCCCCTCACCAAAATCTTCATCTCTCATTTATAAACTCATTTCGCTGCATCCCGATTTCCCCTTTAGTTAGCAAGAAATTATTCAGGAAACAACTTCATATCTCTAAGCAACATACACTTCAAATCTGTTATATCCTATTACGTATCACAGAATTGTTCCTGCCAAGTTATTTGCCCTATACATGTAATTCACGTAAGGGAAATGCTTGATAACTCCCTCATTAATGAATTGGTTCAAGATTAAATTTTTAATTCATTCACTTGTTCCTGCCAAGTTATTTGCCCTATACATGTAATTCACGTAAGGGAAATGCTTGATAACTCCATCATTAATGAATTGGTTCAAGATTAAATTTTTAATTCATTCACCTCTGATTTTGTTCCTCCCTTATTACATAATCTTATTCAATTTTGTAAAATCGGTCTAAGTCACCATCCCCTTTCCCAACGTACTTGCACCAAAACATTTTGCTTTTCCATCTGCATTCATCTTATGCAACCAGGCTCTTAAACGAGAAACAATAGATAATCCAGGTACAGGCATGGGTGTGGGTTACAAGACAAAAGTTAGCATATTGCACTATGGTAAGATGCAAAATAACTTCCGAACACAGATTTTTTAATTTTCTTTTCATTTTTTTATGTTAAGATCAGCAAAATTTTGAAAGAAAAAACCATGGAAAAGCTATTACTTGAAAATACCTTCCAGATATAATATGGCACATGACCTTCCAAGTAGTCAGCATGATCTCGTTTAGAGACATTAACCTGGGTGTTTGCAATCCCAATGAAATTGTAGAACTGTAAGCAGGAACATTTACCGTTATAAGCAGAACAGCCGAAATTCAGAATGTACCTCAAGCAAAACAGGCCCATAGACCTCCTTATTCAACTCTTGACGATGTTCTCGAAGCCAATAATAAGCCTCAAATATCTTTTCAGCTCCAGAATTTCTTAACGCTTGTAAGAGCTTGTTGTTTTTATTTTCCATATCCTTCAACCTGCAAAAGGGTACTCAAATCTATTAAATGAATGTCATTTAATTATAATATAGGCTCAAGAAAAAAGATCATCATTCTTGATTTGAATGCCACCTGTCAACACACTGCCTCAGTGCTACTTTCTTTTGACTTAAAACCTTCTCCTTGTCCTGCTTCTGAATTCTTTTTTGATTTGCAGAGACCTCAAGATCCGAAATCTGAGAACGTAATTTATCCTGGCAAATAGGGGAAAAAATCAAATCGAAAAAGATGTAGCATGTTTGCTCATATATTACTATATAAGCAGATTCGTAACCTCTACAGAGCAGTTCATGATGATAATTTAAGCTTCCAAATCTTTGAGTGAAAAATGTCACTTCTAAATTGTTCTTTCCCAGTATCAAGTTACTGTATTGACCTGGGTGCACTGAATACGACCAGAAGAAAATGCCAGTTCCAGCCAGAAAGTATAACTTACAAGCACATCTTTCGGAGGTTCATAAACAGGCAAGTTTTGAAGGTCTGTTTCAGCAGTCACAAGATCCTCTTTAGTTTTTATGATTCTTTGTTGGCGTGATTCTTCTTGCTTCTTCAAGTCTTCCATTTCCTTGTATTTTCCACGAATTTGTACCCCCTATAAGTATGTAAATTGACATTAAAAGCAATGAGAAGTGCAGCTATTTGTGCAAACAGAAACTAGTACTACTGCAAAGCACAAAGGCACAACAAGAAGTTTATCGTACCAAACTGCTTTCCTTCTCCAGAAAGTCCATACGTCGCTTAGTATTTTCCTTTATGAGATTGCTTACCCTTTTACATTTCGCATCCATTTGGGCTTTTTCAAGCTTTTGTTTTCTGCAACAAATTTGTGTTACTAAAGGTAAATTTAAAAAAATAATACGATTATGTTGTCCCAGGTAGCATACAGAAAAAAAGCAAATGAGAGAAGATGCCTTGCAACCATTGTCAGATATGAATATTATAATAACAAGAAGATGTAAAAAGAAATATAAAAAAATACATCACAGCAGCGCTCCGATTGTCCTGTCTATTGAAAACAAAATCACCAAGAGAGACGCTTCCTTTGAAAAATCAAATAATCTATGCATGCTCATAAATAATCAGTTTTAGATAATTAGACAAAACAGATATAGACATGAAGTCAATCAATGTATGCTTTTACAAAATGGAGTATGGATGCTTTTACTACAACCTCCGACAATTTCTTGCAACATCTAACAAAATATCAAAACAGTGATAATAGCACTGCCATCCAAGTTGAATTGTATTTAATATATGCTTTCACAAACTGGCCAGCAGATTCTTTTACTATGAAGTCAAATCCTGCTGGAGCTGTATTTGCCGATCCCAGTGATGGGTTACAATTTCTACCCATGCTTCTTGCATACGTCAGAAATATATCGTGTGACCACATCACCAATCAAGGTAATGATTGCCACTACAACATGAGGATGGTGCAACCAACAAAAAGGTCGACTTTTATGTGCTTTTATTTAATTTTACAAGTCAGGGTCAGGTCTTTAACTTTGAAACCTTGAAGTGTATTTCAATATTTAAAATTTGCTACAAATTTTATCGGTTTAGGTTTTATGTTAGTGGGAATTAAATATTAATCTTTTTGTTTAGGACCCCTTCATTTTCTAAATACATACAACAGCGTTGTACTACAACCTCCAACAATTTCTTGCAACATCTAACAAAATATGAAAATAGTAATAATAGCATTGCCATCCAAGTTGAATAGTACTTAATATATGTTTTCACAAATCGGAGAGCAGATTTTTTTACTATGACCTCAAATTCTGCTGGAGCTGTATTTGCCAATCCCAGTGATGGGTTACAATTTCTACCAAAGCTTCTTGCATACGTTCAGAAATATATCGTGTGACCAAATCATCAATCAAGGTAATGATTGCCACTACAACATGAGGATGGTGCAACCAACAAAAAGGTCGACTTTTATGTGCTTTTATTTAATTTTACAAGTCAGGGTCAGGTCTTTAACTTTGAAACCTTGAGGTGTATTTCAATATTTAAAATTTGCTTTTATTTAATTTTACAAGTCAGGGTCAGGTCTTTAACTTTGAAACCTTGAGGTGTATTTCAATATTTAAAATTTGCTGCAAATTTTATAGGTTTAGGTTTAATGTTAGTAGGAATTAAATATTAATCTTTTTTTGTTTATGACCCCTTTCTATTATAAATACGTACAGCAGCATTTTCTTATTCCGGAATCTGTTAAGTCCTTAATGGACTACGAGTAGTGAAACTCTGTATATAGCTATATAATCTTTCAATAAGAGAATGCAATATTTTGAGACACATTGCAAACATTATGCTCTGTAGTTGTTTGGTGCAGTAAATTCTAGGTATGACTCCTAAGAAGGTGTGATTCTCAGATATTCTTTAGTCTGGATACGGTTCCTAGAAAACCCTAATAATGTGATGCTTGTAATCTTTCACACTCATTTGCAATTCGATTTTAGCCCTAAATCCCTTTCTGCGATAATCTAAATCCTTGACTCCTTAATTTTCCAATCCCTAGTTTACCATAAAACACTTGTAGGGCAGGAGGTCAAATCTGTTCTCTGTCATCTGTCCATTACCCTCACCCAAACCTTTTAATCGAATTGCAGACGAGTGAGTCTTTTAATCCCTGTAAAAATGTCCATACACCAGAGAAAATCTATAGCACCCAAAAACATTTCTCGACCCACACAGACCCGAGGCCTTCAAGAGGAAAGGAACTTTACTAGACACAGATTCAGAGATGCAGAATAAGTTATTGGCAGCTAAGGGGAGAACCCAAACTGGTGATCTGTGAAATCAACTTCAACACATATGACAGCTTGCAAACTTTTGCATTTCCAGAATCAGTGTTTACTTTGAAATGTAAGGAAAAGAAAAAACAAATCTCTCCTAAACAACTAAGATATTCAGTTTGTCTACCAACATGAAATATTACAACCCTCCTTCTACCATTAAAGCACGACATGATTATCAGTATTACACATGTTGGGCATCTGACTTTCAACAGTTCAATAGTAATCCACACTAGGCATGCCAACATCACATTTCACACAACCAATATTTCCAAATCATAACGTATATTGGTATACGGAGCAGAAAATCATACTCAATAGGCTCTTTTAAGTCTTTCAAAGCTTTTGCAGCTTCATCCAACTTCTGTTTTGCATCCTTCTCTGCCTCTTTAGCTTTCAAATAGTCAGCCTTCATAAAATCATACTCCAACCATGGCAATTTCTTTTTCATGGATTCAACCTACAGATGTCATCAACAAGACGTCAGAGTAGCTTCAAAAACAAATGAAAAAAATATATCAATCAACCTAAGTAATTACCTCCTTTAGGAGTACTTCCCTTTGTCTGACACGCTCCACATCTTTTTCAAGCTCACAATTGAGGGCTTTCAGCTGATTCAGTGTTTCCCCATTCCTCTTAACTGCCTAATACAGAATAGATGTTGTGTTCAAGAGGATTTCATAAGCCTCCCAAGATCAGTAGTACTGATTCAAGGAGAATAATGAGCTTAGAACTCACCACTTCAATAGTCTTCAATTCACGGCTTTTGTCAACAAGAGCACGGTGTTGGATTGGAAGTTGCGGATCACCAACAGCCTTTTCAGTCTCTTCTAGAAGTTGAACCGGAGTTAGCTTTGCGAATTCACATACCCTGTCTTGTGGTAAGAACTGCAAACCTCGTCCCAATACCAAATGAAAAGAAGAAAGGGTTTAGATGGAAGAAAGGGGAAAAGAAATAGATTGAAGAAGACCAGATTCATGCACACACATCAGCAACATAACACAGCAATAGAGATATTAGAACCTATTTGAGATGAAAGGAGAGAGCAGTAGGGGTAACAGGAAAGGGGAGAAAGCATACAAGTTTCTTGAAATAACTAGTATCAGATTTTCTTCTACCCATGTTTGTGTTTCAGCGTTTGTTTGTTATTTGCACAGGTGTAGTGTGAGAGACTTGTAGCATTAAAATTCAAATTAATAAACAAAAACTACCAAACTAGAAATTTCTAAGAGTCCAGTTCCAAGCATTCAGCAGCTTCGACCCTTGTAGTATGCCAAGGCAGTGAGCTCGAATGCAACAAGAAGATCATTCTTCCGCATGAAGACCAAAAGTTAAATCTCAACAGGCATACAAATATTGAAAGGCAATTTACACAGTCATAAAATCATATTGAGAATATATTAATTGCAAGTCCACAGTCATAAAATCATATTGAGAATATATTAATTGCAAGTCCTGGAGCTTACTTGAGTCAAATTGTTGACTTGGATGTTGAATTGTTGCATGATTTCAGTAACCTCTTTTTTAGATGAGGCTTTTCCTGAAACATATGTGTCGTTAGCGCAATATCTCTTCTCAAACTAAAATTTAATAATTCCTAAACAACTCCCTCCTGTATCTATTAAGGTCATTTATTTCCTTTTCTAATAAAGCCTATTGAAGAAGATAGAAACAGAAACTCTTCTAGTTTTCCTTCTTTTCTTGCATTTGAAATAATGTATACTTTTCGGGAAACAACAGTATGTGGAAGTAGATTCAATTTTGTGTATTCATATATTCATACCAGGTGAAAGAGATGCCTAAGGGAAAACATAAATGCAGAATACCAACCATGTTAATGAACTGGAAACATAGAATAGTCAAATAAAGAAACAAAACCAGAAACCTAGGGTTGCACATAAAGTGGATGGCAAGATTCAACATGTCATCTAGATAATCTTTATTTACAAGGAACTTCATACTCGTCCTTTCAGTCCTTCCCAACTTAAACAAACATGAGCAAGAAATTTTTCAATTGCTGGGCCAAATTTCAGAGCATGAAACAGGATGCTAAGCAATGTCAAGTACTAGAGATCTAACCATTGAACAACCACTCTGACTTGTTATGTGTGTCAATCCTGCGGATGATGGTAATCTTCTCATCTTTTGTGCTTCCCCTCAGGGATATTTTGATATGCCCAGACTCCTCCCCACGCTTCACATATGCCCCAATACTCGTTGCCCTACCGAGCAGCTGTGGAAATAAAGCACCCAACTTTATAAAACTACAAGCACACTTAACTCTAATGCGCAATCTCAGTAAACTTTAACCAACCTGAGGCTCACCACCAAGTCCAAGTGCAATGGCACACACAATTGAGCTCTTACCCGACCCATTTGGTCCAATTACAAGGTTCAAGCGTGATCCAGGTTTGCAAACTAAACAATCGTAGGTCATGAAATTACGAAGTTCAATCTCAATTATGTTTCCAGGCATGTAGTCATCTTCCCCTCTGGAAGAAAAATTAGGAAAATGTAAACCATTGCCAAAATTGCCACCAAAATCAGTAAAAACTGGGAAGTCTTAATTTCCCAAATCATGCCAACATCATCCAGACATGAAATTAAGCTTGAAAGAACACAAATATGTCGTTGGCAGGGCGCAGGGGCTCTTTCTAGGCATTGAGTATATTAGTTGCTTTTCCTAACCTCGAGAACAAATTTTAAAAGGGTTTGCTTAACTAACTCACAAAATTAAAACACAATCTATGGTCATTCAATTAAAAAAAAAAAAAAAAAGCAAAGACGTTCCAATAAGACATTCAATTCTATTGCAGAATTTTACTTCCAAATACTAAAAATTCTCACTTTCTTATCAATTTCACCCTCGAATTAATTCATTTGCCCTTGCATTTCTCAATAACCAAACAAAAAGATAAAAACCCTAAATCAAAAACCAGAAACAACATAAACACAACAAAACATGAGAATAATTCCACAAATGATATAATGGAAGTGAAATAAAGTCGTTGAAACCGTAAAAGATTGAAATGGTGACGGACCTGGTGGTTTTGGCGCGTTTCGAGGGAAGTTCCTCCCTCGTTGAAGGCCGTTTCATATTTTTAGAGTTGTAGTTTTGTTGGAATTGGGGAATTTGTTATTCTTGAAATTGAGGTCTCTGGGATTGAAATTGAAGGCATGAGATTAAGGGTTAGGGTTTCATCGAGAAGGTTGATAAGAGAAAATTGGCGCCAAAAAGACAAAAAAAAAAAAATACATGAGAGAGTGTTAGAGAGAGGGTGGCATTTAGTAACTACTGAAACGTGAAGTGACGCTATTGCCATTCCTTAGTTCTGTGGGACCCACAGAAAAAAGAGTAGTACGTTTCAAATTCCATTTTTTAAATTTTTTACTGCGAGTTGAATCGTGATTTGTGCGTGGTGAAAAATTCAATTAACTTTTTTAAATTTTAATTCACTGCCGGTAATTTGCTTTGAAATGAAATACGTAATTTGCTTTTGTAAATATATGGATTTTAGAGTTAACTAGATTTTTACCCGTGCTACGCTACAAACTTGAATAAAATATATAAAATTATTTTTAAAAAATATCATTTTAATTTGATAGTTCGTGTTATAATGTGAATCTATCAAAATATATAAAATCAAAAGTAAAAAAAAAATTATTTATAATTATTCAATCAAAATTTTGTATTTAACTATTTCTTATTCTTACTTTTCATGATTTTTCTGTTAGAAAAAAGATCTATTCTTGTTAATCCATAGATTATTAACAAGAAAAAATTAAATTAAAATTTTAAAAAAGCTTTAGTATTTCATAAGATTGTGTTGAAAAACTACTCTAATAATTAATAAAAACTAACATAGAATTGAACCCAAAAAAAATTGTTTTTGTAATTTTATATAATGTTGATGAGAACATCGATTTTTTAAAAAACGTGAATTTAATTTTTATATATTTATTTACAAAAAATCAAATAATATTAAAATAAAAAAACTATATTAATTTGAATCATTGAGAGATTAGGCCAAAATATGATTTTAATTATTTAATTTAAAATAAATTAATTTTTAAATATTCATAAATAAATAAATAATGCTAAGTGTAGTAGTAGTTGCATAGTTAATTTATAAAAAAACAACGAGTTCAATATTTTTTTATACATCTAACTATAATAAGTGGATTCGAGTTTTCGGTATAAAACAAAAAACACTATGAAAAAAAATTAACTTGCAAGGAATATATTGACTAAATTTGAAGTTAATATACTAAAATAAAAATTATTACAAAATTGATTTCGATAAATTTTTATTATATAAAGAAGAAACAAATAAAACACGTGAATTCTTTTTCTTTTTTCATTATAAATAATTTTTATTTTTATGTTATACATGGCTAGTTCTTGAATATAGGCCTCACACGTAAAACAACCATCTCTTTTTTGTTTTTTACATTTGACTTTCAATTATTAATTATCTAATTTGAGTTTTTTCTTAAAAAATCGAGAAAAAATTATTTGAAATACAATTTTAATCTAAAAAAGTATTTTGCACAAATGATATATATTAATCATGCCATTATAATTTAAAAATTATATAAATCTATTTTCAAAAGAAAAAATAATTATGTTTTATAAATTTATTCCAAAATCCATACATATAGAAAAATAAATCAAAATTATCAGTAAATAAAATTTTAAATTAATTTGATGAGAATTTTTAAAAAATGACAAACTAAAGTAATAAATTTTAAATAATACATGTAATTAATAAAAAACACGAAAACAAAATGGGACCAAATCGCAATACAATTGAAGTTTGAAATTAAATATATATATATATATATATATATAAATTAAGGACCAAAATATAAAAAAAAATGATTTGTGAATATGCAAATAGTATTATGAATAGTAAAAACTCATTTTATTTTACTATTTTTTATAAACTACTAAAACTTTTCATTAATTTTTAATTATTTGAGAATAAATTTTTTAATTTAATTTCAAATTGAATATTTTTTAATTATTTTTATTTGAAATTATGTTATTTTATTATTATTTTTTTTTAACTTTAACCAATAAGAGCAATTTCTCAATTTCTAAAAGAATATAAAAATTTATGGATATTTTATTTACAAATTTTTTTCCTAAATACTAAAAAAAAATTAACAAATATTTTTAAAAATCGAGAAAAAAAATTCATATGTTTTGACATATTTTTAGATATTTGAAAATTTAAGAAATCAATCACATACAACTTATGCATGCTTTTAATGTCAAAATAGATGAAAATCTAAAAAAAAAATCAATTTATAATAAAAATAATTTAAAAAATCTGAAATTAAAAATTAACATATTAATTTTTAGATACTTAAATTTTAGGAAAAAAAATTTACCACTTGGCTTGTTAAATAAATCTAGCATGAAGTGGTATTGGTGGAAAAGAAAAAAAAAAAAAGCAAAAAGGAATAAATGAACAGTAACCGAATCCAAAAAATAAAAAAGCAGAAAAAACAAAATGAATAGTGAATGAACAGTAGTTTACTGTTGAAAAATCCCATGCCTTTTAGTTTATTAGTAATGGTCTACTTAAAGATGTAATTGTGAAAGAGAGTTGATTTTGATGTATAAAAATTGATAAAGAGATACTCTATTTTAAATAGGGTTAAAGGTTCGGGATGTTCCTCTATTGTTTCAAATGTTTTCAATTATCATATCCCTCTACTCTTTTTTGCATATGCATTTGGTCCTTTCGATCACATTTTTTGGCACTAGAGAAAAAAAATTTATTAAAAATAATAGAATGCCGACACGTGGTATTAATTTTTTTCCTCTCAATATGTAATATTAGTAAAGATTGAAATGAAATCAAAAAAGAAAAACCTTAAATTGCCTCCATTTAAAAAACCCTTATATCCCTTATCCGGGATCGAATTTTTCCTAAATCTCCAAATCTAACCTATAAATAATTAGATATTTTTTTATCTTAGATATTGAATCATCAAGACTTGAATTTTCTTCCAAATACCTTTGACTTCACTTCTTACTCAATTATACTCTCTCTCTCTCTCTCTTTGAAATATAAGCTTATGAAATTGCTTTTATAAATAAGGAGGATGACACTCTATATATAGGCATGAGGAGTTAAAACATTTAAGAATTTTAAGTGCATGAATTAAAAATAATAAAAGACCACTAACTTTCTTCTTTTATGGCTACTTTCTTTAATGGCCACTAACCTTATTCTTTTATGGTCACTTTTTTTTCTTTCATACCCATTCATGTTTCCTCTTTAATTTTAATATATGTTTCAAAACTTTTGCTTTTCTTTCGTAGCCACTAACATTCTCTTTAAAAGCTAGTAAAACTTATTATTATTTTGTTAATTATTATTATAACTTTAATCCTTTAATTCCTAATACCTTGGCTAAGATTATAGGATTAATTCCTATCTATAAAAATATTATCTATAATACCCAAAAATATATATAGTATATCCTAACACTCTATACCTAATCATCACGTCATATAACACATAAAAATATTAAATTACATACACAAATAAAGAACATATACACACCATATATTATCATGTAAAATTTTTAGGCATTACATATTCGATAAAGACTTCGACGATTGAGGGATTTGGTGAAAGCCTCAACTGAAGAAATTGGCCTACTTTTTCATCGAGGGATTTGGTAAAGGCCTCAACAATTAGAGGATTTGGTGAAGGCCCCAATCGAAGAATGTGATAAAGGTATTTTTTTATCGAGAGATTCGGTAAAGGCCTAGAAGATTAGGGGATTTGGTGAAGGCCCAACCCAAGAAATGATAAAGGAAAGGGTGCATTCAAAAAAGAAAAAGGAAAATGGAAAATGGTTTCAAAGGCATGAAAAGGATTTAAAAAAAGATGCATCATGTGCATGCATACATAAAAGACATCACATGCATTGTATGAATTATACTTACCGAGCATTCTTTTGCTCGGCATTGTTTTCTTGTAGTGTAGGAAATAAAGATAAATGAAAGGTCGCCACCGAGACAAGTGACGAACTTACCATTTTGTATGCTTTGGCTATAGGTTAGTGAGTATGAGAAATCATGTATGGCTTAGCTTGATTTTTGGGTATATAAATAGCAAAATTGATATACTAATGTGAGGTCTAGAGGACTAAGAGGAATTGAATGAATAAGTTAATTAAAAATATTGTTTTGGTGTAAATGAAAATATTAATTGAAGATTAAGTCATTAGTATATCAATTTTAGTCGGTTGTAGATCATAGATGCTTGAATGACTAATATGGCTAGGATGGCATAATTGATAGGATCATAGAGATGATTGCATCTTAGGATAAAAAAGTAAGAAACTAGGTAGGAATATGAAAGTTAAGGTTAAAAGAAAACATACTGGCCAAATTATTTAGAGGTTTAAATGAAATTAGCAATAGGTTTAATCGAACCTAAAGATGACGAAAAAAATTTATACTCAATTTGTGTACGAGTGGACCTAGTATCCCATGCTTATTAGGGATCTTATGAATGATTAAATGCCCACTTATGTTAATGCATTAGATAAGATAAGGGAAAAGACTTTTTGGCTTATATTCATTGCACGTCGAATGTATGTCAATGCCAATAATACCCTCGACCTATCTAGGTCCTAGGACGAGGGCGTTAGATTTTATCTTTATTTTTATGGCATTGTTCTTTACATTATTAGAGATTTTACACCACATATATTCATTATTTCTAGTTATTGTAATGCTTATACTTTTGTTCAACTATACAAAAATTCAACAATATTACCTCCAATAATAAAATATTATTGTAAAACCACAAACAAAATGCTTAGGTATTTTAAAATTTATTTTTTTATAGTAATATTAAAATGAAATCATTAATTTTTTTAAACAATATAATTCAAACATTATCAACTTTATGTGTAAATGCACAATCTTTTACCAAAACACAACTATTATAAGAAGAAGGATATATTTTGAAGAAACCAATAGCATTAGCAACTTCTACAATACTTACTCATCCGACAACATCAACCTAAAAGAGGCAAAGCAAGAAAAATAGAATAAACTCGGTA